GACGTCGTATATCTATCTTTCCAGTGTATGCTGCATTGTTTGATCAACTCCGAATATGTACACCATAGCTTAAAGCTATGATAGGCATAGATTTGGCTAAGTGTGTGAAATGATGCATTTGTCATGAAATCGGGGTGACATTTTACATCACTGCAGTGATCCATACAAAGGAATTCTCAATGCAATTTTGTGGGAAGGGTAAAAGCCGTTTTTGACCCTTTCAATAAGTTCTTTACTTGTAGTGCCTTTACTATTGCCTGTATAGAAAAAACAAAACAAAAATATACCAGAACCACAACATTGAAGCTATTGGGTAATTTGACAGTGTAGTGTGTTGACATGAGATTTTACGTCCTTACGATGTCCAACTTCTGTCAGCACAATATGCTTCACGTGCACTCACCCCTCTTATAAGTGTACAATGGTACGGCTCCCATAGCCAGTAGCGGTGAATACACAAAGCATTTACGAAAGTCGTCGAACATGCAAGGTGTCAGCCATCAGTTACAAAGGTTACACAAAGTATGTGATAAATGTGATATTTAGCCATATGTCACGTGAAAGTCACTGTCGGTGACCACTCAGTGCACATAAGAACCTACAGGAATCTATATGGTCCACCATCAGGAAAGACATTAGGTGCTGTGTCCAAAAAGATATAGTGAGAGAGTTTAGTTTTACGCCGCTTTTAGCAATTATCCAGCAATATCACGTCGGGGGACACCAGAAATGGGCTTCACACATTGTATCCATGTGGGAATTGAACCCGGGTCTTCGGCGTGACGAACGAACGCTTTACCCACTAGGCCACTCCATTCTTATAAGGTATCGAAGCTAACAATTGTAATGGTTCTTCCCATTAGAAAACAACGTTATGGAATCAAACAGATGTTCAAACCATATCCAAAATTGTTGTAGGTTACATTGTGCAGTTCGAGTGTTTTGCCATAACCCATTAAGCTCACCAAGCCAATAGTTCCACTGTCACTGTATTGTGCTACAGAGTAATACAAGGTGTTTTTATAATATATCAAATCCCACGGTGAAGATCCAAATGTTGTTACCTCCTTTGTCAACTTTCGGGACACCGACATCTTCATAACTCTGGTGTCGTCGTTAAAGAACAATATGTTCCCCGTGGAGTCCAGGGTCAAGCTGTGCATAGACCTTCCCCTTATTAGTGTCTCAAAATTCCGACCGTCATACCCCACAGTGAAAATCTTGTCTTTCGTATTTGCAAATATTCGTTTATCCCTCGGATGTACGGCAATACGAAGTGGATGTCGGTCGTAGGTTGACAGGTCAACGATGACCTTGTACCGTCTACCTCGGGTGGTCATACGGCTGATTGCGGCTAAAGGACTCCTGGTTGTCATGAAGATGGCGTCTCGTTCTTCATCCACCGCAATGCCGTAAGATTCAACTTCTCTTAAAGTTCTTACCTTATGTGTATGTAGTTTAGATGTTATTATACTGTTGGGGTTGTATGTACCGATCAAAAGTCTTTTCAACTTTTTCACGTAGGCGACAGCTGTGACGATTTGCCAACTGATGTAAGGGTAGGACACATAAGAATTGTTCTCAATTATGAGCTGACCAAACTGTCTCCCTGAGCGAGGAGTTTTAGCGATGAAAACACTGGTATTAACTTTAGGAGGCATCCTACCAGTCGTTGTCAGAAGTCCTGAAGATGGCGTACTTGAAGAAAATCCCGAAGTGGCGTCAGTTTCTGTTGCTGGCCTATTTTCAGAATTATGTTCCACCAACCTTTCACTCTGCAAACACGTTTCATTCATCTCAGACAACATTCGTCTCAGTTTCTCCTCAACACGACAAGATCTCATTCTACACTCCTGCAACTCCTTCACGACCTTCTGTGCGTCTTCTTCTTGAAATCTGAAACAGGTAGCGTTGTCTGTTTCCGAAGAAGACTCCCCTTGTTCCAGGAACGGTTCTGTTTCCACTTTCTCACGTTGGGCTGGAAGTGGACTCTCCTCTTGCTTCGTCGGGTGGATAGACACGGAATCACTGGGTGAGTTGAAATCATTAGTCGCATCCGTAGCTTTGACCTGATCTGTAGGATTGGGAGACGTTCCTTTGAGAATTTCGTCCACCGCTTGGGTGACAAGAAGCTGAATTGTTCCGCGAAGTTCAGACCTCATCGACGTTTTCACCAATTCTATTTTAGACATGATTCTTTCTTCCAGGAGAGGCATCTCCGTGTTGAGACGTTCAATGTCCACTTGAACACTGTTAATGAAGGGGGTTGTAGTTTCATGGCTGGGTGCTGTACAAAATGCAGTTACCAGGTAAACAACACCATGAATATACTTCAAGGAGGTCATGTCCGCTCGGTGGTGACTGCATCAGTATCTAGATGCTTAGATCAGTTCGAGTGTTTACACTATAATCGACGAACCCGATATCAAAGTCACGAGACAATACAAAGTGCGTTGAAATGTCACGTGACAGTGCATGCTTGCTCAGGTCTATGCGACAGATAAACATCCCAAACAAGCTCAATAATCAAGGGATTTCCTGAGTGCATAATAACGAAGGTTAAGAGAGCTTTCCTTCGATCATCAATCCATTGTTTCAGAATACATCGATAGATATGAAAAGCGTGGTCTTATCTGACTGGATGAAAGGACCTACTACAAATGAAATTCCTTTTAAAATGGTTTTAAACCCAACTTCTTCGCTCATAAAAACATGCATCGCTTACATCAATGCTTTGCTTGCGGTTTGATGTAAGTGATACATATATTTTATGAGCGAGGTAATTGGGTTTAAAACCACTTTGAAAGAAATTTCAGTTATGACAGCATGACAGCTTGGTGTGGGACAAACGTAGGAATGATTGGTTGATTGATGGTTGTTTAACGCCGCACTCGGCAATATTCCACCTATATGACGGCGGTCTGTAGATAAGTCGACCGCCTCCGTGGTGTAGTGGTTAGAGCATCCGCCCGGAGAGCGGAAGGTCGCGGGTTCGATCCCCGACCGCGTCATACCAAAAGACGTTAAAATATGGTACTTGTTGGTCCCTGCCTGGCGCTCGGCATTAATGGGTACAAGGACTGGTCGGCTCGGAGTCAGTATAATGTGTCTGAGTGGGGTATTCATGCTTACTGCGGCATGGTATCTCAGTGGGCTAGCACTATAAAACCAGCTTCAGTCTGGGCAAGTACAATCAGCCGCACATACACATACACACGCATGCACGTCGTCATATGAGCGAAATATTCTCAAGCACGACGTTAAACCCCATATCACCTCACCTCACCTGTAGATAAGTCAGTCTGGACCAGACAATCCAGTGATCAACAGCATGATCATCAATCTATGCAACTGTGATACGGTTACATATGTCAACCAAGTCAGCGAGTCTCATCCCGTTAGCCGCCTCTTATGACAAGCATGAGTTGCTGAAACACATGTAGGAAGTTAGGCAATGTCTTAGATGTTTACCGCGTTGGTAAAACCCACGGACACGGGTATGGTGCCGACAAACCCGGAAACACAATCGTGGTGTACCGGGATTTAAACCCACGAAGATTCTGGTTTCTAGTGTGCCCCGCCTATAGGCAAAAGCGTCTGCTCGTCACGCTGAAAACCGGGTTCGATTCCACACATGGGTATTATGTAAGGTCATTTCTGGGGTCTCACGTAAATAGGAAGGCGTCAAGTTAACCCTTTGGTAGATAACTGTGGAGCGAACTGTCTCACCAAAGACTACTGTGTCTCCTCATATTATTGGATTATGCTCATTGGTGCCGTTGTACAAAAGAATCTTAGCGAAAATCTGTGTTAAGTTACGGTCACCTTAGCGCTATGATCGTTTTGTGCAACAGCACCCAGTTCTTGAAGTAAGGAACAAAGACCGTAAACCATGGTTTACTTTTGGCTGGTAACGATCCGTGATGCCTTTCCGTAACGGGGCGATGGCTGTCCACATATTTTTTACGTATGTCCAAACTGCCTGCATTTAGTTTCACGTTCATATCTTACCTTACTTTTGAGACGAGCCCTACTTTCCACGATTTCATTACCTAGCATGTCATCTTACATTCGTGGAGTAGGTGTTTGTACAATATTAGGTCAGATCCTATCTGGTGGCATGTTTTCCTGAGTGTACCACATTGATCACACATAAAGTGAAGTAAGGTAATGTCAGTGTGTTCACTTCTAATGTCAGTGTGTAGCTTCTGGGGCTTACCACCCTTCACTGAAGCACATGGTGTATGTGGAGTGCCCTCTGACAAGTGACATTGGTAGAAATATGACTTAACCTTATGGTAGTTTTCAGGCAGCTAAGAATGTATACTCCCCAAGCAGCTGAAAATGAATGTTGAGATTACACAATTCTATTGACCCTGTAAAAATGCAGAGCTTGGAGCATTCTATTAGCGTTTGGTTTGGGTGCATTATAAATTCAATAAACTATGCTTATAATGAACTCAAACAGGAAAGGAATTTAGTTATGATGCATCACGGGATCAAACCATTCACCAACCCTGAAGGCAGATGCTGCATCCAGTCAGCCATATAGGTAGTTATTGTGGCCCAGTGGTCTGCCTCATTGTTGACCGGGGCTTAATACTAACATTCATATCCACCCCGGAGAGCAGAAGGTCGCGGGTTCAATCCCCGACCGCGTCATACCAAAAGACGTTCAAATATGGTACTTGTTGGTCCCTGCTTGGCGCTCGGCATTAATGGGTACAAGGACTGGTCGGCTCGGAGTCAGTATAATGTGTCTGAGTGGGGTATTCATGCTTCACTGCGACATGGTATCTCTGTGGGCTAGCACTATAAAACCAGCTGAAGTCAGGGCTAGTACAAGCAGCCGCACATACATGTCTTCATATGAGCTAAATATTCTCAAGCACGACATAAAACCCAATTTCACCTCACCTCACTAACATTCATATAATTTCCTCTGCACAGAAGATAATTTTTCTTCTGACTTCTCAAGAACATAGTACTGACACAAAATATTTGGAACTGTAGTTTTATTTCTCAGTTTATGCCTTGTTATTTGACTTTACAATTTCAGAATGCAAATTAATTATTTATTTCAAATGCTTGCATTTGTCATTTTGTGCTACGGACATGACTGAGAAATATACATAACAGGTTCATTATCAAGGCTGTACACAGCTGGTAAAGATTACAACCAGTAACATGAAGTCATAATATTCTAATCATTATTGACTTACATACATGTGGACAATTAGTACATTGAAACTGAAGAAATCTGAAACATTCTGTCTACAAATTACAGTTTGTAGCGCAGCCCCCTTCGGAAGTATTTCACATTCCTGTTTTCAAACAATTGCGGGGATTTTTCAGATTAAAACATCAATAAATTATACACCATATGGAACTCTCGACATCATTTGTTCAAGCATACAATAAAAATCTTTCTCCTCACGGCTCCTCTTCAGCCATAAATAGTGATGCCATTTACATCCATTGAATAAAGTCACATTCAAGTCTGTGCCATCAAGTCACTCTCACCGTACTCTACGCGTCTCCATAAGAGGTGCGCAAACAACTTAACATGTCAACAAAGTAACATATTATCTTCCTTCATAGTGTGTCCAAAATGACACCATCATAAGTTGTCTCTGAACAGTACTAGAAAGTGGAATTCTCAGATGGGTGCAGAGCGCTGCAGAACTGCAGAACGCACTTTGATGCTTTGCAGTCAGTATTGGGTGAATAACATTATACATGATCTTCCAAAGATTACACTGTTTTTCATAGTCTTAAGGTGGTATTAAAGAATTACATGAGGAACCACCCCCCTTACATTATGTTGAAACCACCTTGTCTATTGGTACATTTTACAGAAACCGATATAGTAACTTAAGCAATATCTGTAATTCCCTCTGGCAGTGAATTATATTGGTGATAAGTGTGTGCCACAACAGTAAATAATGTAATGTCTTTGAAATCTTGAAGGTGCAAAATGTTTTGAATATGACATTAGTGGGACTTACATGTACTGTACATGTTACAAAGTAAATAATGCTTTGATAGATATGTCTAAAATATGTCATTTCAGGGAAAGGTAATTCACATCTAACTGATACTGACAGTTTGAGCAGTAACCTCTGTTCAGAACTTTAAACAACATATTTCACACAATTCACGTCGGCGTGTACAAGCAAAAGAAAATTAAACTCATAAATACAAACAATGCCAAGAACCTGTGGATGGAAATCACATCAAAACAAAGGAAGGACTTTGTGTTTTCTCAAGTGGGCAGAACAAAATAATATCTCCCAAATAAACTGTGCATAAATTCTACTATTTTCATATCACATCCATGTCCATTCTCTCTATATACACAGTATAAAATCACAAAAGGCAATACACTTTTTCAAAGGCTCTATGTACTTTTGTACCATATTTTATACAATCATTTCTTTGCTGTTGCAAAATATTTAAATACAATAAACTATGTCAATTTGTCTTTCAACAATATGAACCACGATCATAATAAATAGCAAATGTGGGATTAAGTAGAAGGTATCTTGTCTCAGCGTTCCATTCTGAAGGGGTAACAATTGACAGTCTTACTGCTTTCATCCATGTTGACCCTTCAGATGCTGAACCAGTACAACTTAACCTAGGTACTCAATCAAGCAAGGCCGAATCCTTCTGAACACTCGCTAACAGCCAACAGCAACATATGTCTCAGTTTGTCGTATGTCTCATAGGCTGGAAGATCCAACTGGTTGAAGCTGAAATTAAGACAGAATTTGAGTGAGTGAGTGCCTTTAGTTTTACACTGCTTTTAGCAATATTCCAATATTACACATTGTACCATGTGGAGAATCAAACCCAGATCTATATCGTGACGAGTGAACGCTTGAACCACTAGGCTACCCCACCGCCCGAAGACAGAATATGACATACCTCTAGTGATACTACACTATCAGGGATTAGATTACAGATAAGATAACAGACAATATCCTTCAGTGAATGTTTTCTGACCTGTTAACCTGAATTGTACTGTTTGAGCTTTACTTAACCTGCTTAACAAGTTCTGGATAAATGAAGGACATGTGTTGACATCATAAACAACAACTGTACCATACAACTCAGTGTTCTTTATACTGACTTAATTCAAAATATGTTGAAGCCTTCCTAACAGCAAGGTGCCACATCTTACCAAGTGTGTGCAGTTGGAAGTCTGTCTGTGGATCGGTCATCTCGGTGGATCTGAAATTTCTGTATGCCGTTCATTCCCTCCAGGAAGGCAAAACCTTGAAGTGGGACCTTAGAAGTGCCAGTCACAAACTGCAGGAAGTTGGCCCTTTCTGCTTGATCAAATGAACGCAGAGCTCGCCAGAACCACTGAATCTGAAAATAATTTTACATGTTTTTATAATTTTCTAACTTATCAAGAGTTGTCGATCTGGTTCTAAAATCATTTCATATTTAGTAGCAGAATAGCAATATCCACCCCAATTGGTATATAAGCAAATGTTACCCAAACCAGTAACTCGACAGTATAAAACAAGAGTCATCAGAAGATGACAAATCCCCCCGGCCCCCACATATTTGAAAGAACAAATCATCTGACAGTTACTTAAAGTCCAACTTGAATTTTTTTTAGACTAAGTCGTTTCCATGCAAATCATGAAAAGTATAAATGCCAAAATTCTGTAAATAACAATAGGCACCACTTCAAGATCTGTTTGATATGTCTGCCAGGCCTTGTAGAAAGATATTGAAAGGGTTTCAAATTGTGCTCTGGAAACGAAGCCAACCCCTCCCTTTTGAGACTAAGTCCAAATCGTTTCCATGGAAACCGAGAAAAATAAAAATGACAAAAATCTGTAAATAGGAAAAGGCACCACCTTAGTTTCTGTTTAATATATCTACAAATATTTGTTAAAAAATATTGAACGGTTTTTGAGTTATGCTCAGGAAGCAAAATGATTATGGACGGACAAGGTGTCAACTATATCCCCCCGCATTACATGCCTGAGGGGTAAAAAAAATCCACATAATCTGGATATGATGACACAATATCAGCCAGGTCACTCATTCATAAAACTGGATTCCCATAGGCCCTCCATACCTGTTCCATTCTGTGACACTGAGGGCTATCTATCTATTACAGACGCTTACGTGGTTAAATTGCACTATGACAAAACTCCCTTGTCATAATTGATCCAAATCAACAATGTCACTTCAAAGTGTTATCCTGCCCTTCACAAAAGTGAAACATAAGACAAAGTTTGCATACCTGTAGGGAGTTCGGTTGATATTTATGGTATTCTGAATTGGCCTTAAGGTCATCTATGTCAACAGTTGGCAGCCCTGAGATGAGCAGCTCCAGTTCCTGCTCGTTGAAGATTGAAACCAATTTCTTGGGAATGATGTCATAGAAGCCTTCCAGGAAGGCGTTGAGCTGTTTCCGAATGGCTCCCGTCATCTTCATCTGACACACAAGCTTCACATACTCTCGTTTGTTTTCCTCAGACACAGGCACATTTCGTCCATTTGGGATAATATCCCTTGTCTCCATCACACCAAACTCCATTATCTGAAGTAACAAAACCACAGACTTCACAAACAGCACTCAAGAAGATTAATTCAAAAATGTTTACAAGGTGGACAGCAGGCTGCAAGATGTTATTCACAACGAAATTATATTTGTGTATCAGTGGACCAACTCAATAAAAGAAGCAGTCCCAAGATCCAAATCAAACAAATAAAGAACTTTCTCTATCTATTCATTTTGACAGTTGAGAAGTCTTACCTCTGTGGCAAATGTGAGATCATAGCCAAGATCGGCAACACCATGCTCTAACAAGAAGACCAGACCCTGGTAAAAGGCATAATCTTCACTCTCCATGTCTGTGTATCTGAAACCATACCAAAGGCACACTCAACATACGTCGTCTCCATTGAGGGTTTACAAGTACACACTACTACGTACAACTGTATAACTAGATAGTCTTAACCTGGTATGCCAATAATGTAATTTAACCCTTGAACACGAATAACAAAGATTCACTTACTTGACTGGCTGTCCAAGTAGATGTTTGTAGAAGGACCTAGTGAAGTAGCACTCTAGAAGCTTGTTGTCATACACAGCCTTCGCAATGATGCGGCCAACAAATTTGAAGTAGCTGAGATGGTTAGAATTGCAGTGAGAAGACGGATTGATAGTGTAGGTGACTCTGTCCCCTGGAGAGGTCTTGAATAATGCATAGTTAGGATTGAAGATTTCTCTGGAGATGATCAGGTACCATTCTCTCAACAGGCCTCCAGCATCCTGGCCTTCCTCCCCTGGAATTAGAACATAGTTTACTTTAACTTCAATGTTGGTTGGTTTGTTGTTTAACACCGCACTCAGCAATATTCTAGCTATACGGCAGCTGTCTGCAAGTAATTGAGTCTCGACAAGGCAATCCAGTGATCACCAGCATTAGCATCCATCTATGCAATTGGGATACGATGACATGTGTCAACCATGTCAGTGAACCTGACCACCCGATCCCATCGCCTCCAATGACAAGCATGGGTTGTTGAAGACCAATTCTAACCTGGATCTTCACAGGTTATATAACGTCAATGGTTGTGGGAGTTTGTGAATGAATGCTACATAGTGCCAAAGTCATCACTAATCCAGACATCAGCCTGTAACTGTGAAATAGATGCTTTAGATTTAGAATGACAATTGCAGTCTTTAAACATCTTGCAGATCTGTTATTCTTACCTTCAAACACAATGTAGAATCTCTGTTTCCACTCTTCTGGTGACCTGCGGAAAAGCTCTCTGAAAGAGTCCTCGAAGACATTTTCCCTGCGGACATGAACTGGAAGATCTTCACGCCTCAAGCCCTCATCCAACCTCTCAAGCTCCTGGCGGAAGTATCTTCTCTTCACATCAAAGTCTAAGATTCGTGTGTGGTCCACAAGGACACTGAATGGACCATCAGCCAATGGGGTCGTTGACTGTCGCAAGATTTGATTCAGAACAGTTCTGTGAGTTTCTGCAAGTGACACAAAAACAGAAATTACTTAAAACAGTTGTTGTCTGATCCTTTGTCCTCAATCCGGACCATGAGAAAATGCCAGCAAAAGCAAATAACATATTCTCAATCAAATCAAAGATCATGTTCAACAAAACAAAATGAAAAAAGAAAATTCAGTATTTGTGAACCCATTACTTATACCAGAAGCACTTTACATACATATCAAACATGCAGCAGGTCAAACGTATGTCAAAGACAGATACCAAATTATAATAAACAACTGAAAATGGGTCTCTTCTCAAATCCACTGTCATCTTCACACTTCAGACACCCTTTACCATCAGCATAAAGGATCAATACTACCGTCCAAGACTCCAAGCACTGCCATCAATACTAGCCTGGATTCCAAGCACTGAAGATCAATACAACCCTGGGCTCCAAGCACTGGGATCAATACTACCCTGGTCTCCAAGCACTGGCATCAATAGAACCCTGGTCTCCAAGCACTGAAGATCAATACAGCCCTGGGCTCCAAGTACTGGCATCAATACAACCCTGGGCCCCGTTCCACAAAACGATCGTAGCGCTAAGATGATCGTAACTCCCATACTTTAACATAGACTTACAACTGTCGTAGCACTACGATCGCTTTGAGGAACGGGGCCCTGGTCTCCAAGCACTGGGATCAATACTACCCTGGTCTCCAAGCACTGGCATCAATACTACTCTGGTCTCCAAGCACTGGAATCAATACTACCCCTATCTCCAAGCACTTGAATCAATACTACCCCGATCTCCAAGCACTGGAATCAATACTACCCTGGTCTCCAAGCACTGGGATCAATACTACCCTGATCTCCAAGCACTGGAATCAATACTGTCCTGGTCTCCAAGCACTGGAATCAATACTACCCCGATCTCCAAGCACTGGGATCAATACTGCCCTGGTCTCCAAGCACTGGAATCAATACTACCCTGGTCTCCAAGCACTGGAATCAATACTACCCTGGTCTCCAAGCACTGGGATCAATACTACCCTGATCTCCAAGCACTGGAATCAATACTACCCTGGTCTCCAAGCACTGGAATCAATACTACCCTGGTCTCCAAGCACTGGCATCAATACTACCCACCAGGGCTCCAAGGACGGGTATAAATACTACCCTGGTCTCCAAGCAAGTTGATTTTAATGAGTTGTACTCACCAGCAAACCTGAGGAACTTCTGAGCATCAGGTGGTAGATGTGCCAGGGAAGAGACAGATGCGACGGAGTTCTCCCTGGTGAGAGGCATGCTTGCCTCAGCACTGGCTGCTGGGTTATTGCTGGCCGATGGGGAAGGAGGTGCCATCTCTGCATTCAGATGTGCCAGCTGATCCTCACGACGAGGATGCGTCTCCACAGGTTTCACTTCCTTCTCACCTACGTTCAAACAGTTCCCAGAAGTACATTAGAACATGAAACAGGTTTTTCAAAGAATTTTCAAATGAAACAAGTTTGTTTTCTCACACATGTACAACTGTTTATGGGCAATAGCCAGTGAAGAGGACTTTTCTTGAAATCCTGAAGATTTTAAAGCTAAATGAAAGCCAAACTAGAGGATTAATGGCAGTGATGTAATAGAGGTAGGAAATTAATTGGAACTAAAAACATGTTTACTCATGCATATAGTTTTTTAATAGAACCACAGCTCAGACAGGATGAATTAACACTCAGCCCCTGGTATTCTTAGTGCTGAGGGGGCGGTGGGGTAGCCTAACGGTTCAAGTGTTTGCTTGTCACTCTGAATACCTCTGTTTGATTCCCCACATGTCTACAGTGTGCAAAGCCCATTTCTGTGTCCCTCATCATCACACTGCTGGAGTATTTATAAAAGAGTAAACCTTAACCCACTTATTCGCTTAGTGCTAAGACAATCTTAAGAAATTGAATTTTCCTTCTATATGGCCCTGGATTGCAAATTACAATGAATATGGCTATAGACTGTGCATACATTTTCAGTAGAACTGACCTGCATGTACAATGAAGAAGGCCTCCACAGCTGGCTGCAGTATAAGCACAGCATGCTGGTCTGGTGTTTTAGCCAGCTCAGACAAGCAATCCCCAAGAGTCTGCCACAACTCTTCCAGTGACAGTTGTTCACTCAAGCGAGGTAGTGGAGCTGCTGTCTCCTCATTCTTCTTGTCCTTCTCCTCCTTTGAGGAACCTGCAGCAATCAAGGATGGATGACGATTACCATCACATGACCTCAATGCTACCCAGCCATGTTATGGAATAACTCAGTCAAATTTTGTTCACAAAAGTTATAGAAAAAATTTCTTTGATGAACATTCTAACACAGAATCTTTCGCCCAAGAAAGAGTGATTTAATATTTTAGCTCTTATAAATGGTGGAAGTCAAAAGCTTACTTATACAGCATTTTTTTCAAAATGAACAAACAATCTGTCAGCCCAATAGGTTATTTTATATGATACTTGACACTTTTTGACACAAATAGAAGAAAAGAACATATAGTTTTAAGACTAAAATGTAATTTTTGGAGTAAAATTGATATTTTATACTTATCCTGACTCATGCTCTTTTTGCTTGTCTTCTTCTTCTTGCGAACATAGTGGAACACTTGTATCTCCCTAATTGAAGCTCCCTTCAATTTAAAATCACTAATTAGTATTCACCACGAGTTACCTCCTTTTCACAAGCGCGGGAACGAGGGCGCCACCTCTACCCATGTGCCTCACTCTCTCCTCATATACTGAGCCCAACATTTGAATTTACAGGGAAATCCAAAGTGTTATTTGGGGAGGATGGGAGGGCTGACCTCATGAGTCAGGATAAGTATAAAATATCAATTTTACTCCAAAAATTACATATTTTTCCTTATCCTGACTCATGCTCTTTTTGCTTGTAGCATCCTCACAGGAGCGGAGGTGGGAATATCTAATACTTTGGATTTTTAATAATTAGTGATTTGAACTGTGATGATTGTAATAACCCTATGGGAACTTCATAAAGGCACTGAACTGATGAATTCCTGCTGCTAACTTATCAGCTGCCATATAAAAGGTTATTATCATGTACTTATTATGATAAAGTATATATAACATTAATACAATGCTTAAGACTAATAGACTTAAGCTTGTTAATATGCTAGTATAAACTCCTTAGAGTTTGTTAGCTAAAATACTTTAAGATATAACATAGTACTAAGCTTAAGATATGATTAAACTTAAGCTAATTATATAATAGCAAACTCTTTAGAGTTTGTTAGTTAATATACTTATATGATATAGATATAATGCTGAGCTTAAGATATGAATAAGCTTTAGCTACATATATAATAGCAAAAACTCTGTAGAGTTTGTTAGCTAATATATTTTTATAATATGAGTATAGTACTGTGCTTAAGCTATAATTAACTTAAGCTACATATATAATAGCCAAACTCTGTAGAGTTTGTTAGCTAATATATTTTTATAATATGAGTATAGTACTGTGCTTAAGCTATAATTAACTTAAGCTACATATATAATAGCCAAACTCTGTAGAGTTTGTTAGCTAATATATATTTATAATATTAGTATAGTACTGAGCTTAAGATATAATTAACTTAAGCTACATATATATAACAAAACTCTGTAGGGTTTTGTTAGCTAATATATTTTACAATATGAGTATAGTAGTGTGCTTAAGATATAATTAACTTAAGCTACATATATAATAGCAAAACTCCGTAGAGTTTGTTAGCTAATATATTTTACAATATGAGTATAGTAGTGTGCTTAAGATATAATGAACTTAAGCTACATATATAATAGCAAAACTCCGTAGAGTTTGTTAGCTAATATATTTTACAATATGAGTATAGTATTGTGCTTAAGATATTATTAACTTAAGCTACATATATAATAGCCAAAAACTCTGTAGAGTTTATTAGCTAATATGTTTATAGTGTAACCATAGTACTAAGCTTAAGATAAGATTAGACTTAAGCTAAAAGTATATAGCAAAATAAACTCCTTAGAGTTTATTAACTAATATACTTTTATGTTAAAAACATAGTACTGAGCTTAAGTTATGATGAAACTTAAGCTATATATATATAATAACAAAACTCAAATCGAGTTTTTGTTAGCTATCTGCTTTATAATGTAAACATACTGCTTAAGATATGATGAAACTTAAGCTAATTGTATAATAATGCGAAAAACAACCCTTTAGAGTTTGTTAGCTATGATATAAACCTAGTATTGAGCTTATGAAGGAAAACTTAAGCTACATATATAATAGCAAGAACTCCGTGAGAGTTTGTTAGCTAATACATGTTATAATGTAACCATAAAGCTTAAAATATGATGAAACTTAAGCTGAAATATATAATAGCAAAACCCTCTTTTAGAGTTTTGATAGCTAATATACCTATATGATATAAACATAGTACTGCTTAAGATATGAATAAGCTTAAGTTACATATATAATAGCTAAAACTCTGTAGAGTTTGTTAGCTAATACATGTTATAATATAACCATATTGCTTAGAAATATGATGATACTTATAGCAAAAACTCTTTAGAGTTTGTTAGCTAATCTACTTATATGATATAAACATAGTACTAAGCTTAAGATATGAATAAGCTTAAGCTACCTATATAATAGCAAAACTCCTTAGAGTTTGTTAGCCAATATATTTTAATAATATGAGTATAGTACTATGCTTAAGGTATAATTAGCTTAAGTTACCTATATAATAGTAAAACTCCGTTAGAGTTTGTTAGCTTAATTAACTTAAGCTATGTATAAAATAATAAAAACTCTGTAGAGTTTGTTAGCTAATGCATTTATCATGTAACCATAGTATTACTCTTAAGATATGAATAACTTAAGGTAAATATATATAATAACAAACTCTGTAGAGTTGTTAACTTATATATTGTATGATGTAATAATCATAGTACTGTGATGATAAAAGGAACTTAAGTAAATTATACATAGCATGAAGCTATTTAGTATTGTTATAAGATAAGTAAAAATCTGTTAGATTGACTTATCTTCTCCGAGAACTGTCAGCTGTTGTCTGCGAGGACCATGGGATCAATTGGTGTATACCTGAGGCGTCCTCGGTGGTGATATCTCTCAGATAATGGTTTGCAACCACCATATCAGTTTCAGAAATAACCCTCCATTATTTCAATCACATTTGTGTAGAACAATTGTAGAAGTTAAGCTATAATATCATGAGTATTAAGCTCATGGAGGGTCGGAATAGGTCCATCCGCGATATGCACGTAGTATGACAGTTCTGATCCAAATGGAGATATAGTACATGAGACTTCACTCTGCGTAAGTTGATGATAGAGGAAATAATCTGTTGCATTTTTTCCTCCTGTTTGGTTTGGTGGAGATAAATTTACAGTGCTCTTGCTGGCCAACTTGATAGAATCATCGTATCATGGGGTCCAAGTATGTCATCCAGGCGTGTTCATAAACCTCACTTGTGAGGTGTTGGAGCACTATATTCATATCCCCAGGTTGGGCGTGAAATTTCCGTTTTATTCTCCAAACAGAAGTTTAGTAGGTTTACTAACCATCTAGTTGTGTTAGTCGCTTGATGAAATTCAGCTGTAGTCTGAAACGCTGTGGATTTAGATCCACTTGTATCTTCGTCTAGGTAATTAAACTGCGAAGTCCTTGACGATGTAGGTGCAACAACCAGGTGTGTCTGTCCTCGTTGAACTTTATGTAAAATCGCCTGACTGCCGATCCCTCGTCTTAACTTGACAGGGAGGTCTCTAACTTGAAGAAAGGCAGTCTAATCATGAATGTTCAGGTTAACTGGACTGTAATGAGGCTTGCTTTCGTTCACTGATATATAGTTGTCACTTGTGGCGTAAGTCTTGAACTGTGAATTGAGATCGAACCTCTGTGTAGGTCGTTGTCCCTCATGGTCCAATCAGAACAAGGCATTTTGATTCTGTATAATACCCGCGCTGTGATGTCACGGTGTAGCGGAAAAACCCACCTTGAATAAATTCTTGTAAATTCGTTGATATTAGCATAAACGTCGGTCTTCACCGTAGCTTCGAAGTTATCCGAGTGACCACGTGTTTCGAGGGTTAATGGTAATCGCGAAAACCTCCGCGCCGAAATATCTCGCTCTGTAATTTTATGCTGGGTAGGTTATTTTCCTGGTTGTCGTGAAAAGTAATTTCAGTTTTGAATATAATTCCGACTTCCTTATATATAAGGGTATAAACAACTTGCAAGTTGTGAGCTTGTAGACTGTATACATGAATGTATCGTCATAATTGTAGAATTAACGTTGAACTTGTTGTACATATTTCTTCTCAGAAACTTTGGCGATTAAGAGTTATACTTCGCTGTAACAAGGCTGCTGTTCAATTTCGATATTGAATTGTCTGCAGATATGCGTAATGGTCGCGCATGTAGATAATCGTATCGTCGTCCGGGATTGTATATTAGCAATTTATACGGAATAGTTGATTTCTGTGAAGATCTATGAAATGTCGTTGACTAATAATACAGCGGCGTTCTGTGTTGTAAATAGCCTGAGCATTTATCTTCGCGTGGAGGCTTATAGACGGCATCTGGCATACAGTTGATAATCAACTTATGCACGGCGTCTTGAACGGACTGACGACAGTAGCTATATATGACGAAAGCTGCTAGTATATGGAAACCTTGGAGGAGACTTCCTCGGTGAGCGCCGGAGACTTCGCGAAGTTCTCGAAGTATCCTTCTAGATCTTCTGGGTGAAGTAGACTTGGAGCCACTTAGCCTTCGCGACCATCGCGAGAAGGTGTCGAATCAAAGCCCGATTAGTATATATATATATATAATATATATATGAGCTTGCTTCCGTGAACAGCCTCTGTGTTTAACAGGATGTGGGATCGGCGGCTTGCCTAAAGTAGGGCGCATGGATCATCTTATCATATTCAGAAGTCGGTATTCACGAAGTCTGGTGATAAGTGTCTAATTGATCGTTCTAGATCTATTTAGGCCAGCGAACATACGCCTCGGTCATGGATTCAACAGAACCAATATACGATTGTAGTTCTTATACTTGATATCGATGATCAACTTGTCTATGGGTTGATCTTCGGAGACTTGTGAGGGGAACGTTGATAGTTTCGCTGAAGCTCTTGTATAGTCCCTCGATGTCCTTCTAGATGATGATGATCTGGATTCAGGTGTCCTTGGCGCATGCCTTCGCGAAGCTTCCTCTGCGTCCGTCCGAGGAACGGCGATATGACCTTCGAAGGCTTCCGTGATGTCTGATGGTCGAGTCCACATCTAGGGATGAAACCGCATAAGGTGATGATCTATCCTGCCTTCGCGAAGTCCTTCGCGAAGGCTGTACATCTAGGTTCTTTCGCGCCTTCGCGAAGGCTGTACATCTAGGTCCTTTCCGCCTTAGCCGAAGGCCTTCCAGCGAAGCTGTACATCTAGGTCCTTCGTCAAAGGTGGTCCGTGACTTCCTTCGCGAAGGTGACATCGTCCTGGCTGCTCGTTGGACGGGGGTGCCTCTGGGGTGCTGTTCACGTTGGAGCCTTCGCGGCTTTCGGACCCTGCTACCGCAGATATAGTGGTCCTCCATGATGTTCATAATTTGTCGCATCATGTCTTCTGGGATGGTCTGCGGCGAAGTCGTCGGTGCTTTATCTGCGGTGTTAATGGAGGGTCCACGGAAAAATCGTCCGACATCAGTGTAGAGGCATCAGGCTGCATGGTGATCTCTGCTGATGTCGTTGTAGCTGTCACCGGTCGTTTCTTGTGGCGTACGTCGGGGATGATGATCAGCTGATCATCGTAGAGGTCCAGGTCATCGGCTGGAACAATATCGGTTGAGAAAGTCCTAGTAGACTTCGTTGATTTTCCCTCAGAGGTCGGCGCTGCCCTGGGTGTCGCGACGTCTGCGTTGAGTGTTGGTAATGATGGGACCCTCAGGACGATCATCGCATATCTGCGTTGGTACATCAGGCTGCATGCTGATCTGAGCCGACATCGGTCAATCTTTGATGTACATCTGGTATGATGACCGGCTGATCATCAAACAGGCCCAAACTGCGATAGGAACGGTCTCCGGCTGTTGAGATGTGGTAGAAAAACCCTCTAGTCTTCTGCTGCGGCGATGGGATGTCTGGGAAGCAGGATGCTTCTTGGAGATGGCGGACTCACGTCCCACACCTCTCCACCACTCTAGCGGAACACCACCACGGAGAGGAGTCGACCAACAGCAGTAGACTGGCGAGGGGTTCCGGTGTATCAGTCATACTAGAGTCTGCATCTTCAACAAGAGTCATCAGAAGATGACATATCCCCGGCCCCATATCTTTGAAAGAACAAATCATCTGACAGTTACTTAAAGTCCAGCTTGATTTTAGACTAAGTGCAAATCGTTTCCATGGAAATCATGAAAAAAATAAATGACAAAAATCTGCAAATAGCAAAGGCACCACTTTGGGATCTGCCTCACATATCTGCCAAGTTTTGCTGAAAGATATTAAGAAGTTTTCGGGTTGTGCTCGAAACAAAACCTACCCTCCCTTTTGAGACTAAGTCCAAATTGTTTTCATGGAAACTGAGAAAATAATAAATCACAAATATCTGCAAATAGCAAAGGCACCACTTTGGCATCTGCCTGACATATCTGCCAAGTTTTGCTGAAAGATATTAAGAAGTTTTCAGTTGTGTTCGGAAGCGAAACCCATCCCTTCCTTTTTGAGACTAAGTCGAATCATTTCCATGGAAACCGAGAAAGTAATAAATCACAAATATCTGCAAATAGCAAAGGCACCACTTCAAGATCTGCCTCACATATCTGCCAAGTTTTGCTGAAAGATATAGAGAGGTTTTGAGTTGTGCTCGAGAAAGCGAAGCCCACCCCTCACTTTTGGGATTAAGTCGAATCGTTTCCATGGAAACCGGAAAAATTAAAATGCCAAAATCTGTAAATAGCAAAAGGCACAACTTTAGGATCTGTTTGATATATCTACCAAGTTTTGTTGAAAAATATTATCACGGTTTTGAGTTGTGCTCGGAAGCGAAAGCAATCCTTACTTTTTGAGACTAAGTCCAAAATGTTTCCATGGAAACCGGGAAAAATAAAATGACAAAATCTGCAAATAGCAAAAGGCACCACTTAAGGTTCTGTTTCATACATCTACCAAGTTTTGTTGAAAAATATTGAGCGGTTCTTGAGTTATGCTCGGAAAGCGAAGCCCACCCCTCACTTTTGGGATTAAGTCGAATCGTTTCCATGGAAACCGGAAAAATAAAAATACCAAAATCTGCAAATAGCAAAAGGCACCACTTAAGGTTCTGTTTGATATATCTACCAAGTCTTGTTGAAAAATATTGAGCGGTTCTTGAGTTATGCTCGGAAGCGAAGCCCACCCCTCACTTTTGGGATTAAGTCGAATCATTTCCATGGAAACCGGGAAAAATAAAAATGCCAAAATCTGTAAATAGCAAAAGGCACAACTTTAGGATCTGTTTGATATATCTACCAAGTTTTGTTGAAAAATATTATCACGGTTTTGAGTTGTGCTCGAAGCGAAAGCAATCCTTACTTTTGAGACTAAGTCCAAAATGTTTCCATGGAAACCAAGAAAAATAAAATGCCAAAATCTGCAAATAGCAAAAGGCACCACTTAAGGTTCTGTTTCATACATCTACCAAGTTTTGTTGAAAAATATTGAGCGGTTCTTGAGTTATGCTCGGAAGCGAAGCCCACCCCTCACTTTTGGGATTAAGTCGAATCGTTTCCATGGAAACCGGGAAAAATAAAAATACCAAAAATCTGCAAATAGCAAAAGGCACCACTTAAGGTTCTGTTTGATATATCTACCAAGTCTTGTTGAAAAATATTGAACGGTTCTTGAGTTATGCTCGAGAAGCGAAGCCCACCCCTCACTTTTGGGATTAAGTCGAATCATTTCCATGGAAACCGGGAAAAATAAAAATGCCAAAATCTGTAAATAGCAAAAGGCACAACTTTAGGATCTGTTTGATATATCTACCAAGTTTTGTTGAAAAATATTATACGGTTTTTGAGTTGTGCTCCGGAAACGAAAGCAATCCTTACTTTTTGAGACTAAGTCCAAAATGTTTCCATGGAAACCAAGAAAAATAAAAATGCCAAAAATCTGCAAATAGCAAAAGGCACAACTTTAGGATCTGTTTGATATATCTATCCAGTTTTGTTGAAAAATATTGAATGGTTCTTGAGTTATGCTCCGGAAACGAAAGCAATCCTTACTTTTTGAGACTAAGTCCAAAATGTTTCCATGGAAACCGGGAAAAATAAAAATGACAAAAATCTGCAAATACCAAAAGGCACCCCTCATGGTTCTGTTTGATATATCTACCAACTTTTGTTGAAAAATATTGAGCGGTTCTTGAGTTATGCTCGGAAAGCGAAGCCCACCCCTCACTTTTGGGACTAAGTCCGAATTGTTTCCATGGAAACCGGAAAAATAAAAATGCCAAAATCTGTAAATAGCAAAAGGCACCACTTTAGGATCTGTTTGATATATCTACCAAGTTTTGTTGAAAAATATTGAATGGTTCTTGAGTTATGCTCGGGAAGCGAAGCCCACCCTTCTTTAAGACTAAGTCCAAAAGCGTTTCCATGGAAACCGAGAAAAATAAAAATGACAATTATCTGTAAATAGCAAAAGGCACCACCTTAGGTTATGTTTGACATATCTACCAATTTTGGTTAAAAATATCAAAGCGGTCTTTGAGTTATGGTCGGAAACAAAATGATTCTGGACGGACGGACGAATGACGGACGGACGGACGGACGGACGGACGGACGGACCGGACGGACAGACGGACGAGGCGATGACTATATCCCACCGCATTATATGCCGGTGGGATAAAAACGTAATCTGCAACAGTACAGAATTTTCATCAACGTAATCCACTGAAACAAACACAGCGTCCCGTGAATAAACTGTAGAAAAACGACTAAATATCAATATATAATCGTTGAAGGATACTAGCTAAACCTCTATAGATGTCTATACGAGGTAACTAACTAAATATATTTCAAAGGATATAGTGTGTCGGGAGACACAGGCGCTCTCACGTCCAGCTCACTGGGCGAAGAAGGAGAGAGTGAGGCACATGGGTAGAGGTGGCGCCCTCGTTCCCGCGCGAAGAAGGAGAGTTGTGAAAAGGAGGTAACTCGTGGTGAATACTAATTAGTGATTTTAAATTGAAGGGAGCTTCAATTAGGGAGATACAAGTGTTCCACTATGTTCGCAAGAAGAAGAAGACAAGCAAAAAGAGCATGAGTCAGGATAAGGAAAAATAGGAATTTTTCACAAAGTCAGCTTATTGTTCTTCAGTGTAATGAAACCCTTTTGTGACATCAAGCACAATGGATGATCTGGCATTCTTTTCAACAATGACAATGTGGTGTCATATCACTTCAAAAGAACTGCTTTGAGAGTTGCCAAAATGTACATGAAAATATTAGAACATACTTACGGCTGATTGTTCTACCAAGTGTAATACTGACATTGTAATGAATACAACACTACCTGGCCGATCAACCTCGTGCATATATCAGACCATTATTACAGTTGATTGTTCTACCTTGGGTAATATTGACATTAATGTAATGAATGCAAGATTTCTACCTGGCTGATCCACCTCCATGGGAGTCTCTGCCCCGGGGGTCGGTGGCTGGGCATCGCTGGCCCCAGTCTGGGCTGCCCCTTGCAACATGTCTACTTGAGAGGGGGCAGCCTGTTGTGGCTGAGCCTGCTGCGTGAGAGGGGTGCTACTCCTGTGACTGACTACTTCCATGAAAGCCTCAGCCTCTGCTTCTAGTGCTGCCATTGCCTCAGCGATGTTACCCAGTTCCCTGCCTGCTTGGGGAAACAACAATAAAGTTTGTATAACTGTCATACATTTATCAGTTTTCTCACCAGCCTGAATGTTGTAATCTTGAGAAGACCAAACATAGAAATAAACCATAATTTAGAATAAAATGATGCCAGTGTGATTGTCAGATGAAAGATTGTGTGTTACTATCTTTGCAGCCAGTTGCAATTACAGGTTTTCCAAACTTCGTGCCTTTGGCAGACAAATTGTGTTCAAAATTGGGGGTAAAAATAATAATCCTGTATTACAAGACAGCATAATGTAGCATGGTTAAATTACCCATCAAAATGACATGTCTTCACATTTCAGAATTTTGATTACCAATCAGTTGATGTCAAAACACAGTAGGAGTGAAAAGGGTCCTCTTTGCATTTCAGAATTCTGCTTAATTAGTCTAAGTCATAAGATAACAAGAGGGAAAAGGGTGACCTTTTGACAGGACACACAAAGATATCTTGCAGTTCTCATGAATAAATATGTCACATGCAAGATGCTTTATGTATATCAACAATAAGAACTCGAACAGAACAAAAGATGCGTGAAATAGTCTATACACTCATGGGGATCCTTGGGTTGAAGAGAAAATGAAAGAAGTGGTAGTAAAATCCTTCATAAATTTCAAAAAATTTCCAAGCCTTGGAAATATGATGTTCCAATTTTGGAAATTTTTGGAAACATGATATTTCCAAATTGGAAATTTTTGGAAATCACCATTTTGTTTCTTGTGTAAGTGCAATTTTGCTTCAAAGCAGTGAGGCAGCAGTGTTCACTGTACCTGTACGCTTCTGCTTCTTGGCTGCAACCCTTGCTGCCTCCCTCAGCTGGATGATGACCTTGAGGATCCTGAGGAAGAACTGCTGACTGGATGTTTTGCAAGTGAGCTGAGACATTGAGGGTAGCTGTAGCTCTCTCCCACTCTTCATCTTCGTGGGTGCAGATACCACTACATGCACTCCTGGCATAAACCTGTAATAGAGAAAACCAATCCTTTGACGCCTGTATGAGAGATGGCACTTAAACTGGTACCTCGTGAGAAAATTCCCCACTGTTAATAGCATAGTGACACAAAGCAAGTTCAAAAGTCCAGAGCTTGTTAAGTCTTTTTTGAATCTTTAAAATATTGGGGCTTGTATTGCAAAAAACCTGCCCTGCACTGACATGAGCAAGCAATCTGATAGGCTATAAATAAGACATGTCCAATCAGATCTCTGACGCTTCTCAGTGCGGGCCAGGTCAAATCCAAGGATGTCAATGGCAAACGGGCACGACACAGGCATCTTTGAGTTGAATAAATGTACATAAACTCATTATGACAGTTAGGTGCAAGTTTCTCTGAAGGAATGGTGATTAGCATGGTGAGCGAGTGAGTGAGTGAGTTTAGTTTTACGCCGCACTCAGCAATATTGGAATTGAGAAATCACGAGTTTTAGAGCTTCTGAAGTAGCCAGTTCCCTAAGTACTGCTTCAATTTTTGAGCAGTACATCTCATTTTTGAGGTTGGGTGTTGTTTAACGCCACTCCAAGCAGGATTCCAGCTCTCATTTTGTAGGTAAATCTATTGGCTTGAAATGCATGCATAAGTTTAATGGGGTATAATCCCGGTATATACAGTGAGCATTTTTAAATTTGCCCTGAAATGAACTTGTGTTGAATTCATTACACCCCTTTCCTTTCCTATAATAGCCGTGAAGGTCCAGGTTAGAATATTGATCTTCAGTAACCCAAGCTTGTCGTAAGAGGCGACCAATGGGATAGGGTGGTCAGGCTTGCTGACTTGATTTGGTTGACACATGTCATCAGTTCCCACTTGCGCAGATCAATGCTCATGCTGTTGTTCACTGGATTGTCTGGTCCATACTCGATTATTTACAGACCACCGCCATATAGCTGGAATAATGCTGAGTGTGGCGTAAAACTCAAATCACTCCTTTTCTATAGTGTTACGACCCTGTCAGTGACAGTATTCCTTGACGCAAGTTTTTTGCATTACAAGATTAACCAAACCTGAAGAGGTTTTAAATTCTTCGAAGAGAGTCGTCCTTGGGGTACATATTATGCATTTTCCAAGCTGAAAATGTCCTGTGACAGTTGTATCAATGTTTTTTTAATAAAAAGATTGTACAATAAATAAACTTTTTTATTCATTATACGGCCCCCACCTCGTGGAGTTACCTCCCGTTGCGCATGCGCACCAACTGGGTAAGCACCTAGGCCCGTATCATCATTCCTTCTGCTGAATATATCAGTGAACAGAATTGCGGGGAGGCGGGAGGCCCTACCCCAAGGACGACTCTCTTCGAAGAATTTTAAACCTCTTCAGGTTTGGTTAATTCTTCTTCATAGAGATCGTCCTTGGGGTACATATTATGCATAAACACAGACTCCCAAAGACTGGAGGCCAGGGAGGAGGGAATTCTGTCCAAGCACACACAAATAGCTATCGTTAATGGAAAAAAATGTAACAGACGCCACGACACTCACCTGTCGTATGTCCCAGTTTTAGCGTCCGCGAGAGGCATTATGGGAGGGGAACCGACAGGGAGGATTTGTGCTCAAAGACGACCTCCAAATGTTAGCATAGTAAATCGCACATGGTGCGAAATGTAAACAAATCCCCACCCACCACGTGTCGATTAGTGAGCACCGTAGGGGGGAATGTCAAACACTCAGAATCGACTTTAATACTCCGTAGAGAATCGAAATGTGGGTAGTTAGCTCCCAGTAGCGGATATGTCAATAAAACTCAGTATTGAACAGCAGCGTCAAACAAAACCAATGAACCAAGACTCACTTGGTCAGGGTCGCAGGACACTGTCCACTGGAGAGAACAGAACGGCCAAAGCTCGCACAATTACGGGAATGCGTATCGAGCTGATAATGCCGTATAAACGTGCTAGGCCAGCTCCAAATAGCGGCAGAGCAGATCTCTTCAATGGGGAGTGCCGATGCAAAAGCTTTCGATGCGGCTACTGCCCTGACCGAGTGAGCCTTCAACCCCTCAGGGGGAGGTTTGCCCTTAGCCTGATAAGCGGCACAAATACACGAAACTAGCCAGCGAGACAAAGTCTGCTTGCTGCGGCTGGCACACCAGCCTTCCATACCGTAACAACAGAACAGCTGGGTACCCGTGCAGATTCCCTGCGTTAAGTTTGATATAGACTTTGAGGGTCTTCACGGACATCCAGCGGGTGAGTGCTTGTTGCAGAGGTCCCGATGTGGAAGGCTGGGTAAGAGTGGGAAGTTCGATAGGAGCTGTCACATGGAAAGCGTGATCGACCTTCGGGCGGTACGTATCCGGGAGGCGAATACTGACACGATCAGTGTGAAACACAGTCAGCGCCGGGTCGGACGACATAGCATGTAAATCGCCGACCCTACGCCCAGACGTTACCGCCACCAGAAAACAGCCTTCCAAGTTAACAACTGAATGGAAATAGCCGATAGGTGTGAGAAAGTTGGACCGGACAGCCAATCCAGCACAATTGACAAATCCCAAGGTGGGCTGGTTAAGCCTGACAGCAGGTCGAACCCGTTCAGCGCCAGCGGCGCTATGCGAGAGGGTGCTGCCCCAGAAGAGCACCATCGACAGGGGTGTGAAAAGTGGAAATAGCGGTGGAGTAGCCAGCGAATGGTCGAAGCCGCCAGGCCTTCTTCCAAGCGGGCTTGCAAAACTCCAACTACTGGACTAAATCCGCAGAAAAGGGATCTGCAATCCCCCTATCTGAACACCAGCGCGCATAGAGGGACCACCTATCCTCATACTGAACGTTTGTCGAATCCCGCCTCGAAGCCAGAATTGTGTCTGCAACTGCTGCAGGAATTCCGGGTGCCTCGAGGCTAGACCTGACAGAGGCCAAGCCACCCACTGAATCCTTGGATTGGGGTGGGGTGCTCCGTTCTGAGTGAGAATGTCCGGTCGTAAAGGTAATAGAACAGGAGGCTGAGCCAGAAACCTGAGAATTACCGGAAACCAGCTCTGTGACGGCCAAAGCGGTGCCAGTAGCACAAGCAGCCGAGCTGGCTGGGTGGACAGCTGAGAAAGGACACGGGGAATGAGTGGTAACGGCGGGAACGCCCAGAGCACTCTGCCCGTCCAATCCAGCAGGAAGGCGTCGGCAGCCAACGCCCCTGGGTCCGGTATTCGAGAGCAGAACACGGGTGTCTGATTCATCGGGTGTCTGATTCATCGGGTGTCTGACGCAAACAGGTCCACCTGGAACGGCCAGTACAACTGGGAGATAACTCTGAAAATCTGCCTGTCGAGCATCCACTCGTGCGGGGCCAGGATCCGGCGAGAGAGCGCGTCTGCTCGCACGTTCTCCAGCCCCGAGAGATAAACAGGGAGTACCTGACAATCGCACTGGTCGCACCAGAGGAGAAAGTCCCACGTCTCCTGGAGGAGCGCTCGGGACACCGTGCCGCCTTGCTTCAGGATGTACGACATGGCCGTCTGGTTGTCCAACTGAAGACGGACTACCTGGCCCTGGACATGCTCTCTGAAGCGCTCGAAAACCAACCGCACAGCTCTCAGTTCCAACACGTTGATGTGAAGGTGGGCTTCCGACTTCGGACCAGAGTCCGGACACCGACAGACTGCCCAGAACACCCCAGCCCGTGAGGGGCGCATCGGTCTGAACTGTGAGAGCTGGCGTCGGGATTTCAAGGGGACCCCCTGGTGAGATTCCGACATTGGTCCACCACTGAAGGTGAGGTGTCAACCACCCGGGGGACTGAGAGACTGCGCTCCAGGTCCTCGAGTGAGCCCACAGACTTCGCCAAAGCTTGCTGTATAGAGCATCCTCAACCGCGCCCGCCACACTACAGAGATCGTCGCCGCCATATGGCCCAGTAGGCGGATCAAGTCCGTGCTGGTGCCTGGGGCTGGGAGAGGAGCGAAGACACCATCTCCGTACTCTGGTGATCCGGTCGGGCGACAAAGGAAACTAGATCCTTGTGTGTTTGGAACCTCGCCCCGAGAAAAACCAAGTCCTGGGTGGGTACCAGGTCGGATTTCTTGAGGTTGATGATCCACCCCAGTCGAACTAGAAGGTCTATCACTGTGTGAGTAGCATCTAGGCTCACTGGCTGTGTTAGTGCTCCGAGCAACCAGTCGTCGAGGTAAGGGTAACAACGCCTTCCTTGCGAAGCGGCGAGGGTAGCGGGACTAACATGAGCTTGGTGAACACCCTTGGGGCAGTCGATATGCGAAGGGGAGCACCCTGAATTGGTAACACATCCGTCGTAAAGAGAACCGAAGGTACTGCTTGAGCGATGGATGTATGGGCACATGAATCACGCATCCTTGAGGTCGATTGGCGTGAGCTAATCGCCCGGGCTGAACAGATGAGATCACCGGCGCAGTGTCTCTATCTTGAAGGATGGTACTTCTAGCATCGCGGTTCAACCCCTTGAGGTTGAGAATGGGGCGGAACCGCCCGTCTTTCTTCGGGAGAGGAAGTGCGTGGAGTAAAATCCGCCTGTTCCTCTCCCGTGGAATGCGCTTTCGATTAGCGGACTTGTCCAGCAGAGCCTGAACTTCGTCGCGCAATATGTCGCCCTTGCCTGACATGACGGCACCGGAGTGCGGCGTATGCCGGTGAAGTCGGGTGGACCTCGCTTCCACAGTGGTAAATGGCCGACACTGATGGTGGACAGCACCCAAGTGTTTTGTGTAGCCTTCTCCCACTCCGGCAGGAATAGAGAGAGGCGGCCTCCCACTGGGACGTCCGGGTAAGAGCTGCGTCGTTGTCCCGTAAGCGAGCTGACTGGGCGTGACACACGGCTTGATCGACAGCCTGATGGGTTAGCGGGGTCGGGGCAGACCTCCTGCGCCCGCGAAAAGGCTGGGAGCTAGTCGAAGAGGACTGCTCTTTGCCCTTACCCTTGGCGGACCTGTTCCTCCGCCTACCCCTGCCAAGCGGCGAAGCCAGCCAGCGGGCTTCGGGTGTAGGCTGCACCCTGGCGGAGGAAGGTGGAGCGAGGGCTGGGCTGAGACACCACCCAGGTGTGCTCCAACAAGGCCTTAGAGTCCTTGAAGGAGGTAGCTGCAGCGGCAGCCTCCCGTATGACCTGCTGTGCCCCTGGAAGAGGGTCGCTCCCCAGGCGGGAAGGGAGGGCCAGCAAGGTCTGCTGTGTAGTCGCTGCCGAGTAGCGAGGCGTCGACAGCCACAGCTTGCGCATCCCCATAACTTCGCACATCACCGTCGGCGCGAGCGGACCGCAAAGGGTCAGCGCGAGGTGGGCCTGCACTTCAGACAACTGCGGAGTAACCGCGACATCGCGGTGAAACATCACCAGCATGCCCCTCCGCCTCAGGGCCGACCTCTGAATCGAGGAGAGGTAGGCCTCATGGACCACCACCCTGACCTGCTGCATAAGCGTTCCTGTAAACCTCCTCGTAGGTACGGTACGCATGCTGCAGGGGGGCGCCCGCGAGGGCAAACGGTGGAGTCACACGCCCTTGCCGAGCAGCTGGAGCTGCTCCGGAGGAAGCGAGCCTCCCCAAAGGCGACTGAAGTGAATACACACTCATCCACGATAGGTACGCTTGAACAGGGAATCCTCCCAAGCTGGTATCTCCGACAAGCTCCGGCAAGTCAAAAGCGGGCGAGAACCAGACAAGAGGGATCGACCCGTCCTGGACTAACGATGGAAGAATGCGGAGCAGCGTCTGCGTAGGCTGCCTAGGGGCAAACGCCTCGCCTGGCAAGCGGAACTCAGCCGAGTCCGAGCTGCCAACAGGCACCGCGGCCTGGGGTAGGTACTCGGCAATCCGTTGCCGGACCTCCCGCAGAGCCGAAGAGAAACTGAAGGCACCCTCCTGCTCCTCGACCTCCCCAGTATCCATCGACTCGGCGCCCGAGCCCGAGTCTGAGGCTGGGTCTCCTCGCGAAGAGGACCCGAACCCCGACCCGGTGGGCTGCCTAGCACTAGGAACAACAGAGAGGGAGGAGCAGACAGAGCGCCCTGCGTCAGTGCCTGCAGGCATGCACGGACCCCGGTCCCGAGACGCTGGAGGCATACCAGGCAGAACTGGTGCCTCCGCTCTCATGGGGCTGGAGGGCGCAGGGATCGGAACCCCAGGAATCATCAACGGTCCCTGCGCCAACTCCGAGAGGGGGACTGGGAGCACCTCCCCCTCCGGGGCAGCCGAGGCGTCCGGACCCGAAGCCAGAGGCAACGGGTCGACAGACGCCTCAAGGCCTAGGGATCGAGCCGGGCTCGGCGATTCCCCAGACTCTCCGCCCGACGCTCAGAGTGGGCGAGGAACTCCTGCCGGAGTCCTCCAACTGTCTCATGAACGAGGGACCTCATCAAGTCTGCGTGCTGCTGAAACATCTGTGTGATTATAGTCATATCAAAACCGCTACCAGGAGCGGGAGAAGGGGACTGGCTACGGGATTTTTTTTCCTTAGAGCGCGGCTTTTTAGCCTTAGACGGGGGGACCTGGGTAAGTTCCCCTCCCGCCTCACGCATTTCTCTGTAAAAGAGGAAGTCGGCCGCCCTCCTCTTCTGGGCCCGGGGGGAAAACCCCAGACAAATTTCACAAGTTTTGGCCTCATGGCCGGTCTTTTCCAAGCACACGATACACTTGTCGTGTCTGTCGGCCCGTGGAATACTCTGCCCACAGACCGAACAGGAGGAAAACGCCTGAAAGCAAACATGCAAGCATGTAGCTAACGGCGGACCAGCAGCTAAGATACACGTAGAAAACATTGAAAAATACGTGAAGGCTACCACGGGAAGAAATAGTTGGTTCAATACGCAATGTTACAACCACGTGGCACGCTAAACTTCCCGCCATGGCAGAGCAATATGTGCGTAAATCCACGGGAAAGTTAGCGTAAAATAATTAATGCAAAGTCACAATTATGAAACAACCGACCACAAAGCTTTACTGTTCCTTACAAGGACAAAATAAAGACCATACATACAGGTGGTGTCTCAGACATTATACTCTTTCTCTCAGAAAAGGTCAGCTCCGCTCGACACATACGTCTGTTAGAGGCAGTGACAGCAGAAGGAATGATAATACGGGCCTAGGTGCTTACCCAGTTGGTGCGCATGCGCAACGGGAGGTAACTCCACGAGGTGGGGGCCGTATAATGAATAAAAAAGTTTATTTATTGTACAATCTTTTTATTCAAAAAACATTGATACAACTGTCACAGGACATTTTCAGCTTGGAAAATGCATAATATGTACCCCAAGGACGATCTCTATGAAGAAGAATCTGTGGTTTCAATCTCCTCACAAACACAGATCAACTATCAAGACAAGATAACAGCAGCTTGTGTGTTACATACCTGTCAGGAAGCATTCCTTTGCCTCTATTCTCAACATTTGCGTCAACATCTCTACTGTCATCAGAGTCAAACACTTCATCAGTTATGTGAGAGTTTAGGTTCTGAAGTTCTACCAGCAACCCTCTGAAAAACAGTAAAACAAATAACATGCACTCTGTTTCTATGCAACAAGATGTATTTCCATAACCATATTCTGTACAAAGACGAGGAAATGCTTCTTTGAAGCGTCATTGTATATAACTTTCAATTTAACTTCACTGTCACAAGACCGCCTCCATGGTGTAGTGGTTAGAGCGTCCGCCCGGAGAGTGGAAGGTCGCGGGTTCGATCCCCGACCGCGTCATACCAAAAGACGTTAAAATATGGTACTTGTTGGTTCCTGCCTGGCACTCGGCATTAATGGGTACAACAAGGACTGGTCAGCTCGGAGTCAGTATAATGTGTCTGAGTGGGGTATTCATGCTTCACTGCGGCATGGTATCTCAGTGGGCTAGCACTATAAAACCAGCCTAAGTCTGGGCTAGTACAAGCAGCCACACATACACATACACACACATGCATGTCGTCATATGAGCGAAATATTCTCAAGCACGACGTTAAACCCAATTTCACCTCACCTCACTGTCACAAACTGTCTAAACTGAATGCACAATCACATTGTTCCTGTTAGAATGTTTTACCTTATATTGGCACAGACTGTGAGACCCAGTTTCCTTGCACCAACCAGCAAGAGTTCAAGTACTGCATTGCGTGTGGCATTGTTTGCCCAAGACAACTGTAGTAACAGGTTTGTAGCATCTTCTAAACCTTCCTCAGAACATGACTTGGTTGTCAGCACCTGTAAGAGAAAACCCAAGATTCACCTGTTTCTGCTAAATGCTCATGTCATCAAAATAAGGGGACATAACACAGAGATTAGTTCAAATTAGTATACAATACCATGCCAATAATTGCATGATCATTGTTCAGTGAAAGGATTAAGAAAAACACTTTTACTGCATGATTGTCTCTCTGTACCCCCTTTGCCTTTGAAAAAATCAAGTTTGTTCAGTATAGAGAGAGAAAATCTAGTGTGAGGGTACAAATGTTTATCCACCCTATCACCAGTATTTTAAAAGGTTTCAATGCTACAAACATAACCCCATCTCTCACCTGTACAGCTAGATTCAGTTCATTCTTCAGTATAGGTGACTCATCCTCAGATTCTTCTTCCACTTCTTCAGGGCTCTTTATTGACTTAGCTGTACAGGACAAACCATTAGCCACATTTACAGTTTACTCATGACATAATATATCCCTAAGTCGGACAAACAAGTGATGATTTCTACTCTACATGATCCTTAACATGTAATTGACCTTTTACAAGAGTTAAGTACTTCATGATATGAGATCAGACTGGAACAGCTTTATAAAACTTAAACTGCCAGTGACTATGATATGGGTACTGTTGTACAAAGCAATATAAGCACTAAGGTGATCCTAACTCCAAGAACTTAACATTAAGACATACGCCTGTCATAGTGCTAAGGTTGCTTTGCACCATGGTCTTTATATACTTCATAATATGAAGTCAAAAACTTTCATGCAGGATGACAAGTCTTGCCAGGAGCTAGATAAATCAGACAACATACCATAACACACCTACTTATAATAAGTGAGGACAGCCTTTCAATCATCAATTTACTTGCTTCCTCACAAAAGTCTGTAACATAGTGAGTCTTGCAAAGAAAGCATATCCTGTAACCACCCAGAACTTATTTGTGGGCTCTTATGACAAGCATAAGACACCGGGCACACATTCTGCCCCAGATATCTGAGCTTTTCGAAATGTGAACACCGTGCTTTTAAGTTCCACACAGTCTCTAAACCTACCATATGGATTCTGTGCCACCAATCAAAAAATGCGAGACACAGACCTTACCCAAGTCAGACACTCACCTTCTGCACTTGTTGCAGGTGGGGCTGAAGGTTGAACTACTGATGTTGGTGTAGGTGCAGAGCTTGAGGCTGTAGTTATCGTGGTTGCTGTCAACAGACTAGATGCTGCAGCTGTAGTTGCAATTGAATTGGTTGTTGTAGTGGTGACAGCACTTGTCCGGACATCCCTAGCACGGGACAAATCCGGCAATCCTATCGACACAAGACCTAGAAGTCTGAGGAGTCTGTCCGTGAGCAGCTGACTCCTCCGTATAACAGGGTGAGACAGCATGTTCATGAGATGTCCTATTGGAGAGCTGTTATACACTGTACTGTCCTCACTGTCAAATGCACTTGAATTATGGGCTTTCTGCATTCCCTTGCCTTTCCTGCTACCGCTTGTATTGTCCAATCTCACCAGTAAATCCCAGAAGTTGGTGTCACATCTACTCTCTTGCTTAGCGTCAGATTTCTCCCCCTTCTCAGTCTTGTTCGCAACTCTGGGACTTGAGGCACCACTTGCAATTTGTTTCTGTTTGTTATTGTCCGTTTCCTTGCCATCATCTTCACATTTTTGGACCTCTTTTGCCTTTGGCGCAGGCAGAAAATGGCTTGGAAATACTTTGGCTAGGGAAATGAGAGTGTCTAACACATGTCTACACACCACAGGTGCCGCCTGATTATGAATACTGACACTACAGCTGGGAGGACTGGTGTGTTTCTTACCTGCACTCCGCTGAATTTGAAAGACATTGGCTCGACAACCTAAGGCAGCCTCGAGACTCATTGACAACCAGGATGCTTGACTGCGCACATCACTTTTCAAAGCCACCGGGGAATCTGTTTGCATTGGTTGAACCTTTTTGGCCTTGCCCTTTTCTGGGGTCTTGGATGGCCCACTCTTGTCCTCAATTTCATGGACCTTGCACTCACCCGTTTTCTGCATGATAGACAACAATGCTCTAATCACCCAAGTCCTTGTTGGTCCATCATAACACAAATTCCTTAACACTCTATGAAGTCTTGATGTGTTGAGCTTTGGTTCATCCAAGAACAGTAAGACAAGTAAACAGGTCAGTGCTTCATTGTCCAGTAGATGGCGACCCCTTAGCTTGATGGCAGCACTGTTGGCAGGAGGCTGTGCTCCATACCTAGCAGCATACCTGCCTCCGTATCTGTTCCCCCAAGCCCATCTGCTTCCTCGAGGGGCTGCCCTGATTGCATAGCGTGATCCAAGACGTCCAGCTAGGCCTGAACAGAAAGGTTATTTTTGTTAGAACAAAGAAAGAACTAAACAATAAACAAGTCAAACGTAGGTCAGAAATACATTTTTACAAGCTTTACAGAGCTGGCGGTAAAATTTGTTGAAATAGAACAAAAATAATCTGAATTAGCTCCTTTTTTGTTTTTCATTTGACGAGAAGTTGTCAGCATATTACATGCAATAAAATAATTCCTAAACAAGGACCTAATGATGACAATTTTGCATCAAAACAAACAAGACTTCAGTTGAAAAGGAAAAAAATCTGAGTGACTGCAATGATTATTGAAACTAGCTATCCAATATACAATAATCCTCGGTTTCACTAACACCTGACATCTACCTGTCAAACGACAAACTATCAACATGTTCACCTACAGTCAAGTAGAGGACTTTAAAGAAAATTTGAATTGCTTTTCTTTTCACATTTTCCCAACCTACTGACAGACATAAATATTTCCTTTAAAAATAATCCTAAAATCAAGATTTAAAAAAAGTGTGTGCCCTCAATAATAAGTTTACTCTCTTCATTTTACTGCTAAAATTGACCCAAATACTGGTCTCCAAAACAAAAACAAGGGAGTAAGTAAAGTGTACACTCCACATCAGTTTTATATCAGCCATGTTGCTACAAGAATAAGGGAGCACACAATTGACTCCACAATCATCTTCAAATGCATCTTCCAGGTGAAACTTCTGATAGGTTTGGAGCAGTTTATTCATGCAGAGTAATGAGTTCATGGTTTTTTTATTCCGGGTATCGAGTTACACAGAGGTAGCACAAAGTGAGAATGCTGAAGGAATCTTTTTAACCAATCACAGATTTTTTATTCCTAACAATATTCAGGTACTGCAGATACAATAAAGCCTAGGAATTTGATCAACAATAAATAACTGCCCTGGTATTATCATTTCACTGCAGCCTTCCATTTTCAGTCCTCAAGAAATAAGACCCTTGTTAAATTAAAGCCTTACACTGACCGACACATCTAAGACTTGAATCAATAACTTTTGCTTCCCACTCCAAACATATCCTAAGAACTTTAGAATCATCACACTTCCTTATTCCTTCCACAGAACAAGATCGAAACATGCAGTACTTGATAGTAAATTAAGTTGTCCAGTATCCAAACAATACAAACATCACTGTTATCTAGAGCTTGTATAACACTAACAGTTGTTAAAGACATGTACAGCTGTCTTTCTTATCAAAAGTCACACTAGCTGGTATAAACAGAAAATAAGCAAATGAAAGAAAACTAAAATGGAGCAGAGCTGAGTAGAGAGATTGTGTAAGTGGGAGCTTGTGCTACAGTAAGCAAAGAAAACACCTTAAAGCATCCTGGACCATACTTATTGACATTCTGGAGTTCGGCAGCATTACTGAATGCTACGATCAAACGATACTGCACATAAGGAAATCTCATAGCAAACCTTGATGTAAATGTTATCTTCTGTCAACAAGTGATGACCTTAACATCTAAGGCATGGAATGTTTGGAACAGTTAACTAAATAGAACTTCAAGCTTCAACTTTTCTGTGCAGAAAAAACTTGTTGAGGACTACAACATCAGTGATACTACTTTCAAGACAACATATGACAAGACATGACAATGCCGTAGCTGTATCAAGACTTAATTGCCCACCCCTGTACTCGTCCACCAAGGTTCTCCCTCTGCTCAACCCTGCTCTATCTTGAGCACCTGAATGTCGTAAAATAGCGGATAGAGAAGCAGCACCAGCTTGTGCAAAGATTCTCTCTTGGACAATTCTGCGGTGCCTCTCCTCGAACTCCCTCCTCAGCTCCTGAGCCTCAGCTGCCAGGTCAGGTGGCAGGACAGCCAACATGCTGTCGTCCATGTCGGCCAACACCTGCTGTCGTAGTGACGTGGGCAGAGTGGCAAAGAAGCTTGCAGGGTCAACCGGTGTCTCCGGGTTGGTTTGCGTCTGCTGTTGAGCTGCAAGACGGGCCTGTTCTGCCCTCTGCTGAGCCAACACCTTCAATTGAAAAACAAGAGTTCCTGAAGTAATTGGATGATAGGCCATTTGGAAATATATCAAACAAGTTCAACATTCAATCAACATGATCATATACTAAAGGTTCAATGACTGTGAATGCCTGAATGTCGTTCACTCTAACCAGTCCATCTGTAATACATAGCACTGAAAATAGTCTAGTGTGGACCAGACAATCCAGTGACTGATACTAAAAGCAACGATCAATGCAGATAGTCAGCATAGGTTACTGTGGATCTATAATAACCGGGACCTAGATTTTCGAAGCTCTCTTAGCGCTAAGATAGTCATAAGATAATGTTACTATATGGCACTTACGACAATCTTAGCGCTAAGAGAGCTTCGAAAATCTGGGCCCAGGGTGGGAGGTGGAAACGATCATTCTATTTTGAAAAAATGCTAGTTATGTTACAGTGTCCCATAAATAATTAAAACAAGCATTGTCACTAAAGTGACATAATCCCCCGCCGCAAATTATCAAATCAAACTTATAAAGTAATGAAAGTTTAAGATGAAGTTAAATGTCAACAAAAACATGACCAGTCAACCTCTCTTGATATCTTGCTGTTTAGTTCTTCAAACACACACATATTTTCAACCCTGACTTTGACCTTGACATGAATGTCATAGTGTATGCAATATGTAAAACTAGTACTAAAGAAATTGCTTATTGAAAAACATTCAAGGGAGGTCTTGAAAGTCTATGAAGAAAGTCCAGTGAACCGTTCTTAAAATATCTTGCTGACAATTCAGGTTAACATGCTGAAATCTTCAAAGTGTCGTCGTGACCCTAAAAATTATGTGAAGGTCACCAAAATTGACTGGGCCCTGGGCCTTCCCTAGATGAAGCTTGGTACTGAATAAAAAGAAAATCCACTGAATACTTTTTGCGATATCTTGATGACTACCTTACATGCGATTTAACATGCTGAAATCTTCAAAGTGTCTCTGTGACCTTGAAAATTAAGTGAAGGTCACCAAAATCGACTGGGCCCTGCGCCTTCCCTAGATAAAGCTTGGTACTGAATATGAAGAAAATCCAGTGAATGGTTCTTGAGATAGCTTAACGTGCAGGTAAAACGTTAAAGTCCCCTTGTGACCTTGAAATGAAGGTCAAGGAAACCAACTGGCACCTTCCTTTTACTGTGATGAACCTAGGTACCAAATATGAAAAGAATCCTGTCAACGGTTCTTAAGATATTCCAATTCCGGACGGACGGACGGAGCCTAATACTAATGCTAAACGCGCGACGGGGGATAATAAGGGGGATCAGAAGTTGATAGCATAATTCCATGTCACTTACAGGAAGATGATATGAAAAACATACAAAACTGTCACAATTTCATACTCACTTGTCATCACAGAAAACTAAAGAGCTCTCAGACCATGGGTCCAATAACAAAAATATTTTCTTTGTGTGGCATTTTAGAAATTGGGAAGTAGAATATTGACAAACTTTATGGATAACAACTTTTGTTATTTCGTGTGTGCAACTTTTCGATACAGATTCATGTCCCTGCTTGGCAATGATACAAGAATCTATATCAAAATGTCTCACTCAAGAAATAAAAGAAGTTGTTATCCATAAAGTTTGTCAATATTGAAAAGAAATATTGTTAGCTTCTACACAAAAAAGGTACTTTAACATCATATCAATCCAGCTTAACACTTTATATGATAACTTACCTCTTCCTGGATGGCAGGCGGCAAAGCTGCCAGGAACTCTGGGTTAACCTCCATAGCTCCCATACTGTCTGTGTTCTGCGCCTGCTGTTGTGCTCGCTGTTGTATCCGTTGAAGACGTAGCTGTTCTGCTATCACCTCTTGTCTGATGTTGTCTGGCAATGCAGCCAAGAATGAAGGGTCTACACCCTCTGAAGAAGAAAATACTACACGTCACCATGGTACTTATTTTAACCTGACACAATAACCCACGAATATGCTTTGTAATTCCCTCTTATTTTAGACAAAAATTTCAAGTCATTACTTGTCTTACAGAAATTAATTTACATACTGGAATTTACTGATCATATTGAGCTCTGACACTCAACATACCCCCGAACATATTCTGCGCACCAGAGTCTGCTGCAGCTGCAATGGTCGTTGGAGTGGCACTAGAAGTACTAGTTAGGTTAGCAGCTTCTGCCAAGGATGATAAGATGGAACTAGAGACGCTAGTCTGCGAAGTAGTGCTACCTGATGTGGTCGGAGGGTTGATACCAGATGCTGTTGCAAGTTCTTCTGTGCTACCTGAAAGGACAGAGAGAGGAGTGAGTAGAGAACACATCCACCACCGACAGAAATATTGTGGGGAATACCAATTGACATGCCCTGCCTGTTTAAGAAAACGAAAACCAGAGTGAGTGAGTGAGTGAGTGAGATCACTTTCAAACTGGTCTCTGTTACACAAAGTGGTCCTAAGACTACTGTCAGGGTATGGCCTTACCAATAAGTAAAGGCCCAGGGTACTGTTGCAGGGTTCGAAATCTGTGTTGTACAAAGCAACCTCAGTACTAAGTCGTAAGTCTATGTTAAGGTATGGAAGCATTGAGATTGCTTTGTACAACAGCACCCAGATAGGTAAAGTGTGGCAGCTACATCATTGACATTAGGCAGAAGACTGACTGAGTTTGGTTTTACGCCGCTTTTAGCAACATTCCAGCAACATCACGGGCTTCACACATTGTACCCATGTGGGGATTCGAACCCCATTAGGCAGAAGAATAAGCCAAAAAAACTGTATATTGTTGGGAATAAAAACTGTTCCACGAAGCATATGTCAATTTCTAATTTCTGGCAAGGTCCTGATATTTGAAACTATAACTATGCTTTCCTATTGTATATAACATATCTTATCTTACCTCACACATAAATGTCGTTCTCTGAGTGGCTGAGTGCTCTTCTATTATTTTCAATGTACCCCGCTTAAAAGCGAGTAACATTTTCTATGTTACCCACTGGGAATGCCGAACTTACGAGAATTCATTTGGTACTTCGTGTTAGTAATTCTTTATCTTGAATAACTGAGTCAAATATGATGTACGGAAATTACCAATGTTTTATGAATGCAAATCGATGGAAGGGAGATAACTTTAAATTTGTTTTTCTTGTCGTCTATCGTCAGTATTGGCTAATTGCCTAAATCTGGTACTCCTTATTATGATCCAATACCTGTGCTTCAAACAGTTCAAAAATAACATTGAGGTGTTTGGTAAGATAAATACATTGTTTACTGGACCCTCAGGCTCAGGGAACATAAACAAACATGGAGGTACATCAACCCTTGTCTCCCTCATGACCGGTGAACAAGTTATAATACTAATGTACAAATACATATTCTACAGAGCTGAAACCCAATGAACTTTCACATGACATGTTGATGTCTGATGATGAAAACAGATCAATAATGTAATGAAACTTGCCTGATGCAGAAGAATGCACTGTAACAGCATCTGAGCTTGTAATGTTAGAGACTTCCTCGGGGGTAACAGCTGTGTCACTCTGGGGTTGGGCCCCTGTTGTGGAGTCGGAGCTGGATGTGGGGGTGGCAGTAGGACCCACCTCATCTCCCTGGGTGGTGCCCAACCCAAACAAGGGCAGGGCGGAAGAGCTGGTAGCCTCCATGACAGAATCGTCAAATAGCAACAGGGAAGCCAGATTAGAAGTTGGCAGATCTCCAGCCCTGGAATGAAGAGATTACATGTGAAGGGTTGGATATAGCAATATTTGGCCACAACTATATCAGGCATGTGCTCTTAGTTCAACATTAGTAATCTGTGATGAATGTGTGCATGATCAACAGCTTGTGACAGCGAATTCTACATAACCTTACAGTCAGCGATAGCCAAACTATGGCACATTAGTCGGAAAACTATTTGTCTGGGTAATGAACCAGTGATGCATATGAGAATCAATTTGTGATGTCTGGGTACAGCAACACGACATGTACTATGTTGATACTAAAGTACTGTCGGCAATACAAAAACAACGTTTTTAGGCTGTTACTCTGTATCCCTAAAATTTACACAACTGCAAATAACATATGTCAAAACAACCCACTTCGGCCTAACTTGGTATTCAGTGGGATGCGTAATAGGATATCCAGAAAAGCATGTTACTCGTAAAATCGGGCAAAACTTAGAAAATAAATACGAATAGCTGCTGAAAACAATAGATCAGACTATAGATGGCAATTAGGTCGCTCAGCCAGGTATGACAACAGACCGTCGACTCACCTAGCATGAAATGCATGTGATGCCTAAAGGCACAAGGGGTCATCTCAAAGATATTTTGTGCTTTTTCATGTGTGTTGATTATGCCTCATCTGTTGATTAACATCTTACTTGTCTTTCTTTCATGAGGTTTATGTTGAGATATGTAAAAGAGTATGATACCTGATAACCATGGAAACGCATCGTATTAAATGTCTCAAAATATATAGGTGGCATGATCACCCGATTGCAAAGATTGACAGGACTGGATATTATTTGTAAATTGTTACGACATGCCGTGTACTTCCCCAGTATAATTGCCCTAAAGGATTATCTTATCTTAGCTGATATCTCTATCCCCGAACCCGACCCCAACGATCGTCTGCGACACCCGTCCAGGTTTTGCTTTTGAGACAAACCCTCCTGTTATAGTGACAGTGAGACTCCATGGAAGCTACATCCTTAATAGTTTCAGCATGAAAGTTATTATTTTTTACGCCAGTTATCGTTTATAATGAAGCTACGTCTAATTTCAAATTGGGCATTTAAAAAGTGTCCTTTGTAATACAATATCGTCGGACACTAATTCGCATAAAGCCATGGTCTGTTCCAAATAAATCGTTTTGGACTTAGAAAAAACTGCATTGCTCATTTCTGCACTAATCTCTCCTCAGTAAAGTCCTTTTTCTACGTTTCCTATGTCCCTACCACTGAGACTGTAGTTAGGCCGAACTTAGTGTAACAGATATTTCACATTTGCACATATCAACTACATAAATTGTAGAGATAAATGAGAAAATTACATTGAATGAACAAAGTGCCCAGGCCTACCTGCGTGGTGCTGAGGGTGTTGTGAGGGGGGACAGGCTGACTGGCCGGCATGATGGTATCTGCAGCTAAGCCCTGTCCAGCTAGAAGGTGGTCAGTGAGCTCAGCATGAGCTGTGGTGGACACTGCAGCCTGGGTGACACTGGGAGTAACTGCGGTCTGTCCACTTGGTAAAGATGCCGCGGTGGTGGTGATGGCTGGGGCAAGAACCTCCTCCACCATTGCTGAAGCAAGTCTCTCTGCTGCTGCCACTGCCTCACTGACACCTGGATTATACAGGACCCGTGATTGCAAACTACATACCTTTAAAGTACAAACTGTTTAATCTGTGAAAGAGTGAGTGAGTGAGTGAGTGACTTGGGTTTTACGCCGCCGCTTTTAGCAATATTCCAGCAATATCACGGTGGGAGACACCACTAATGGGCTTCACACATTGTACCCATGTGGGAAATCAAACCTGGGCCTGTGGAAAGCTTTAACCGACCCGTTTAATCTAAGAAACACTAAAATAAATACATTACCATCTCAAAAGTTTATAAAGCAATACAAATATGTCTCAATTTGTCAAGTCATGTCAATATTAAGGCTGCAGCGAATACAGTATGAGGCGAATACAATATGTTTTCCAAATACGAATATGTATTCATGAATAATTTATGGTTACTATCTGGGAATTAAAAGAACAAACGTCACGTTGAAACATTTAAATGATACTTCCTATTAAAGTAAAAATGCAATACATTGCGAACAATGCCACTTATAGCCTAATGGCAGTGCTGTGAGGGGTCCCCACCTTAAAATAACATGAGTTATGCTACTGTATGGCTTGGATATATTCCATTTTGAGTATCTAACTTAGATCAACAACAAAATTCCAAGTAAAAACTCTCTTAAATATGTTAGCATCAAAATGTGGATGGGCACAACTTCATGACAGGGATGTCAGCTAAGGTAGGAAATATGCACAAATTCTTCTTCCTTATCTTGGTCAATCAAAGCTTGTATGTAATCAGTGGGGTACAAAAAACACCATTGAACTTACTAATTTGCCGTGAGAGATTCTCAGTAGTTGTAGTGACTGGTGGTGGCGGTGGTGGGTTTGGAGTGGACGTGTGGCTGGGGACAACTGGGGTGATGCACAGAGTGTTGGCGGCACTAACTGCTCCCGATGTTGTCACACTGGAGGATGTCCCAGACTGAAAGAAAGGACACATTTATTGATACTATCTCGGCATAAACTCGGCAGAAGGTAACAGAGTTTAAGAATTGAGTAAATGATCTCACAGCTAGGTCATCCCTCCTATCCCCATAGTTACAGCAACTCTGAGAAATCCTCACCGAACTGTCAATCTGGCCAGCCTCGTCGGGCTTGTTCTGTTTTTCCTTCTCCTTCTTGGCTGCATCTTCCTCTGCTGCTTTCTTCCTCTTCTCTCTCCTCTCAGTCAACTCATCATCTCTGGCCTTAATCAAACTCTCAATGATGCTAGGTTTCACCGCTGTAAATGTACATACCACATATAATATTTGAAATGTTTCACAACACATGATTTTTCCACAGTAAGTCCTACAACAGGGATCTGTCTTATTTGATTAGAATAATCCTGTGTAATCATTCTCTCCCTTTACAGAGTAGTCATTAAGCTTAATGGTGAAGGCACCAATTGACAACCTGGTCTTTGTGTGTGAAAAGTTATTTAAAAAATACCCACTGGTCCCAGAGATATGATCAGGGCAAAAACTGACTACAGATGGGCAGATAGGACAGGCAAGCTGATGAGGATTGCCCCCTGGGGTAACGATGGACCAGTTTAATCTTGAAAGCAGTTTCCCTATCATCATCTGTTTGGGTTTGTTTCTTTGTTGTTTAATGCTGCACTGGGCAATATTTCAGTGGTTTGTAAATAACTGATTCTGGACCAGACAATCCAGTGACCAACAGCATGAGCATCGATCTACACAACTGGGATACTATGACATGTATCAATCAAGTCAGCGAGTCTGACCACTTGATACTGTTAGTTGCCTCTTCCGACAAGCATGGGTTACTGAAGATCAATTCAACCCGGATCTTCACGGGTTCATCTGTTAGTGTGAAGATCCACTTACTCATGAGACAGTTGTGGACACTGTCTCCATCCAAGACCTTGGTCTCTTCTGTCCAGCGAGTCAGTGTAGACGGCACACAAGACAGGACACCGGAGCCTGCAGAGCCACTCTCGGGAAACGGGTCCTATAACACATCATTCTCCTTTGAAACATTCAGTCAAATGCATTGCAAAACTACTGTCAAACAAGACACTAAAGAAATTTTGGTCCTTCCATTTTCACCAGATACAGTGCAATTAGACTTATGAGGCATCCACTTTTCCAAGCACCCCAATCTAATGAATCACCATGGAAAGGTTTATAGGAACAAGAGAGTGAGTGCGTGCTTGCTTGCGCAAGTATGGTTTATGAGGCATCCACTTTTCCGAGTACCCCAATCTAATGAATCAATGTGAAATGGTTTATATGAACAAGAGAGTGAGTGAGTGAGTATGGTTTTATGCAGCTTTTAGCAATATTCCTGCAATATCACAGTGGGGAACACCACAAATGGGCTTCACACATTGTGCCTATGTGTGGAATCAAACACAAATCTTCAGCACAATGAGTGGACGCTTTAACCACTAGGCTACCCCCACCACCCTATGACCAAGAGATATAGAAATTACTTTTACTGTACATATGATAAAGCAAAGAAAACAAGAAGACAAAGTCATCAATATCCCCAGCAATGGCAAAATACTCTTCATGATTATGTCTACGAGTTATGACTATGTCAAATATTTAGGTGTGTATATAGAAAAGTGGAAGGAGAGCATTGAAAGGAGCACTATCACCAATTTCAGTCAAAGTCGAACTTGTTGCCATGGAAACGCCAAAAATATTTTATTCAGAATTCCAAAACTACCAAAAGGCACCAGTACACCACCAGACCAATCTGTGTGCCAAGTTTGGTGAAGAAATATTGAATGGTTTTAGAGTTCTGCTCCGGAAAAGAGCACTACCACCAATTTCATTCCAAGTCGAACTTGTTGCCAAGGAAATGCAAAAAATATTTTATTCAGAATTCCAAAACTGCCAAAAGGCACCAGTACACCACCAGATCAATGTATGTGCCAAGTTTGGTGAAGAAATATTGAACGGTTTTAGAGTTCTGCTCCGGAAAAGACAAATGTGCACGGACGGACGCACGGACGGAGTCCATTTTAATACCCCCCTGCAAAACGCGTTGTGGGGGATAACAATATATAAAAACAACCAACTGCATTTTCTTACAACACATGAAACTGAAGTTTCTAGGTTGACACCTGTTGAATGTGCTATCAATCATCTGCTACAGACTCTTAAGGAATTACCATTTCATCAGGTCGATAACTCTTACCTGGAATAGCTCTTCAAAGAGATCTTCCTCAGGCCTGGAGATAATCCTCAAGTCATCATTGGCCAGGACAACCCTGGTGTGTGTAGGTCCCCCAGCTTGTGTTGTGAGGGTGTTGGTTAGCTGTAGGATGTCCGCTGCTGTAGTTGGGCCAAGGAGTCTGCAACAAACGTTCTCAACATTCAAAACCTTCAGACCCACTTGCTCTGGAATCGCTTTATATACTCCAGGATTGTCCACATGTGAACTGTTGTACTGATTTTCTTTACTTATTACAATAGTAAATGTCACTGGTTTCCAAAGTAACAGAAACCCACATGATCACATATATATGTCATAAGAAATATAAGAAACCATCGTTAACATTACATTTACTTTTCAAAATGGATTATTGCTTAGACAAAGATTTACTGTTACAAATATCTGATAGGATAGAAACACAATGTGCATGCAGTCAGTGGTCAGAGGTGATGCCAGTTTTTGTTTCAATTTGGTGTTTAGTTTTTAAATAAGAACTAATGTTAACTTGTGTCAACTCATTAATAAGAGGATATTGCTAAACAAAAGACTATTAAAGTAACCAAGTAGGAACAACAACATCTCAACATATCAAGTTACCTCAATGGTAGATTACTTCTGAAAAAGTGCACTGAATGTCATTCATAAAGGTCCATATTCAATGATAATTAAAAGTTGTTTTGTAATTAATACACCAATTTTTAATTGCATTATTTTCATTACAATTTAATGCAAGTTCCATGGAACCATACTTAGTACATCAGCATTCAAAAACATCTGTTATTATTCTAAAACTAATTTCAGCATCATAATTGCACTTCAGCATTCAATACCATATGCCTTTAACATCAATTGCAGACATTTGACATTTATTTTTGTGTTACATTTCTGTGTAATAACTACAGAAATGTTTTTACATTGATCTTTAATTTTTCAACCTAATGTCATTTTTACAATGCATACCCTTTTACATCCTCTCTCATACTCACCATTAAGTGTCAATGAACGTTACATTTATTTTTGCCAAGTTATTAGGTATTTATTAGGACAACTTCCATCTATTATAAGTAATCCCAATTCAATAAAAATATCAGAGAATTCTTACAGACAACTTCAGATAAAATAGGAAAGATCTGATACAATGAACAAGAATAATTTATTCACATAACCTTACTTCTAATGTCTCCCATACTATACTAAATGTTGTTCTACATCGCTACTTTATAGCTAGTTAGTAGTTTATTGGCTAATTCCCATCCCTGTATACACTAACAGTTTAGTTAACACCTGTCCTAGTTCCAGTTTGTCTTATAAATGTTTTTAACCTTTGTAAGATAACTGGAGGATTTGGCTGTCGACCACTGCCCTGCAAGTTGACATGGAGAGTCTGAGTGTTGGGATTGAACCTGTAGGAGCCTCGTTGCCGGTTCCCTCGATGAACTCGAGCCACGCCCATCACTGTGTGGGGGTCAGACTGTCGCATCAACAAAGGATGAGCTGTTGTCACGTTGCTAGGAGCAGGGGGAAGGGACGGCACTAAAATAGAAGTTGAAAAGTGATCTCCTGTTTTATACAGATCAAGTAAGAAGTAACATTCTGGTTCGGAAAGTTAATAAATCTGCTTTTACGAGATCTTACTTGCAAATTGTCTTTTACGTTGTTCACGAGAATCTGGGCAGAGTTGGTGATAGTCATTACATTCATGCAGAATGCATGTACGATTTTTGAAAGATTTGAAAGAGCGATCTGGTAAAATACAAATTTTAACTTTCAACAGAAATGTTTCCACTTACTTGCTTCATTTCCATTATCGTTATCATGAACAGAAATAGGCAGTTGGTAGGTTCGTATCTGGGAGTTATCATTGAAAAAGATGTGCTGGACGCCACCTAATTGAGTGAAAGACAATGGCTCTATTACCAATTTCAAGTAGCATTTTCAGACTGACCCCTAAAAAAGGTTTCTTTAAGAAATAGGTCCCAAGGAAAGGGCCTTTTTTTGTTGTTGTCAAAACAGAAGTGTAATACCCAGCTGTCAATATTTTACTGAAACCTGTCTCAAAGTAGATCAAAATGCTTTTATGGAGTTTCTAGAAGCAGCAGTTCACAAAAATCAAAAATGTTTCTAAAGCTTCCGATTGGTAATTAAATTCTATGAACAACTCTATGGAGGTTTGTTTGTTTTTTAAAGCCGAACCCAGCGATATTCCAGCTATATGGCGGCGGTCTGGAAGTAATCAAGCCTGGAACAGACAATCCAGTGATCAATAGCATGAGCATCAATGAACGCAAGTGGGATACAATGACATGTGTCAACCAAATCAGTGAGCATGACTACCCAATCCTGCACGTCACTTCTTATGACAAGCATGGGTTGCCAGTTCTAACCCAGATCTTCACAGATCTGGAATCCTTCAATCTTCCAACATGAAAAATCAGTTCCCTTAAATGAATTCCAAAAAGCTTCAAATACTCAATAACACCGTATTATTACATTGGCCAACACATGATGTTTATCTCGTCTAAATAAAGTTGAACATAAAGAATTTTGACATTGGGTTTCATCTTCTTTTTACAATGTTAAAACATCATGTGTTGGCCAATTTCCTGGTGTTTTGGTACATGGGAATTCGTTTGGAACAGGGCTTGTTCTGACCCTGATGATAGGTCCAGAACAAGCCCTGAAACGTACAAAACAATAAAAAGAAGATGAATCCCAGAACAATTCTTTATGTTCATCAAATAGCATCTTCTAACATGACAATCAAACATCTAACAATAAAGTTTGTTTGAATGAGCATGCAACACAAAGACACACACACACTCTAGCCAAGATTGGAACTGATCTTACTCTCACCCATGGGGTATGTCGAGTTTCCGGCTGGAAACATATCATCCATGTGGAAGAGGAAGTCATCCTCGTAGCCAGGAGTGATGGTGGTGTCCATGTCATGATAGTCATCTTCATCAGCATCCATGTCAGAACCCTGAAACACACATTCTTTGTCACACAGAGCCTGCAGTCACTGGCTTCTTACCTGTTTACACATACATGTAGTCCATGTGTATGAATGCCTTAGTAAGAATGTCCCTGTTCTGTATCATAAGCATTGATCCTTGGAAAAGCTCCCTGAAATCGGATCTTCATGCTTGTTACCACTATACAAAGATCTGAGGATATTTCATTGATGGTTGCATCAGAATGGCCATAGCCAACTTGGACTGACTGATGAGTGAGTGAGTGAGTGAGTTTAGTTATACGACACACTCAGTAATATTCCAGCTAAATGGCGGCAGTCTGAAAATAATCGAGTCTGGACCAGACAATCCAGTGATCAACAGCATGAGCATTGATCTGCGCAAATGGGAACCGATGACATGTGACAACCAAGTCAGCGAGCCTGACCACCGGATCTCGATAGTCACATTACGACAAGCATGGGTTACTGAAGGCCAATATTCTAACATGGACCTTCACGGGTGGACTGACTGATGAAGTGACTAATGAAGTGGCCAACAATAGCTGACACCAGCTGGTGACTATTCCTGACAATGCTTTCAAAATACTTTGACAAAGTCCTTGATTCAATATTCGAGCGAGTGTGTGAGTGAGTGAGTGAGTTTAGTTTTACACCGCTTTTAGCAATATGCCAGCAATATCATGGCACGGGGACACCACAAATGGGCTTCACACACTGAAACCACGTGGGGAATCGAACCCGGGTCTTCGGCGTGATGAGTGAACCCTTTAACAATCAGGATACCCCACCTCCCCTTGAACATTTGAAAACTGAACAAATGGCTGAGATTGTAAGGCAGTTCTAGCGATGGGCTATGAAAAGTCTATTCTGTTTCAAAGGTTTGTCCGATTGAAGCAAGAGATGGACGATGATTTTTATGAAATCCATCATACAGGTGAGGTGAGGTGAAATTGGGTTTAACGTCGTGCTTGAGAATATTTCGCTCATATGACGACGTGCATGCGTGTGTATGTGTGTGCGGCTGCTTGTACTAGCCCATTCGTCACCACTCGCCCCTTTCCGTAACCTGCAAGAAGACTCGTCCCCCTCTCGACGCTCGTTATGTGCGAAAATACGACAAACCAATCAGAACGCGCGTAAATGACTGCGGTGCTTTGGTAAAAATAATCCCGAGTACTTAAATCGTTTATGGCATTATGTCATTGTTTAAAAAATCCGGAAAAATATATATCGTCATATTGCAAGTACAAAGAACTTAGCTAACAGGATGATTTTGCTGCCTATTATGGTGCGTTTGTTGACATGACGGCTCTCGTGGGTCCAACTGAGGGTGTTTCTGACGATCTTGCGGTCTTGCTATGGAGATTGTACGTGCGCTTCCAACAATTTTAGGAAATGTAATTATAAATCGCTACGAGTTTCAAAACAATAATATTATATCTGTATGTAACTAATCAACTTTAATCTTTAACATTGGGCATATATTTAAATTTTTCTGGGAATATTTTAGTCTGACCTTGTGGTCATTCATATATTTTTCAGCGAATTCAGTTAAAAGTCCACTTGTGGTATGACAGCAAGGTTACATGTATGTTCAGTTTGAGAAATATTATAAAAGTCATTTTTTGCGTTTCTGCTTTGGGATTTATTGTTACGGGGTTTTTTTACAAATTTTATTTGAGTATTCAATAAAACAAATCCCATTTGTGATTATTAAACCCTTTTCAGAAATATAATTGGAAATATAAAGTGAATATCTGGTAATAATTACGGCAGAATATGTCTTTAACAAATATGTTTTTTTCTTTCTTTTAGTTGTACCAAGGAGGTTTAATTCTTTAGAATAAATAGCAAAAACAAAAACAGCAATACAATGTATGAGTACTTCAGTGATATTAAGTACCATTGGAATCAAACAGGAATAGAATTATCGTTCCTGTTTGAAGTAGTTCTGATGATCCTACGCCAATATGAAATCCTTCCAGAGGGGCACGAGTCGCTATTCGGCTTGTCCCGGAATAACACGAGTTGGTCACGAATGGTACTAGCCTAGACTGAAGCTGGTTTTATACTATAGTGCTAGCCCACTGAGATACCATGAGGCAGTGAAGCATGAATACCCCACTCAGACACATTATACTGACTCGGAGCCGACCAGTCCTTGTTGTACCCAGTAATGCCGAGCGCCAGGCAGGGACCAACAAGTACCATATTTTAACGTCTTTTGGTATGACGCGGTCGGGGATCGAACCCGTGACCTTCCGCTCTCCGGGCGGACGCTCTAACCACTACACCACGGAGGCGGTCTCTATCATACAGCCTGTAACTAACGTTCAGTATACCGAGTTGGTAACATTTTTGAGAATACATGAAAAGAAAAACACATTCAAACTCACTTTCCTAATCTGGTAATCAATGCTCTGATAGGTCAGATGAACGGTAGTTCGGACATGAACCCAAATGCCACAGATTTAGTAATTACAAGAAGTTCTGATTTTAAAGGGAAATCTTGGATGATAATACTGAATAGTTTCCATGTAAGCAATGAAATGCATCGCCAGACCGAAACATGTGATGATAATGGTTTATCATAGTGATTAGCAAACACCTCTTCATAGATCAGATACTTTAATAATAAGTTACATTATTCAAATATTTCAATGAAAGGAATTCAATGAAGACACCAAATTGGATATCTACACCATTTCCCTCTCTCTTCTTCCCATAATTATACTTTACTTGCGTAAATGTCTTTCATTATCCAACAGAAAGTGAACACCCCTATAGAAAATGAATCAAGCCTCACAAGGTAAAGTATGTTTACCTATTACTTATCATAATGTTGTAAAGGTTAATTGTGAGTTATACAATTCCAGGAAGAATACCTGAAATGATCACATATGGCCCGGAAGTACTTGTGACATTAAGGTTACGGATGCTGGCCGACAAATACCAATACATTTGGGTACAATGACACAATAAACTTGACACATACTACCACCAAAAAACCCAGTCAAAATCCATGAGGATACGTCATAATGACTTCAATTTCATCAAAATAACCATAAGAAACAAACCTCATCATCATCTTCATCATCCTCGTCATCATCTTCATCGTCATGATCATCATTATCAGCATCATCGTTGTCATCATCATCACCTTCCGAAGCACTGTCAGGAGATCCTTCCTCTGGACCGTCATCTGAAAGAACAGGGTACAATCAATCTCCATTCACTCACTAAAGACAACCCAAAATATCCCGGATAGAATTGGTTTTCAGCAACCCATGTCGTAAGAGTCAAATTAACAGGATCAAATGGTTGACTTGGTTGACACATCATTGCATAGATCAATGCTCATGATGTCAATCACTGGATTGTCTGGTCCAGGCTCGACTATTAACAGACCGCTGCCATACAGCTGCAACATTTCTGAGTGTGTCATTAAACAACAAACAAACTCATTGAAGACAGGCAGGAAGCACAGTCAACTCGAAGCTTTAGATGAGATTAATGTTTTCTATGCTTTCAACAATACTAGACCTCGCTCACCTTGAACATGGTCATCTGCATCATCCTCAACATCAGATATCTCCTGGGTGACCATCTGAGAATCATGCTGATCAATGTCGTCGGTCTCAACCTCTACATTGATTATCACTCGTGGAGATTCATCCTCATTGTGTGATGCCTGACTTGGCTCCTCCACTGCAGCCACAAGAATTATTAATTGATTAATTAATTCATTCATTCATTAAATCAAACATCTCTATAAAATTCCACACAAAATGAACACTCAGAAATATATTTAATTGCCAGAAGTACAAAAAGTGTTTTCCTAAGTTTCACACATCTGCTATCCCATCTTTTCATTCAATCTTCAGGGACGTCCATCATCAATGGTACTTCATCAGATAGGTCTCAGAACAAGTACTCAGTGATTGTTAAAACAGCATGTTTGATCAGGTGTTCTCATAGAAAACAAACTGATTACTCATGAACACATACATGGCAAACAATAATGTCTAAATTAAACATTTCACTAAAAACCTGAAGAAATGAATAAATATCCAAATTAGCAAAAAGCAAACCTTTTGAATCAAGCCTCATAATACATTCTAAGTACACATACCTAATTTTGTTATCAAACACATCTTAGAAACTATAGGATACAATAAACTTGTTTACTTTGTCCTGGCCACTTGCCCTATATTTGAATCAACATGAGCATAACAAACTGCAGTTATGAAGAACCTAGTGTTCCCTTAAAGTTTGCCACAACCATAGTTTCCTGTATGTTCTGATTCAATCTAGAAGTTTCAGATAATTTCTCATTCGTTTGCACAGCAATATCAGTCCATATTTGAATAGCTTGTGGGAATACTCCTTACCTGTGCCCATTGTGATATCTCCTAGAATTTCATTCTCAGGTTGTCCTGGGCCTCTGTTTAGGAACTGGTCCAACACTTGATCCAGAAGGTTGCCACCCTGCAAACATAAAATAACAGTCATTGAAGACATCTGTGTCCGGGAAGCTAGAACGCATTCATCAAACTTTTCAAATCATTATCATGCCTGGTTCCGAAAATTCTGTCGCTGATAAACCACAAATATGAAACAAGTTGTATGTTGTCATTGAACAGCATTTATAATTGATACAGATAAAAGGTGAGAATTTACGGATGTCAATAATAAATAATATAGAAGTTGCCATCTATAAACTAGTATAAAATCAAACACATCCTGAAATTCATCTGATTTCTCACTTCTCTTTGAACAGATTTCAAAACTATGACTTCAAAGAAAGTGTGTTCACTCCTTAAAAACTCCAAATTCCAACTTCACACCATAGTATTTGTTCTAATGCTCCCACACACTGCCTCATTCAATTAGTGCTGTGCTGGTACCTAAATCTTGCTGGCAATGTCTTACCCGACTTTGACTATCAAGATCTGGCTCCACAGCATCATGGGTGCATGTTTCTTCCAGATCATCCAGGTCAAGAGGATGGTCAGTCACATCTTCTATTGTCACATTGTTCTCAGCTTCACCCGCAAGATTATCTTCTACACTTTGGGCATCTACAATAAAAAACACACCAATGGTATCTCAAGATTTCTTGTCCAAAACAGGCCACAAACCACTCAGGTTGAAATGAAACACTAATACTTATCACATCAATATCGTATCATAATGAGCAAAGATTTATAGTTTCAACACATTTTTCGAGAAATATTAACACCTTACCTGGCTGATTGTTATTAGCCGCAATGGTTGTCCCGCCCATATTAGGTGGTCCTGAGCCATCATCAGGTGTTTTGGGCTTGGCTGTGACGCTCTGCAAGGGCTGATTGACACTTCTTGATAGGGTCTCAAGTGGCTTCAGTGCAGAATTAATAGTCTGGGCCATGTACGGACTAGACAGATCCAAATTATGGGGTATCCGAGCCAAATCTGTTACTAGTCCCCTTTTTAATAAGTATTTTCACCATATTGTTCATCACAGTTTGCTGGCCCTTGAACACTTGATTAGGTACTTGCCCAGGGCTCGGACAAGCCTCTATGATAGTACTTATTATTCCAGTGAGGGCCTGAAGGCGGGAATGTTTTTCCGAAACTCTCTGGTATTGCAAGAGCTCTCTGTAGAGCTCCCTTGATTTCTACCACGAGGGAGTTCTGAGCTTCTGGGCTGTGATTGCAGGAAGCGATGCTGGCAATAAACACTCGCGACAAACTTGGACAGTCTCTATCACCAGATGCTTGGCATTGGGGTAACAAGTTGTCCAGAACAAAAGCTAACACACTGCATTCCTGAAAAAGAGGGGTAAGTGAAAATCTTTAATGTTCAGATGAAAATATAATTATTTGTTTTATACAGAAACAACCCACTAAGTCATCCATAAATTATATATATAGCAGGGAATAATACCAGATTGAGGCATCTCTTTATCAACTTTCTATAGGAACTTCAAAAAGAAAATCCATCAGCATAGAATATACCACTTTAACTTTTTTTTTTGTTTCAAGATGCTACAGCAGTGTTCCATTTATATCATAGAAGCCTGTAAATAACTGAGGCTAGACAAAGCTGTGTCCTACACAACAGCCTTGATAACACAATTAAGCGGCCTTCACACGGCAAACTAAAGTTTGACAACACGTCAAAAAATTGTCACGTGACCGCACCGATAGAGACATGGCGCTCACATGACACGAAAGTTTGACAACATGTGTTCAACAAGTGAAAACACGAGTTTGACAACTTTTAAAATTTTAACAACATGTGTTGTCAAACTTTAGTTTGCCGTGTGAGGGCCACTTTAGAGTAATACGTACCTCTGACACCATTTCTGTCTGCCCTGAATGATATGTATACTGGGTGATCAGCTGTGTGCAGTTGCCATAAGACTTAATGATCTCTGACAAAAGACGCAAGATCGCCGACTTTGGCAGCAGAGGACGTTGTTTTCGTATATCTTCTGCTGTTTTTGTATCTTTCTGTTCTTTGGATGTGGAACTTTCTGCATTTGCATCAGCCTGACTCTGTCAAAAAACAAAATGAAATTTGGAATGTAATTGTGTTAGAAACAAGCATTGTCACTAAGGTGACATAATCCTCCCACGCAAATTATCAAATCAAACTTAAAAAGTAATGAAAGTGAAGGTCTGATTTAAGATAAAGTTAAATGTCAGCAAAAACATGACCAGTCAACCTCTCTTTATATCTTGCTCTGTAGTTGTTCAAACACACAAATATTTTCAAGACTCACTTTGACCTTGACATGAATGTCTTCGTGTATGCAAAAATAGTAATAAAGAAATTGCTTATTGAAAAACATTCAAGGGAAGTCTTGAAAGTCTATGAAGAAAATCCAGTGAACTGTTCTTGAGATATCTCGCTGACAACCTTAACATGCTGAAATCTTCAAAGTGTCGCAGTGACCTTGAAAATTATGTGAAGGTCACCAAAATCGACTGGAACTTGCACCTTCCGTGGATGAAGCTTGGTGTCAAATATGAAGAAAGTCCATTGAATGGTTCTTGAGATATCTTGCTGACAATCTTTACATGCAGGTTAACATGCTGAAGTCTTCAAAGTGCCGCCATGACCTTGAAAATTATGTGAAGGTCACCAAAATTTAACCAAACCTGAAGAGGTTTTCAATTCTTCGAAGAGAGTCGTCCTTGGGGTACATATAATGCATTTTCCACGCTGAAAATGTCCTGTGACAGTTGTATCAATGTTTTTTGAATAAAAAGATTGTACAATAAATAAACTTTTTTATTTATTATACGGCCCCCACCTACGGAGTTACCTCCCGTTACGCATGCGCACCAACTGGGTAAGCTCCTAGGCCCGTATCATCATTCCTTCTGCTGAATATATCAGTGAACAGAATTGCGGGGAGGCGGGAGGCCCTACCCCAAGGATCGACTCTCTTCAAAGAATTGAAAACCTCTTCAGGTTTGGTTAATTCTTCTTCATAGAGATCGTCCTTGGGGTACATATAATGCATAAACACAGACTCCCAAAGACCGGAGGCCAGGGAGGAGGGAATTCTGTCCCAGCACACACAAATAGCGATCGTATCATGGACAAAAATTGAACAGGCGCCATAACACTCACCTGTCACTTGTCCCAGTTTTCGCTTCCGAGAGGCATTATGGGAGGGAACTGACAGGAGGAATTGTGCACAAAGACGACCTCCATACGTTTAGCATAGGCAATGCGACATGGTACCGAATGTCAACAAAACCCCACCCACCAGTGTCGATTGAGTGAGCACCGTGGGGGAATGTCAAAATACGCTCACAATCGACTGAATAACTCCTGAGAGAATCGAAGGGGTAGTTCTCTGAGTGAGCTCTAGTAGCGGATAGATCAATAATACACATTATTGTACAGCAGCGTCAATAAACAAACCAATAAACCAAGACTCACTTGGTCAGGGTGGCAGGACACTGTCCACTGGAGAGAACAGAGCGGCCAAAGCTTGCATACGATTACGGGAATGTGTATCGAGCTGATAGTGCCGTATAAGCGCGTGCTTGGCCGGCTCCAAATAGCGGCAGAGCAGATCTCTTCAATGGGAGTGCCGATGCAAAAGCTTTTGATGCGGCTACTGCCCCTGACCGAGTGAGCCTTCAACCCCTCAGGGGAGGCTTGCCCTTAGCCTGATAAGCGGCACAAATACGAAGCGAGCCAGCGAGACAAAGTCTGCTTGCTGGCTGGCACCAGCCTTCCATACCACCGTAACAACAGAACAGCTGGGTACCCGTGGGGATTCCCTGCGTTAAGTTTGATATAGACTTTGAGCTGTCTTCACGGACATCCAACGGGTGAGTGCTTTCGTAGGAGAGGTCCCGATGTGGAAGGCTGGGTAAGAGTGGGAAGTTGATAGGAGCTGTCACATGGAAGCGTGATCGACCTTCGGGCGGTAAGTTTCGGAGGCGAATGCTGACCACGATCAGTGTGAAACACAGTCAGCGCCGGGTCGGACGACATAGCATGTAAATCGCCGACCCTTCGTCCAGATGTTACCGCCACCAGAAAAACAGCCTTCCAAGTTAACAACTGAATGGAAATAGCCGATAGGTGTGAGAAAGTTGGACCAGACAGCCAATCTAGCACAATTGACAAATCCCAAGGTGGACTGGTTCAGCCTGAGAGCAGGTCGAACCCGTTCGTGGAAATAGCCAGCGGAAAGGCCTTCTTCCAAAACGAGCTGTCCAGTAGCACAAGCAGCCGAGCTGGCTGGGTGGACAGCTGTGAAAGGACCGACAGAAGGCCAAGCCGCACGGGAAACTGCGGATGAGTGGTAGCGGCGAGGAGCAGGAGGCTGAGCCAGAAACCCGAGAATTACCGAAAGAGCACTTTGCCCCGAGAACTGGCTGGGTGGACAGCCGTGATCCCAATCCAGTAGGAACACTTTGCGTCGGCAGCCAATGCCCCTGGGTCCGGTATTCGAGAGGCAGAACCGCGGGTGTCTGATCGTCCCGCCCGGACGCAAACAGATCCACCTGGAGCGACCCGTTACAACTGGGAGATTACTCTGAAAATCTGCCTGTCGAAAGCATCCACTCGCGGCGGCCAGGATCCGGCGAGAGCTGGCGTCTGCTGCGCTTACGTTCTCCAGCCCGGGAGATAAACAGGAGTACCTGACAATCGCACTGGAGTAAGCTTCAGAGGAGAAAGTCCCACGCCTCCGGGAGCTGGGGACACCGTGCCACCCTGCTTCAGGATATGCGACATGGCGATCTGGTTGTCCAACTAAAGGCGGACTACCTGGCCGGGACATGCTCTCTGAAGCTTCGAAACCAACCGCACAGCTCTCAGTTCCAACACGTTGATGTGAAGGTGGGCTTCGACCGGACCAGAGTCCGACACCCGACAGACTGCCCAGAACACCCCCAGCCCGTGAGGGCGCGCCGGTCTGAACTGTGAGAGCTGGCGTCGGGATTTCCAAAGGGATCCCCTGGTGAGATTCCGACATTGGTCCACCACTGAAGGTGAGGTGTCAACCACCGGGGGACTGTGAGACTGAGCTCCAGGTCCTCCGTGTGAGCCCACAGCCTTGCCAAAGCTTGCTGTACAGGAAGCATCCTCAACAGCGCCCGCCACACTACAGAGATCGTCGTCAGCGCCATATGGCCCAGTAGGCGGAGCCAAGTCCGTGCTGGTGCCTGGGGCTGGGAGAGGAGCGAAGATACCATCTCGAACTCTGGCGATCCGGTCGGGCGACAAGGAAGCGAGATCCTTGTTTGTTTGGAATCGCGCCCAAGAAAAACCAAGTCCTGGGTGGGTACCAGGTCGGTTCTTGAGGTTGATGATCCACCCCAGTCGAATTAGAATGTCTATCACTGTGTGAGTAGCATCTTAGACTTCGCTGGCTGTGTTAGTGCTCGAGCAACCAGTCGTCGAGGTAAGGGTAACAACGCCTTCCTTGCGGCGGCGAGGGTAGCGGGACTAACATGAGCTTGGTGAACACCCTTGGGGCAGTCGATATGCGAAGGGGAGCACCCTGAATTGGTAACACATCCTGTCAAGAGAGAGCCCGAAGGTACTGCTTGAGCGATGGATGTATGGGCGCATCTGAATCACGCATCCTTTAGGTCGATTGGCGTGAGCCAATGTCGCCGGGGCTGGGCACAGATGAGATCACCAAAGCGCCAGTGTCTCCATCTTGAAGGATGGTACTTCTAGCATGCGGTTCAACCCCTTGAGGTTGAGAATGGGGCCGGAACCCGCCGTCTTTCTTCGGAGACGAGGAAATGCGTGGAGTAAAATCCCGCCTGTTCCTCTCGGTGGAATGCGTTTCGATTGCGGACTTGTCCAGCAGAGCCTGAACCGTCGTCGCGCAATATGTCGCCCTTGCCTGACATGGCGGCACGTGCGGGCGTATGCCCGGTGAAGTCGGGCGGACCTACGCTTCCACAGTGGTAAATGGCCTATGCTGACGGTGGACAGCACCCAGCATTGTTGGTAGCCTTCTCCCATTCCGGCAGGAATAGAGAGCAGCCTCCCACTGGGATATGGGTAGGAACGCGTCGTTGTCCCCTAGTAAGCGGAACTGACTGGGCGTGACACGGTTTGAGCAACAGCCTGATGGGTTCCGCGGGAGGTGGGGCAGACCTCAGCGCCCGCGAAAAGGCTGGGAGCTAGTCGGCGAGGACTCCTCCTTGCCCCTACCCTTGGCGGACCTGTTCCTCCGCCTACCCTACTAGCGGCGAAGCCAGCCCGGCGGACTTCGGATGTAGGCTGCACCCGGTGGAGGAAGGTGGAGCGGGGCACCGAGGCGAAGACACCAGCAAGGCCTTAGAGTCCTTGAAGGAGGTAGCTGCAGCGGCAGCCTCCCGAATGACCTGCTGTGACCCTGGAAGAGGGCGGCTCCCAGGCGGAATGGGAGGGCCAGCAAGGTCTGCTGTGTCGCCGCTGCCGAGTACCGAGGCGTCGACAGCCACAGCTTGGCGCATCCCCATGACTGCGCACATCACCGTCGGCGCAGCAGACCGCAAAGAGTCGCGGCGAGGTGAGCCTGTACTTCCGATAGCTGGCCAGACAGCCGCGACATGCGGCGAAACATCACCAGCATGCCCTCCGCCTCCAGGGCCGACCTCTGTATCGAGGAGAGGTAGGCCTCATGGACCTGCACCCTGACCTGCTGCATGGCGTTCCGGTAAACCTCCTGCGTAGAGTGCGATGCATGCGCGAAGGCACCAGCGAGGGCAAGCGGTGGAGTAACACGCCCTTGCCGAGCAGCCCGAGCTGCTCGGAGGAAGCCGAGCCTCCCCAAGAGGCGGCGGAAGTAAAAACACACTTTCGTCCACGATAGGTACCACGAACAGGAATCCTCCCCAAGCTGGTATCTCCTGACAAGCTCCGGCAAGTCAAATCGGAGGCGAGAACCAGACAAGAGGGATCCACCCGCGTCCTGTACTAGCGAGGGCAGAATCGCGGAGCTGCGTCTGCGTAGGCTGCCTAGGGGCAAACGCCCTCGCCTGGCAAAGCGGAACTCAGCCGAGTCGAGCTGCTAACAGGCACAGCGGCCTGGGGTAGGTACTTTCGGCAATCCTTTGCGGACCTCCCGCAGAGCGAGCGAAGCGGAAGGCACCGTCAGGCTCCTCTACCTCCCCGAGTATCCATCGACTCGGCCCGAGGCGAGTCAGAGGCGAGTCTCCTCGCTGAAGGGACCCTAACCCGACCGGTGGGCTGCCTAGCACTAGGAACCACAGAGAGGGAGGAGCAGACAGAGTGCCCAGCGTCAGCGCCTGCAAGCGTGCACGGACCCCGGTCCCGAGGCGCTGGAGGCATACCAGGCAGAACTGGTGCCTCCCGCTCTCATGGGAGGCGGGAGGCGCGGGATCCGGAACCCCAGGAATGCTCAGCGGTCCCTGCGCCAGCTCCGAGGAGGGGACTGGGAGCACCTCCCCTCCCGGGGCAGCCTCGGGACCCGAAGCCAGAGGCAGCGGGTCTACAGGCGCCTCAAGGCTGAGGGATCGAGCGAGCCGGCGATCCCACCCTGACTCTCCGCCCCGTCCAGAGTGGCGAGGAACTCCTGCGGAGCCCTCCAACAGACTCATGGGCGAGGGACTTCCACGGAGTCCATATGTTGCTGAAATAATTGAGTCATTAATGACATGTCAAACCCACCAGTAGTAGCGGGAGAGGGATTGGCTGTGGGATTTTTCCCTTACGAGACCGCTTTTGGGTCTTAGGCGGGGGACCTGGGTGAGTTCCCCACCGCCTCTCGCATCTCTCTATAAAGAGTGTCAGCTGCCCCTCCTCTTTTGGAGCGCGGGGAAAACCCAAGACAGATAGTACACACTTTGGCGTCATGGCGGTTTTCTCCAGGCAGGCCACACATTGGTCATGCCTGTCGGCCGTGGAATGCTTTGTCCACAGACCGAACAGGAGGTAAAAGCCTGAAAGCAAACAAAGCATGTAGCTAGCGGTACCAGCAACATATATACCGCGTAGAAACATTGAAAATCGTGAAGGCTACCCGCGGGGAAGTAATAGTTGGTACAATGCGCCAATATTGCGACCACATGGCACGCTAAACTTCCGCCATGGCAGAGCAGCGTGTCGCGTAAACCACGGGGAAAGTTAAGCGTAATATAATTAATACAAAGTCACAATTATGAAACAACCAACTGCAAAGCTTTACAGTTCCTTTCATTAGGCAAATAAAGACCATACATACAGGTGGTGTCTCAGACATGTTCTTTATCTCGGATAAAGTCAGCTCTGCACGGCACATTCGTGTCTGTTCACAGCAGTGACAGCAGAAGGAATGATGATACGGGCCTAGGAGCTTACCCAGTTGGTGCGCATGCGCAACGGGAGGTAACTCCGTAGGTGGGGGCCGTATAATAAATAAAAAAGTTTATTTATTGTACAATCTTTTTATTCAAAAAACATTGATACAACTGTCACAGGACATTTTCAGCGTGGAAAATGCATTATATGTACCCCAAGGACGATCTCTATGAAGAAGAATGACTGGGCCCTGCACCTTCCCTAGATAAAGCTTGGTGTTGAATACGAACGGTTCTTGAGATATCTTGCAGACAAGAGTAAAATGTTCAAGTCCCCTTGTGACCTTGAAATGAAGGTCAAGGTCACCAAACCTGACTAGGACCTTTCTTTTACTGTGGCGAACCTACGTACCAAATATGAAAAGAATCCAGTCAACGGCTCTTAAGATATTTTCAATTCGTACGTACGAGTACATACAGACTGACAGACAGAGCCTAATATTATATTATACTATAACAATGTCCCATATTTTATTCTCATGTGTCCTGACCATGATAGGCATACAATGATGACAATACTTACCGATTCTCCTTCATCAGTGCTTTGAGGCACTTCTGCGGAGCTGTTTTGTCGGACCATGGCCTGCTGCTGCCTTTCATTCAACTCCCTGGCAACTTCATTCACAACCTCCTGGATAGCTTCTGCTAAGGTCTGAGCTGGTCGAACTTCAGAACTGGACGTATCTAAAGCAGATTAAGACAAAAGATCATTTAAAAGTAGTGTTGAACGGATTGTATTTGTACACAGAAAACACATTTTCTATCCTTAAAGATAGGTCCTTCACTTAACATCCTTGCAATCTTTTATTATTTCCTTGTTCAGGATGCTGTAGACCTCCCCCCACACACTTTTCGAACATTTTGTGTATATACCAGGAAAATACCATGAATAAAAAAGTACTTACTTTCATCTACTTTCCATGTGTACTTCACGATAAGGGCATTCAAGAGATCATGTACCACCTCCTTAACTGTCTGGTTGATGGCAAACGAAAGCTGTTTGGTAGGGGAGCATTTCAGGATCTGTGGTGCATTTGGGGCTGTGTACCGATTCTCATCCTCATCTGGAACAATTAAAAGAGCAACGTCTTTAATTCAGTGCCTGGAACGTTTCTATATTGTCTGACAAATTCATTTGTTGCCCAGGTTCTTTCTATAATACTCGTACAACATGAGTGAGTGAGTTGGTTTTTTTACACCGCTCTTAGCAATATTCCAGCAAATATTACGGCTGAGGACACCAGAAATGGGCATGCACAAAATATTGTTTGGCCTTATCAACTTTAAGAGTATGCTCATGAATTGAAACTGACCAGATATCTTGTCATTCAGAAATATAGCCATGACATTGTGGTTCAAGGCATACATTCCGAGTGAACCACAGGTAAATCAAACCAATATACTTCAGGGAACAATCAAGTCAAATCAATAGCTTCGAACAACAACAGACAAATGGCAACTTACTGCCTTTTACCTACCTCTGATAATCTTGCCAGGTGGAGGCAATGCTATCTGTAGTGTATTCCTTGCTACTTCGCAAACAGACTTGGGTTCCTACATCCAGCGGGGCCCAACACTCTCATCACATAATGCATCTCCTTGGACCCGATACTTCCATTGGCAACTCCACAAGCACTTGATCCTATTCCACTGCAAGCATTTCGCATCACCTGGAAGTAAGTATAAGTCAGAAACATTAGGAAAATGACTCATTCAGCATTGGTATAATTGGCGTCTTACTTTAATCATTTTGAACTTTTAATTCTTTTTGTTTTGTTGTTTAACTCCGCACTCAGCAATATTCCAAGTATGTGGAAGTGGTCTGTAAATGATAAGGTCTGGACCAGACAATCCAGTGATCAACAGAATGAGCATCGATCCATACAATTAGGATATGATAATTTGTCAACCAAGTCAGCAAGCCTGACCTCTCCTTCCTGTTAGTCACCTCTTATGGCAAGCATGGGTCACAGAAGATCAGTTCTAACCTGGACATGTCCATTTTAAAAGCCTACGACAGTTGTAACAATATTTCAATAAAATATTTTACCAAACAAAAAACTCGTTATGTGTGGTGAGACCACCCCTACAGGGCCCCGTAGAGGGCCCCCTACAGCCAAGAGCAGGTAACTCTGGCTGTGTACCTCGTACCTCACTTTTCATGCTGAACGTGTCAGACAGAATGAGGGGAGGTGGTCGGCCGTACCCCAAGGAGGACTTTTCTTCAAAGAATTCATAACCTCTCCAGGTTTGTAAAATTCTTTTCAGAAGAAGTCCTCCTTGGGGTACATATAAACATAAGACAGACTCCCAGCGATGTTGAGTGGGAGTGGTATTCTGTCTGCCTAACATACCCCTAGTTCAGTCGAAGGCACAGCGAAGCAGCGACAGAGAGAAAAGTACACTCACCTAGTCACCTGACCGCTGATGTCAATCAGGCGGGTGGCAAGGCGGGGAAAAGGAGCCTAGCCGATAGGCTATTGGTGGAATTGATAAAGGCGGACGCAAGTCCCACCCCCAACCATCAAAATGGGAGGGGAAAGTATGGGCGAGTCCAATATATATCCCTCAGCAACCCAAACCAGCGTGGTGCAGGGATGAACACAGTGACTGTAGCGGTGATAATCGCTACATACAGTAAAAACCACCACCAATGTGATACCACCACCGATAAAAATTGAGGAATTTATTAACACCTACACCATGAGAAAAGCAAACGTGATTTCTAAGGCTCATTCGGCTAGAGAATCACGACACTGCCCACTGGTGAGAACTGTCTGGCCAAACCGAGCACGCTCCCGTGAGTGTTTGTCAAGCTGATAGTGGCGGATGAACGTACTCGGTCGGCTCCAGATAGCCGCTGAGCAGATCTCTTCAATGGGCAGTGCCGCGGCGTATGCTTTTGATGTCGCCACTGCCCTAATAGAATGAGCCTTTAAACCCTCATACTGTTTCAGTTTTATGGTTGTTAGAACTTGTCATCAAGAAGCATCAGAAAGAATCAAAAGTGTTATCAAAACAAAAGATCATTTCATAATGAAACCATACCTTTTCCATACAGTACTTGAGAGAGGACGGTTCCTCCAATATATGCCTGAAGAGAAGAGTTGCCAGAGAGACAAATCCTTGAAAAGCTGAGGCCTGTGTCAAATTCAGAAGGATTTTAGGTCCACCAAGTTCAGCAAAATGCACAGCATGCTTGTGTTCTCTGGTCAATCGAAGCATGAGTCTCAACGACGCATGTAGAGTGTCTGGATCAACAGGGACACTTAGTAAAGAGACAACTGATCTGAAGGACAAAACAAATTTAAAATTAGATTCTGTTACAAGTGAACAATAATATCTCACACATATCACAGAATCCTATCAAATCAGGGATAATGTCACCTAATGGCAGTCAGCCACTGTGACTTTCTGAATGCACATCATTGTATCCCTTTAGTGTAGATGATTAGTGCTCATCACTCGATTGACTGGTCCATATGGGTGACTATTTAGGGGGAAACAATTATTGTGATAGCAATAGTCTATTGCAACATACTATTGTGAGCAACTATTGCAATAGGGCTTTTTTTCTCCTTGAATTGTCTCACATGAAGTCATTTCCCAAATGAATGTATAGTTTATATGAAATAAAAACAAGCTAAAGTAGGTTCAGTCTCTTTTAATAACTGACCAGAAACTTGAAACCTAGATCAAGTAAACAGTTAAAACAAACTCAATGAAGCTGCAAGTCTGCACCCAAACAATGTTTAAAGAACCACTAAACTTTGTTTTTTGTCACTCTTTTAACCATTACATATGAAAGATTTGTGGTTAGTCTTATGCGGAACACCAAATTTATTCTTTAAAAACTTGAGGTTATTTAATACCGAGCGATTAAAAGTTGCCAAAAGTTAAGCCTGCTTCCTCTAAGCCAACGCGAAACCACAGACAGGTTAACAGTAACTCTGTCGCCAGAGCACTGCAGTGGCGTCATATGAGGAGCGATTTTCAGTTAGTTGTATAGAAAATGTGTAGCACGCTCATCATTTTGATGATTTCTCGACATCAACGGCGACATGCCGAATCGTTGCTTTGTGATCAATTGCTCCTAGGGGGTCGGGCGATGGTGTCCCCATGCACAGATTTCCACAGGACCCGCAGTTAGGTGCTAAATGGGTTATGTTTGTGAGTCTTGGCGGCGTTGTGGAAGCCTGAAACGATATCTTACTTGTGTTCAGATGGCTTCACGAAGTTAAAGAATCAAAACTACTTACTAGTTGTAGTAAAATATGCATATGATTGATGACCATAAAGATTTTCTATGACACAACTTGTAACATAGCGATTTCTTCCTCGGAAGTGAGGTTGTGGTCAGTAACAATAATATTGTAAAGTAGTACTATATTGACACCCACCTACGCTGCCACGAGAGAAATTTTTATGTTATACGGCTTTGTCATGCAAAATCTATTGGCCATCATTAAAATACATATTTTACTACCAGTAGAAAGTAGTTTTGATTTTGCTAACTTTCGGTGGAAACAAACCTAAATACCATTTATCCTCAGACTGGCGGATGTTCCCGACAGAAGCTGCCATTTTTAAAAATAAAAAATCTGTTAGAATTAAGGAGATTATAGTTTGTTTTCATCAAGTTAGAAAATCAAGACTACTTTCTACTAAGTAGTTAAATATGTATTGAATCTTAACCAAACGGATTTTGCATGACACAACTTATAACATAGCGATTTCTTCCACGAGCCGAGGTGGGGGGGAAGTCACAATACTCGCGATAAATTTCTTGCTACATTCCCATGGTTAATGTCCACTCACCAGTATGTAGATACTAGTCAATGTCGTCTTTATATTTGGTCTTATAATCCTAATTAGTTTATTATCATACTTGTATGCATTTTGAAACTAAATAAAAAGCAGGCGATCTGCTGATACTTATAGTGAATTTATAACAGAACTGTAATATCTAGACATTTTATAGTTTGCCAATGTGAATCATAATTAGCACACACACCCTAGTGCATGTTGTCTGTCTCATTACACTTCACGGTGAAAACAATGATTCTGTTGAATGCTACGACAAATGAATAAAAACAAAATGCAAATATTAAAATTAAAACAGATTAAAGTTATAGGAACAATATCAGGCCATTACCTTGTTCGAGGAATGTATCCATCAATATCCACAAAACTGTTCCAGATGATGTGTCTTTTAACAGTTTAATATCTGAAAAAGTGATAAATCTTTTCAGGTATTGGTGTATAATCTCATTGGTCACCCAAGATAGCACACCTGGCAACTAATTGCATAATGTCCGCCTTTCTTTAAAACAGTAATTTAGTTAGCCAATAATGGGCAATCAATCAATGTATTGCCGGTTAATCCTTTGAAAGAAGGGCGTTGTTTTACACGAACACCGACCACGACAGAGTGTATTCAGTATAGATTAGTAAATCTACATACATAAACACTACCTTTTGACAATTCCGGCTGTGTAAGATAAAAGTAATTAATCAATCAGCATGTTATCGGTTAATCCTTTGATCGATGTTTATAATGTTGAATATTTACTCCAGACACAAGAAATGCCAAATGGGAACCTTTGTCGGGTAATTTAAGTGTGTTACCACTAATTATACCTGTTATAAATTCATTAACTGACCATCAAGTGAATGATGACAAATAACATGTGTAGGTTTATACCACCTAACACGGGTTACAACAAGGGAGTATTAATTGCTGTATTGCATGTGAAAACTTATGGGCCGACACTGTTTTGAGAATACAAACAGATTTTTACATGACATGATTAAATATCGAGGTAAAAAAGCACAGAAATGGGATCAATTTGGATCAGTCATTATACAAATAGGGCCTAACGACACCAATCGATTTTGACAGAATCGTCTATGAAAACAAGTTGTAACTTCGGAACTAGGCAAAGCATGAGACAAAATTAAATGACAGTAGATTGTGAGAACATATAGCTTTCATTTTCCACAACAATTGTCACGATTTCAGGTTTATACAAGCCTGTAAACAAGATAATTTAACCCCTAAAATGTAGATGAATTCTGCACAGGCCCTCCAAGCTATTCCTCATATGACGTCACAGAGTCGCGCCGCTCTGATTGGTTGAAATTTCGTTCGCGGGTGAGAATTGTGCACTGTTGTCAAAAAGGTCGATTTAAGTCAATTAAAGGTTGAAATGAGTAGTTTTAATGACGGGGTTTCATTTATAACGATGCGAGATAGTGATTTATGTATTTTTACCCCTTAGGGTTTATGTGACCTTTAATAGGTAAAAGGGGCGGATAACTCTATATCAAAGTGAACAAATCTGGTACTTCCTCTATTTTGCGCTGCATATTTATCAACGGAAGTCAATTACTATACTATCGATAGTCACACATACTATCGATGCATCAATAGTTTTTCGTTTCTACTATCGATTAATTGCTATCGGAGACTCAACAATTGCAATCCATCCATAGTTCAATACATCATTACAGCCCTACTGGTCCAGATTTGATTATTTACAGACTGCTATCATATAAGTGGAATATTGCTAAATGTAGAGCTAAAAACCAAAAAAATCACCAATATCAGCTGAATGGTTAAGTTTGTACAAGTTGCCAAAGTTGTTCAACTCTGCACTCAGCAATATTCCCACTATATGGTGGCGGTTCAAGTAATTAAGTCTGGACCACATAATCAAGTGATCAACAGCATGAGCATCAATCTATGCAATGGGGATATGGGGATACAATGGCATATGTCAACCAAGTCAGTGAGCCTGACAATCTGATTCTATTAGTTGCCTCTTATGACAAGCATGGGTTGCTGAAGACCAATTATAACCCTCATCTTCACTGGTAGCTGTCTGGTTATGAGTGAAGACACAGTGAAGCAGTTCCTACACCAATCCACTGATCAATCAAAAGATTTATGATTTTAATATTCAAGCAATGAAAAACATCACATGACTTACATTGTGACAATAAAGAAAAGGGCTGGTTCTCAAGCAAAGATGTTTTAATCAAACAGCTATCTGCAGCCACTGTAGACTATATTCATATTTCACCCAATACACTTACTTTATTATGCTGGTGATTTGTTCATCTGTAAAACCTTGGACTACTATCTTCTGTTGCTTCTCCTTTTCATCTACAGTTTCTGTCTCCATCTTTGTATCCTCAGGAGCTGAAATACACCCACCGAATCACTTCCTGATTTATCACTGACAAGCTAGTGGTGGTCCGATTCACAAGGTTGGTTTTGTCAGTTACATTTCATAAGCACCATAAGTTCGTTCCTTGTCATGATTGAATTTATCTTAAAGACTCCAGGATGTTCCTAACATACTAGTCATCCTTTAAAAATGTGAAATTTGTAAATGCATTTTGTGCAATTTGCAATAAAACACCAAAAACCTGAAAGAACTACATATTTTTTTCTATATTTTTTGTGCATTAACAAACATAGCCAAGAGAATTTGATGACGCTAACCAATTTATTTTTGATGATTGATCAGTTGTAATGAACCAATCATCAATTGTGAGATTTCAACCAATTCCCAACACTATGACAAGCACACAAGTAGAACTATGAGCTGGGTTTTGGCATCACAAACATTACGACACATATTCTTCAAATCCAAGTGATCACTGAGTGATTCATATACAAATGATCTAGCTATTCAGCAAGACAGATAAATATGTATTGAACATGACATTAGTCAACCAGATACTGACACACAAATTTAAAACCAGTCAATAATTGCCAAGATTTGTTTCCTGTCTCTTTAAATCCAGACTAGTTGACATAATTTACAGTATTGTTTTATGTCTACACGATGTTATTCAAGCAAATGCTCATTGATGTCTCAAAAGGGCAAACCAAAAAGGAACATGTAAGGAAGATTCTTTACCCTTTGTTGTCTCTCCAGATGTTTCTGCATTGTTTTTGTTGTCTTTTGGTTCATCTTTTGTGGAAGGTTTTTCTTCTGCTGTTGGGAAGGACAGCATTATCGGTCTCCTGTTGCCAGTCTCTTCATTTACCTACAGCAAAGTTGACATGGTTACAGGAACTATATCAGGTATTCACTGACATCATTTGTAAATGAAAGCAAAGGAGAAAATGATACAAAACTTCTTGTCTTCTTCCACTTCGGGAAAAGTGCTCTCAGACAGAATTTGACCACACAGCAATTCAGTTATATGCTTGTCTGTATTTGTCATCACTGAGGCAAGTTTATGTTGTCATGCATCAAGTCCCTGAATGATTACTTACCTGGACAAGAGAGCTGAACTGTACAGTGTATCTCCGCCTCCCAGCTTGGAATCTATTCAAAGAAGTAGGCCACATAAATCAACAGTAAGAAAACCATTAATATCATAGTGATGCTGATGTGGCTGAAACAGGTGATCATGCTCTGAGTATCATAATTTAGAAAAGATCAACTTCAAACAAGAGTTGAAGTTTAAACAGGAGTTTTACTCCAAATAATCAGCTAAATCATCGCTATTTCCAGGAAACCAGCAAAACTATACACAAAATGTTCTTCTAGATGACTACAGTGACATTAGCCTGTTAAAAGAACAGACAGTCTTCAAAAGTTTCTTTTGCCCCTTTTAGTCACACTTGTGTCAGCACAGATATATCCTGAGTAAACTCTACAGAAATACAATTCCTAAGGACAAGCTGGTCTGGTTCAATCAAAAGTTAGTCACAAACTGCATATAGGAGTACTGTCAATAAATCGTTTGTAACTGAGGGATCTCTTTCATAGCCACTAACACAAAGGCTTCTCCAGGTTCAACTCCATATTGTCAAGCTGAGACAGAATGCTATTTACCTGACATTGCTGTCTCCATTTCTGTATGCATCATCAATAGTTTTGTTGTTGCCTACACTATATTTACACCATCTCCCACTGCTGTCGTCAAACCATTTCCAGGTGTGACTATTAGCCTGCAGAAGAAAAAGAAAATATATTTTCATACTTAAACCTTGTAGAAAGTTTTTGTGCCTAACATTGCGACACTTCTGTTAATGGCTTTTGGTGTGCAATGGAATATCACAGAAAACTAGCAATATTGCTGCAAGAGACAACCTGTAAAGGCTGCTGCTCAATTTCTCACATGAAAAGTATACTGGGATTTTCAGTAATAAGTGAAAGGGGCAGATCAGTTTGTCTGTTGTTTAACGCTGCACTCAGCCATATTCCAGCTATATTGAAATAATCGAGTCTGGACCAGACAATCCAATGATCAACAGAGAAGCATCGATCTATGTAATTGGGATACGATGACACATATCAACCAAGTCCCTTTCATCGCCTCTTACGACAAACATGGGCTGAAGACTAACTCTAACCCGGATCTTCACGGGTCGGGCAGAACAGAAATGTTACAAATGATTACACAGTGACTGTTAAGCACCAACTCACAATGAGGCTCATAGCTTCTGACTTCCTCTTAGATATCACAGACACTTTTTCAAACAGGTCAAGAAGAAGCAGCAGCGGAGCCATCCACCTGGAATACAAAAAAGCACTGTAAGTTGGATGGACATAGTATACCTTGTTCACGCTTACTGAACTCCCAAACATTGTGACTTGGCTGACAAAATAACACCTGCTGATGGATTTCTCTAACCTTTATCATTAACTAAGACACCTGCCAATGTTGGTGTTGATTGTATAATGTGTAACAATGATGGCTGAACAGAGTCATCGGGCGATGACATATCCCCTGAACTGGTGCAGTTTGGTAACTGGGTTTGGTTGCTTTTCCCCATGTTTGGCTCATTGCCATTGGATACTTTCAGTTCACAGAAGAAAAAACATGATGGTGTAAAGTATTGTTTTTAAATGTCGAGCCATCAAAAGTCCATCAGCTCACCACTAGACTGATCTGTACAGCAAGTTTCAAACACCAAATATTCATGAGTTTAATCGTTCTAAACCAGTCTAACATGGTTCTCCATTGGTAGATTCACATGGAAGTATTCATTGTGGAGTTCTGCTTTATCCACGAGGGTACCCCAAGCAACCCCTTCAGAACAGGTGGAAAATAAGTATTCGACAGTTTCATACCCTGTCTATTATAGACTTGAAGTAAGAACGTGATGAGTGAGAGACTGCAGGAACTGAACATGCAATTGTCAATGACTAACTTCTCTCAGACGATTATTTGACATCACAAACAGTAAGATATATGCTTGTCAAATTTGAAGTCATCATAGAGAGACTTTTTTATAACAATCTGAAACCAAATATTCACATATACCAGTGTATGAAATAAGGCCTCTCCGACCGCCTAGGCTAGATTTCTGACAGACGGTGTAAATTTACAATTTGCCAGACTGATGGGTCTGGTAAAACATTTAGATAACATGTTCCATACATCTGAGTGAATTCACCATAGTTTAAATTCTATTCTCTGAAAATCATTGTTGTGAAGAGACTGTTATACAGTAAATACATGTCTCAGATTCATTAAATAATTCTTTTAAACTAAAAGTTGAGTTATTTTCTTTGGATTGTCTGGTCTGGTTAAATCCATTTGGGGCTGGTAACATTTTGAAGTTACCAGCCCTGATATCTGGCTGGGTTTTTTGGCTTATTTCATACACTGCATACATATTCACAGAACTTCCTGGTAGGTTGAAATAAATTCCACAGAAAAAGAGAAATTGAGTTTATACTGTAAAAACGTTAACCAAGCTTACATAGTCACCGTTTTCCATCTAAACTTACTTTGGAGTTGAAGGATCTTTAAGATTACTGAGGTACTCCTGTCCTTCATTCAACACTTGGATCAGCAAGTCAAGGAATTTGCCATTTTCAACAGCTTCCGCACAAGGCATCATCATCTCCTGCAAATGACATCAAAGTAATACACTAAGAAAAGCATGTAGGAAACTTGATGTAAAAATACAAATTCAAAACTGAATGGCATTCTTTTTTATGAATTTATATGATACAGATTTGTCACCACCCTACCTCAAACAACAAACTGAGAAGATGAAGTCTGTTTGCCAGCTGGGATGCACTGGATTCACTAGAGACTTTATCCACTGAGTCCTTCACACAGATTCCCTCAGAGAGTTGAGCCAGGAGTTGATGGGCCAGACAGAACACCTGAAAACAAGAAATGAGACTTTACAACTGATGAAACCTCATCCATAACTGGGACGCTCCTAATACAGTGAGTGAGTTCAGTTTTACGCCTCACTCAGCAATATTCCAGCTACATGGAGGCGGTCTGTAAATAATTGAGTCTGGACCAGATAATCCAGTGATCAACATCATGAGGACTGATCTACGCAACTGGGATACAATGACACGTGTTGACCAAGTCAGTGAGCCTGACCACCCGATCCCGTTAGTCGCCTCTTACGACAAGCATTAGTTACTGAAGATCAGCATACGAAATACCTGCCTGCCTGACCGCCTTGGACAGGATATTTTCAACACGGACTGCCAGATTCTCATATTCACCTGCACGACGGTCGGGTTAAAATTTAGACATGTATATAAGACATTCTGTGGGCAGGTAACTTTTGGTCAGGGCTGGCAAGTTTTACATCTAACCAGCCCTGTGGTCTGGCTGAAATTTTTGGGAGTTTCATACCCTGTTAAGGTCAATTCTGACCCGGATCGTCACGGGTCAGCTCCTATTAACAAAACATGTTTCAAATATTGTAAAGTGACTTGGGTCATAAAAAATTGTATTAAAATCAGTACAGTAGCACAGTCTGGAATCCCTTAAATAGATATATCTCTAGGGAAGACACAAAAAAAGTATAGAAATCACACCTGTTGTACAAGCGTAGCTAGCGATTCATCCCGCCATGCATGGCCATTTCTCTGTGTTATCACAATCATCAGATCACACACACGGTACACTGTTTCTGGTAATGTGTCTAGTAACTGCAAACACCCTGCAAAAGAAGTATACTTCATAAAATCTTCACACACTGACAAAAGCCTCATCAAAATCACTACATTTTGAACTTAATCCGTTTGAATATTCAACATAAGTAACAGTAAGCAAGCACATTTCTTACTCCATCTCAGACGTTGATGAGACAACATAGTGTGTTCAGAAATATGCTTGTCTATGACTTGTCATCACAGATGAACGTTTCTATTTACTATTAAATCAAAATGTTACCAAACTATGTGCAGGAACATAGTTAACAATTCTTTTCAAACACATAATAGTGATGTGGATCAGAAACAATCATCATGGTGTCCCAGCACTGTAGTCTATCTATTTAGTTTCTGCAAATGACGTTCTCATCAGCCTTGCCTCTTAAGGAATAGTGGTAATCCACCATTCATAATTTATGTGTGTGTGTGTGTGTGTGTGTGTGTGTGTGTGTGTGTGTGTGTGTGTGTGTGTGTGTGTGATTTTTATGGAGATGCATGTACAATGGGAATGACAACCCACCCCCAAATTTATGCACAAAGTAAATGACCACTACCCCACATGTTATGTACCAAATCAAACGGACACCCCACCACCACCGAAACACACACACTACGAAACACACACACTAACTTCTAAGCATAACCTTTTAGTATTTAAATGTACAAAATTGCTGACCCTCCCTAGTACATGTGTACAAAATTGATGACCTCCCCTACCTCCCCAGAACAAAATGGGAGACACCCCCCTAACCATAAATTTCAATATGGCTGCTATGATGGCCATTTGAAAATCTGATTTGAACTCTTGATCAAATTGAGGTGTAACCATTGGTGGAAACAAGTATATGAAGTTCAAGCTTTCAGATGATATTCAGTCAGGTGAGCCGAAAATATGCAGGTAGTACAGACCTGGAATCTTAATTCTAGGACAATCAGAGCCATTGTACCACGGCAAACTGCCAAACTGAATCCATCAAATCTTGGGACAGCAAACAGATCTGGTTTAGAGTGAGTGAGTTTAGTTTGTTTTACGCCACTTTCAGCAATATTCCAGCAATATCACGGCAGGGAACACCAGAAATGGATCTGGTTTAGATACACTGGGCCAACCTAGAAACATTCAAAGAGTGGGTAGGAGATACTACCACAGACAGCTGAAGTCCCGAGGGTGCATGGTCAGTTACACCAGCATCCACAGTATTAAAAATGTCCCTTCTTAGAATGACAATGACAAGTACCTGTTACAACACTTTGTGTGAAACTGTCTAATACAGATTTATCCAAAGGTTCCTCCAACTCCTGTTTTTCTTGCTCTTCATCTTCTTCCTCTTTCTTTTCCTCTTTCTTTGGCTCTTCCTGAAAAAAGATTTTATGATGCAATGAATTCCCTTAAAATATACCATTGCTTCAAAATCAATGTTGTTAGAAATCCCAAACATGCAATTTATAACTGAGCAGCCAGTTTGTTGATTATGGAATACAAGTAAACTATGGAAACACTTTCTGCACAGAGCACGGTTTGTAGATTTGTTTGAATGTTTCAGTTACTGGAAGACACTAACCTGGTCAGTGGACATGACTACATTTTCCCCTAGAGACATTGCTATTGCACGCATCATCTGGTCCTCTTCAGACATGTCCATGTCCATACCAAGACCCTGCCATTTAGAAACATTACAGTTGTGTCAGCAGCTTCACTTGTACACTCATACCAATGGAACATACACTTGATTTTGTTACTTAACGCCACACTCAGCAATATTCCAGCTATATGGCAGATATACATTAACACTTGATGATCTGACCGAATAATTGTGGCAAACCCTACAACATTACATGCTGGGTATGTTATGTTTTCTTGAACAATGACTGTCATGCAAACTCACTGTTGATGTGTATCAAATTTACTAGAGATATAGAGGAATGCCCTTCTGCCATTTGTCTCCAGCTAAATTCTTGTGAAAGTGTTTTCTAACTCAAGATTATTAATTGAATTGTGTCCACATTCCAGAGAGGGAATGCTGAGAAAGAATCCAGGCCTAATTTTCTTTTGTCTCAGCAGTCTCATCAAGTTAGATTGTAACGCTAAAAACACCCATATATTATTTCAGCCTCACTAACGTCTACAAGTCTACCTGGAAAACCAACTTGGAATAAAAGAAGAATTCTAATTTTAAACAAGAAGTCAAGGTTTATAAAACATAATGTCCTTCTACCAAGCACATTTTATTCTTTTCATGTGTGGTCAGTGTTTCTTCAGTCAGGTGACACCTTTTCCACTTAAACAATGGTCAGATATTACAACATACTGTCCTTCGGTCCAGCATGTCTTTAACAAGTGTCCTTACCGGAACCTGCAGTGCAGGAGGAGGGTGATTCAGGAGGTAGTCGGTAGCTTGTTCCAGGCTGGTCGTGTGTAGCAGTGCATCCATACAGTGCTCTCGTGTGAAGCCCATGTCCATCAACTGACAGGGAAAAGCAGATTTTGCAGATACTCATTTACTAAATAAAGCATCCTTCTCAAAATGGCACTAACTTCTTGACTAATCTGTTACTTATCTAGGTAACATCAGCATCACCCAGTTAATGCTACCACATGACATGGATCAAGGATTCTCAAGAGGAGTCACAATGTGAAAAGATGTGTCTATTCAAACACCCTGGACACCCCAAACCAACCCCCACCCAAGATCCACCAGATCTTAGACAAAAACTGTTAACATTACTGGTTAACCAACACATAAAGAAAACAATCCATAATCACATGGATAGGAATCAAGGAGAATGAAAGTAGCAGATTGTGCTGTTTCAAAAATTAATAATAATGATAATAAGTGCATTTACAATGCACTAAACTCCATTCACTAGGTGAATGCTCATAGCGCTAACTGGGGCAGTGGGGTAGCCTAGTGGTTAAAGAGTTGGCTCATTAAGCTGAAGACCCGGGTTCGATTCCCCACATGGGTACAATGTGTGAAGCCCATTTCTGGTGTCCCCTGCCGTGATATTGCTGGAATATTGCTAAAAGCGGCATAAAACCATACTCATTCACACATAGCGCTAACAAAAGTCCACAGGTATTTACAAAGTTTGTAGAAGTTTCATTACACTTGTTAATGAGTATAATCCTTGATGAACATGACCTACCTGCTGGAGATGTGCCTGGTTGACTTCTGGTTCCTGCCTGACTGGGACTGGGACAGATGGCCCGGCAGCAGCCATGTTGTTAGCTATAGAACTAGCAGGGGAGGGTGTCTGTGCACCTGGGGTGGCAGCTGCACTCTCATCCTTTTCCTTAGCAAGGTACTCCTGAGAGAAAATCATTGTACATCATGACATGAACATTAATCTATATGCTATGACGATGCAATGAAGGATGTTTGATGTCACTCAGCGGTATTCAAGCTATATGACACCTGCCACCATGTAATGGACTGGACAATCCTGAGATCATGTTGTCTGGTACAATCACCATGTCACTGAACCTCACCACAAAATCCATTAAGATGCAGACAAGAATAAATGACACAATTATTGACACTGCCAGTTCAAATATTTATTTAAACACTGCAATAGCATAACAATGTATGGATATGTCTGAGGAATGCCCCAAACAAATTCCACCACAGTAAGAGCATGCAACGTTCCCACAAATACCTTGATGATTCCTTCTCCCTTGATGATGTGACACAGAATTGCCAGAATGGATTCCGACATCCGACTGCCATATACTTTAATTGGCTTCTTGTTCCAAAGGTTCATCACAGCATTGAAAGCAGCCTACAAGATTTCACACAAACACAACTCAAACCCTCTTCATTGATACATTTGCAAAGACATTATTAACATGACAATGAGCAATACACTGTACCCCTAAAGTGATGCCCTCAGCATAAAGCACAATTACATGATTCAATCACTCTTCTTTCCTTATCATTAACTAAACTTCTGAATATTGTCTAAACAGCAATGTTGAGATTGACCAAATCGACTCATGTTATAGAACAGTTTGTCAAGATTCAATAAATTGACTTGCGTATAGATGCGTATAGATTAGCGGTTGATTCGGTATGAGTTAAGAAACATACCTTCTGTGTGCTGATGAGATACTGTACAGGACTAAAGGGAGCGAACCCTGGTTGTGTTGACTTTGTTGGAAGAGTGTGTGGAGATTCTAGCACTGTCTTTGGGTTGACCATCTTCTCCACCAGCATCAGCCATGCATCTATGAACTCTCCAGATCCATCTGTAACATCAACAAATACATATTGGAAACAAATGACAGTACTGAAGATGGTTTTATTTGTTGTTTTATCTCTGCACTCAACAATATTCCAGCTGTATGGCAGCGGTCTGTAAATTATTTGAGTCTGGACCGCACAACCCAATGATCAACATCATGAGCAACTGGGATTTGATGACATGTGTCAACCAACACAAGTGTGTATTACAGTTTACCAGTGAATATTATTAATGCATTGATGCATTGTGGATCATAACATCCCTAACAGCCAGTGAGTGAGTTTGGTTTAACGCTGCTTTTAGCAATATTCCAACAATATCACTGCAGGGGACACCAGAAATGGGCTTCACACACTGTACCCATGTGGGGAATCGAACCCAGGTCTTCAGAGTGACGAGCGGATGCTTTAACAATTAGGCTACCCCCCCATCCACTATAGCCAGTGAGAGTACTTACGGGCTTCAGTTATCTGTCATATATACATGGTGATGAACCATAAAATACAAGTTAATATTCAAACCACCTCTCAGAACATGTAGATGTCTTCCACAATAATCAGACATATGCTTGTCAAATTGTTCATCACAGAGAAGTAAAAAATCATGCAAAGGTCACCATGTGATCAATTAACCAGTATCATCCCTAGTCTGCAGTTCTGCCTGGTGAGTTCATGTGTTTGACAGACAATGTGTGTAAGCATTACTGAACCTGGATTCCTCAAACATGTATGTCTACATTTAACATATCCTTACCTGGGAGATCAGGATGTTCTAAACCATCCACCAATGGAACTTTTCCATTCATAGACAATGCCCATGAGAAGGCCCTGTAAAAATCAAAACATGAACTACTTATTCAGCAACATGAAGCATACCTATTTGATATACCCTAGAAATGCTGTATCCCAAAAGCAGGAAATATACTTTCAAAGAAAGTTTGTAAATTTAACCATGAGTCCAAAATTAGAGTAACGTTAGGTTTCTTCATGTCTTTTAAGCTTCGCTAATGAGAAAATCAAAGATCTATTGCTAATAATGGCATGTGACAGGCTCTGGCAAGCAGTTTCTAAGGTTTGGGGCAGACTGTCATATGTAACATCTCCTTGTGAACCCATAAACATATAATTTAAAAGAACCATGAAAAAAAAAACAGAGAGAAAATGGAAATGTGATCAACCTGTCCAAACGGAAGGTTTACATGAAGTATATAAGATGACAAGAGTTCATAATTTCTTACTGAAATAGAGCATCTTGTCCCCCTGAAGAGACAAACTTCTGTAGCATAAGATGGTATGGTTGTTTCTTCTCATCAAACAACATTGGTGACGTAAATCCAACAGAACATACAAGGAATGTTAGCCTGCAACAGAAAACAACAGATATGCTTTTTGTGATATGAAAACTTAGGAAAGGAAATGTATGTAATCCTCAATTAGTGACTTGCACTTATCATGAAGCCAGTTGATTTCTAACTCAGCTATTTGGTATCATGGATATGATGTACAAACTGGGCTATACTGGACCATTACAGCATAAACTTTAGTTCATTATAACCATAGTTTATTCCTAGATTTGGACGAAAATATACGGCAAGTGACTCAAAATACAGTTTGTTAAATCTGTCATTTTTTGGTTTAAGTGTGTTCATTATACAAATGTTACAGCATCGTATATTACATAGGTAAGCCGATCTCATAGATAAGCTGACCCCTAACCTTGACCTTTCAAATCAGGCACTGTATTACTTCATAGTTGAGCAAGTATCAAACTTATTGTCAATTTAAAACAATGTTACATGTTGAGGCTTATCTTTCAATTGACATTCCACAACATTTAAGAACTGTTATCTGTAAATTCAGGTGTAATAATTTAAGGATTATTTTTGAAACAGGAAGGCACTGCACTTAACTGCTAGTGAAAGATTTTGCTTATATTGTCATAGTAAAAATTTATTTCGTGTAGAAGATGAATTTCATGTCTTGATGATCTGTCAGCGCAATGAAGCCCAATCTTTGCTCATCTTTTCGTCGTGATCAGTTATTGGGAATAGTGTCAAAAAATCCATACTGAATTATGCAAGTTTATCTTCCGATATTTATAACTTAGGTCCACATTATTCACAGCAATCAATATCATATTGCGTCTACTCACGCCTAAGTAATGAAGTTTCGCAAAAAGTCATATTTGTTGGTGCTGGTGCTCACATGCCACCACTGTTTTCGATGTGGAAATAGTGACATCACGCAAAACCTCATCGATGACAGGTAAAATTGTTCCATGCATAAAAAATATCCGACAATACAACATAGTGCTGTCGCATATAACCTTAGTTATGATTATAAATATTTTACATTTATAAAGCAAAACCTGCAATTAAAATGACACAATGCTAGAACATGTTTCTCTTGGTAAAGTAATAGTTTCAGATACTATATTTTTCCGATCCCTGTATCAGAATTCATCTTGTTATATTGCTGCGTAAGTTTTAACTAAATCACCAGTAGATCGAGGATACATGTGCACAGCTGATTTCTTCTATTTCCGGTTCTGTATATGAGACAAATACACATGGTAATCTTAATTCCTGAATATAAGATAATGCCTAGCAAAACCAAATTAGAACTGAAAAGGCAAATAATCTTGTCAAGTGATGTTTAATTGCAAATTTTATATCTTTACTGACAAAGTCAATCTCTCTTCTACGTTCATGCGAAGGGATACGATGTCGTTTTCTAACCCCCTGAAAAAAAGCCGGCCCCCTTCGACAGACAGTCTGATTGCATTTTTTGTCCTCAAACTTTGGGTTATCTACTTTAATATACGGTACATATTTCACGCACAGCTACAGAACCCTTGCATCATAACTGGATGAGTTGAATCAGATTATCACAACATTGCCATACCTTAGCTTTGGTACTGGTGCATGTGGGGGCGGATTCCATGACAGGCCATTTGCCAAAAGTTTGGTTAGCGCCTTTGCAACAACCTGAGCAGCTGGTGTGGGAGTGGTTGGAGTAGGTGGAGTCTGATGACTCCGTCTCTGTCGTACTGGTGTTCCAACGCACAACTTGACCAGGAGTCCAAACAGCTCAGCAAGAGCTCGTCCAAGTCTGGAGGACACAGATAACAATGGCTTCAGCTGTTTGATCTGAGCCTGAAGTGTAGGTGACAGTTTGGACTTTTTCTGGTCCTTGTCTGATGAAGAAGCAGAATCAGACACAACTTCCATGGGAGTTTCAGGGGTTTCCGATGTGGTAAGAGATTCCATAGCAGCACTGACCCCATTACTGCCCATTTCTCCAACACTCCTCGTCAAACCCTCCTCTCCTTCTTTACCATCCTTATCACCTTTCTGATCCTTTGGAAGAATCTTGTCCATATCCTCCTTACCGAACTCACATCCTGGAGGCAAAATGTCCTCACTGCAGAGAGCCAGAAGCACAGTGCTCTCCCACACCAGCGAGGTGTAGCCGACTCAGACCCTTCAAGACCTGCTGTCCCAGCTCTGATCCCCAGTGGTTCACGGATATGGTTCTGATGTCAATCTGAAGCAATGAAAATATACAGTAATACTTGCCTCTCCGAGTCCTGGTCTGCAAACAACATGCAAACAAACAGGTGCTACGATAGTCAACACTTACAATTTAAGTTGATGGAATTTGGATTTTAATAAGTAACTTCTTCAAATAAGAATGTGTGTAAGTGATACACTGCTTTAGCCAAGCACAAGCAAAGGTAAAAGACATTAAATTAAAAGGCAAGAAGCATAAACCCACACATATTAATATGATGGTGGCTGAGGTACTAGTCTATGCAAAGCCTTGTCATACACCAGTTCAGAGCAAAGGATTTAATACTTTTAAAAATGAGCCAAAGCAATATTAGTAGTAACAGTTTCAACAAAGACACATGTTCCAAGGAGCAGATCTACAACAACGCGCAAATTGGAAAAGGGCATATTTGAGAATACATGTAGGAATAATTGAGGATAACAACCCAACTAACACGCATTTGATTTCTTTGCATCAGAGCTTTAATGGTAATCTGACTTTTTGATTTGACTATGTAAAAAAAGATGGGGTTAGGAAGTCGAAAACAATGTTCATTTGTCATATAGAGAAATACACAGTCCAAATCTACTTGTAAGTTTAAGGACATTTTTCCAACTGAAATCAGGTATCTTTGAAATCAGTGACATGCGTGTGAGAGTTTAGGTTAATGTCGCTTTTAGCAATATTCCTGCAATATCACGAGGGGACACCAGAAATGGGCTTCACACATTGTAGCCATGTGAGGAATTGAACCCGGGGTCTTCGGTATGAAGAGTGAACGCTATTATCAGTAGGCTACCCCACCGCCCGAAATCAGAGACAAGGAAGTGTATAACTCTAATAGGTACTATTGGCCTTAAATTGATACTACGAACTAAAGGTATGTACGGGTAAAGTTCTAAATAATGTCATCAAATCCTGACACGGATGGCAACAGGAAAATCTATTTTCAGCGGAAAACTAAATATTGTGTCATCGAATGGGGGCTTTAGGGCAGGGGGTGGCGGCGATGATTTTGAAATAAAATCGGCAGAAAATTGCCACCCCCTGCAAACATAACATGAGGAAAAGATACACATAAGAGTAGCCAGCATTTAGCCTGTTCATGCTCCTTGGAACAAATACAACAAAAATATAAGGGTCTAAACTTCAGTTATCAACATTAGGCTGTTAAATACGATAAATGCATGTTAATGGTTATAGTCGTAATCCATTTGATTTACACAATGATGATTCTGTTGACGTTATAGAACACGGCCAAATAGTTTCTGAAGTTCAGACATTGATGTATTCATGCAGCTCAGAGCAGAGTCCTTAACATTGTATTCTTAAGCAGGTGCAAGCAGTGTGAAGGTGAGAAACATGCACTGATACTAGTTTTTTTAGATGATATAATCAAGTGTGTTTAAACCAATCCCACCCCAGCAACAACACTAAAAGCTGCATCAATACACCCACAACCACAACATGGAACAGAACGGAGAACATGAGAGCACTGCAAGCTAGTAGATACCACATTTCTTCTGACCTGCCCCATCCTGCACACATGTACAAACATCATGATGTAAGCATGCGCTGCCGACAGGGCATGGAGGAGGGGCGTGGCCTGGGGGGACAGGGTGGCATCAGGGATGTTAGCAACGCTGGCCAGTTCCCGTAGCAACACAGAGCCTCCTGGAGGGTCCAAGGGCTTGTGTAGAGGCTCCAATTTTTGTAGCACTTCATTTAGATGAAGCAATCCTTGCTTCAACACTTGGGGTTCTCTTGACAAGCTCTGAAAGTTGTAAAAGAAAAGTGAAGATATGGTAGTGTTGGTTTACATTGTTCAACATAAATTCAGAGAAAAAGACAAGCTAGATTCAGCATTGCAGAGAACAAAAATGAAGTCAAAGACTACAGTTTGGCTACATAATACAGTCTTGAGCAGAGAAACCAGTCACTGATAGTGTGAACAAACCAATGAACAGTCGCAAAGTAGAAGTCAGTCCTATATAAAAAAAAATCACTGTTACAGTGTTTAACTATGGTATAAGAATATCACAAATAATACAAACACTAAAATAATATGAACACTACTAATAACAGAATATTATTATCAATAATAATACAAAGATATGTTTCCCACAAATTCTGACTGGGCAGTAAAAGCATTAAGCATATCATAATTCATTATCTCAATAACCTGGCACACCAATGATCTGGCCATGCAAGCAGTCTAAGTCAATCACTTACAAGAATAGCCTTGCAGACACTTGCAACAGCCTGGCATGCAGGTGAAGCAGGGAAGTCAATGGGAAGATTTGGCAGTCCCAAGATGCCCATGAGTGGGAGGAGACCCTTCTGTGAGACAAACTCACGACAGTGGTCATCTGTCGAGTTGTTACTTAAAATGGCCTCAACAAATTTCATCTGCAAAATGGAAATGTTAGCACTAATAAGAAGTGAATGAAAAGTTTCAAATGACACGTCATTTTCTGCATAATTTCAATTACAAATGAATGTATTTTTATATTAGTGACAGAAGACGAACACTTACCACATTAAGAACATAATCCATAAGAGGAATGGCCTGCCTGTCAGGTGAAGCAGACAAGCTTCTGCAACAAAAACAAAGGTTTTTCAGAAATAGCAAATGATCCTATTGAATTAGCCAACAATTGAAAAAAGTACAGCCTAATTTTATTCATCTCTACCAGAAACACTCTTCCTGAGATGCATCCAAGTTTTCACAAGACCAAGTAGCCCACTGATGTCAGAAAGTGGGCCAACGCCTTTCTGAACAAGGGCCAACATGTGTTTATAAATTTTAACAATTTTATGACCTCAAATTTGAGCTCACCAGGTAAAGGTTGTCATGTGATCATGCTCACTCACGAATTCCAATTGGAACATTTGACTTTCACCATAGATATCTTGGGACATGACGATTAGCGCTGATTATTGTTTAAGATATGTCGCAGTATATGAGGGGACACCAGAAATGGGCTTCACGTATTGTACCCAAGTGGAGAATCAAACCCTCACAGTATATGATTAACTGGTAATTACTAATTACTGAAATGCTATTCAATTTGCTGTTTTCGTTTAATTCATTCTCGCATTAGAAAGCGCTTTGAGGTGAGGTGAAATTGGGTTTATCGTCGTGCTTGAGAATATTTCGCTCATATGACGACGTGTGCATGCGTGTGTATGTGTATGTGCGGCTGCTTTTACTAGCCAAGACTTAAGCTGGCTTTATAGTGCTAGCCCACTGAGATACCATGCCGCAGTGAAGCATGAATACCCCACTCAGACATATTATACTGACTCCGAGCCGACCAGTCCTTGTTGTACCCATTAATACCGAGCGCCAGGCAGGGACCAACAAGTACCATATTTTAATGTCTTTTAGTATGACGCGGTCGGGGATCGAACCTCATGACCTTCCGCTTCTCCAGGCGGATTAGAAAGCCACTACACCACGGAGGTAAGTGTTAGAAAGCTCTTTGACTTATCAACATAAGGAAGTAATGACATAACTACCTATATCCCACAAACCTAGGGCCTAGATGCATCTCTGCTCTTCTAATGACTAAACAGGTTAAACAAGAAAACACAAATTTCTCAAAGTCAACCACAATGTACACAAAAGACCTGAAAAAAGCAACCAGATTCTGTTCCCTTTAACAATGACAAATCATTAACAAAATCATTTCTCAGGCAATGTACTGACAGTGAAATAGGACTTACTGCATAGAGTCCTGTGTGGGTGAGAGAGCTGGTTTGGCTGATGTACTCTGACTGGCTGTGCTGGGCAGTTCCTCCTCCTCTTCATCCTCGTCAGATGACCCTGTGTCTGCTGGCTGAGGAGAACGGATTGACAACGCCATGTTCTGTTCTGCCTTGGGCTGCTGCTTTTGACAGATGTACTTTGTGTCTCTTCCCATGGCACAGACTTCTTCCAAAAGCTGTGGAAGAAATAGTCATAAAATAACATTACTAAAAATCATGATAGTGGCATATGTCAAAATTAGTGAGTTATTCGAAGCTTTAGAAAACAGCATAGTAACTTCAGATTTGAAAGTATAACACTCAGTATGAAATCATATCAAATGTCACTACAATCAGTCAGCTGACATTTGAGTTTGAATAGATTATCATTGTTTGAAGGGGTAAAAAGAAGCATTTTCGTAGTAGTGTTACACAGACAGGTCAGCAAATACTATTTATCACCACAACTGGTGTATTTCTGCACTGCAAGTTTACAGTTCAGACTAAACAAATGAACACTATGAAGACAAAAACTCCATGATCCTGAACCCATGATACAAAACAGAGGAAAAACACAAGCGATGCCTATCATAAGGTATTAAAAACAACGGCACCAATATTACTGTCTGAGAACCAATCATTTATCACAGCCTAATCTGTGATTTTTCATGACTCTGGGTTTTCAGGAACATATATTGATAAATATTCACCTAAAAAGAGCCAACAGAGAGCAATTTTCAGTTTAATAAAAAGTAACCACATTGTGCACATTTTTACCTTGATAATTGCTTTGGTAGCATCTGTCCTGAGAGATGGCTGATGCCTCATCAACTCATCCATAGCATTGCCCAAATTACTGGCAGTATCCCCTAAAATCAAGAAAATATATAGCATAAAATGTCAGTTACTTTTCCCTTGGCCATTTTCTTGGCAGAATGCAGACAATATTCCTGATTTTCTTAAAATTCAAAGACCAACATCAGATTTTTATGTTATAAAATGCAATGATAATAATGTAAATAAAAAGGTTATAATGCCATATACGGGAGAGAGTGACAAGTAAGGCTGGTCACATGACTGTTTGTGCGGGAAAGGGCAAAAGGGAGGTAACTCTTGGGTGAGTGTACTTTTACGTCCACTTTGGGAACTTCAAAGGATTCAAGTGTTCCACTACCATTCGCATAGGACAGGGAGATAAGCAAACAGTATTTCAGTTATGCTAAAGTGTGTCTGCCTGAAGAGAGAAGAAATCTCCAAGTGATGAAGGTCTGAGGAAGGGGAAGATGGAAAGTGAGAGAGAGTAAACAGATGAGAATCATCAATTATAGGATGTGACTGTGGGTCAATAGGCCTCAAACAGTCGATGTGTATGGGTTCCTGACACACTTATGAGACACAACTCAGCACAACAAACTGATGTGCCTTTGATGACTTAGCCAGCACCCCCATAAACAAAGGTAATAACATCTTCAGAAAGCGAGATTTTAGTGTAAAAAAGAGCATACCAAAAGGGTCTGAGCTTCGTCTCCGTCTCATGGCTGGTAGATAGTCTGGGGATAAAAGCACCTTGAAAAGTCTGTCAAATGGACGACACTCCACAAAAGCTTCCAGACCTCGAGTGTTCAGACACAGAGCACTGAATACATTTGGCAAGGATGCTAATACCTCCCGAGTTGCTGGAACCTAGAACAAAAAAGATTTTAAATACTTCAAATAGCTTCCACAGAAATGTAAACTTTAAAAAAAACCCATCAGAACATATAAAATAGGAACTGATTTGAAAGTGTTTATTCTGCTAATATTTTCTAAATGCATTCATGATAAAACTACGACTAAAATCTACAAAGAAAATATTGAAATTGAGAGTTGGGGAGTCTTCAAGAATCTACTACATCTTTGATAAGCAGGGCATTGAGCACCACATCAGTGAGGCCATTGTCTTGTAGTGATGATAGAAGAGAGGGTTCTTGAAAGACGTAAACTGTCACAACATCAGTTGCTGAAAACCAGTCAGACATGTTAATACTTTTAGTGAGAGATGGAATTTAATTTTAAGCTGCTCTTTCGCAATGCTCCATCAATATTAAAGCTTGGGACTCCAAAAATGGGCTTCATGCATATCACCCATGTGGGGAAATCTAACCTGGGTTTTTGGCCTGACAAGCAGACACTTTAACCACTACTCATCCCACAGACTCTAATACTTTTAGTATCTACATATATAAATGATATCAGTCTGAGGTAGACATGCAGGATGGTCCATCAGTTATGGAAGTGCTTTCAGTATTTGAACTGACTGACTGAGTTTGGTTTTACGCCGCTTTCCAGCAATATTCCAGCAATATCACGGGCGGGAACACACCAGAAATGGGCTTCACTCATTGTACCCATGTCTGGATTTTTCAGTACTTGAAAAAAATGTTGATGCAAATTCTGTTTTCAATTCTAAAAACTGATGAAACATCAATTGCTTCTAATGGCTACCTGCCAGCAAAATCTTGTTAAAAAATGTCATGTATTTAAGCTAGTGGATAACAAATATAGTGTCACATATTCAAGCCAGTAAAAATGTTGATGCAAATTCTGTTTTCAATTCTAAAAACTGATGAAACATCAATTGCTTCTAATGGCTACCTGCCAGCAAAATCTTGTTAAAAAATGTCATGTATTTAAGCTAGTGGATAACAAATATAGTGTTACATATTCAAGCCAGTGAAACATGAACTGGTGACTAACTTTTAGTGCTTACTAGGTCATCCAAACAACAACATTTTGAGACTTGCATGCACTGACACATTGATTCTAATACAGCAGTTTACAATTCCTTCTAAAAGGTTCTTCCAAGACAAACTAGGTTATGCAAAGTTATAAAAGTTTATCTGTTAAATAAATACTAACATAAATGACACTATGAACAATAGCATGTTGGAAGTAAACTTACCCAGCAGAAAGAGTGAGGGTCCATAGTATTCAGCATTGCTGATAATATGCTTCAAGGATTTAGGCAGAGATCCATCCATTACTGAAAAACAACATCAACAGTTTCAACTAAATGCAATGAAAATTCCTTGGGTTATATTCCATGATATCAAGAAGAGATTTTCTTTCACATGTGAGTGAGTGAGTGAAAGGTCTTATACTTATATGCATGGTGATGGACCACAATGTATTAAGTGATATTCAAACCACCTCTCAGAAGATATAGATGTCCTTCACAATTATCAGACATATGCTTGTCAAATTGTTCATCACAGAGGAGTGAGTGAGTGTTTAGTTTTACGCCGCTTTTAGCAATATTCCAGCAATATTGCAGTGGGGACACCAGAAATGGGTTTCACACTTCAGGGGTAGAAATAACCCATTGCCCGACGCCCCAGTCCAGTGGGGGTGGTTTCTGTCGGGCTAGCAAATTTGTATGTCATGCTGTACCAGTGTCCAGTTGACTTTCCAATGTTAATTATGTTGTTCATTTAAAAAATCAACAAGAAAATCAGCCAGTATAGTGGAAAAATTATCAGGGCAAGTGATTTTACTTGTGTCACTGTACATGAGTACATTAGCAATTTTAAAGTTATTTCCACCCCTGCACTTTGAAACCATGTGGGGAATTGTACCTGGGTCGAGTGAACACTTTAACCACCAGACTTCCCCTTCACATGTCATGAATGAAGGATTGGTTTGTTGTTTTATGGCGCACCAAGCAATATTTCAACTACCGTATATTACCGTCTATAAGCCGAAGTTGGGGATTAAAAAAAGCAGTGTATGGAAGGGGGGCGGCTTATCTACGAGTTATGCTTTCGTCAAACTTTTTTCCAGGGGTAACAAAACATCGTATCACTTCGCATGAATATACAACAGAAGACAACTTTGTCTTTAAAGACGTCAAATTTGCAATTAAACATCACTAGACAAGATTATTTACCTTTAAGTTCCAAGTTGTTTTTGCTGTGCATTGTATTATTTGCAGGGATTAAGATTACCGTGTGCATTTGAGCTGAAAATAGCAATCAGCTGTGCAGACACTTCCCGGCGATCAAGTTCAAACATGCACAATAATATGACGGGATTAATTCTGACGAAGTCATCAGTAAGATATAATACAGAGTACTATTATTTAACCCAAAGAAATATATCCTAGCATTGTGTAATTTTAATAACAGTTTTTGATCTATAAATTAATTAAGATTAAGATTACTGTGTGTATTTGAGCCGGAAAAAGCAAACAGCTGTGCACACGTTTCCCGGCGATCAAGTTCAAAAATGCACAATATTTGTCAATAATATAACGGGATGAATTCTGACGCAGTCATCAGTAAAATATAATACTGAGTACTATTATTTAACCCAAAGAAATATAACCTAGCATTGTGTATTTTGATTACAGTTTTTGTTCTATAAATGTTAAATATATATAATCAACGCTAAGGTTATACGGACCCTCATGAACGTGGTAAGCGGAAGTTGTAAGCACATGGAATGGGGTAAAATACGCAAGCCATTTAAATTCACACATTTTTACCGATGTAACTGTAAACTAGAAGTCCATGGAAAACGAGGTGGTAATCAGCTCGTGATTGTTGAATGGGGTAAACTAAGCAAACCAGTTTGTTGACATGTGATCGTCCAGCTACAATAAGTATGATATTTAGCGAAACAAAATATATGATCCATTTTCTGTCATCTACACTTCATATCGATGCGTGAGTAGACGCAATATGATTGTGAATTCTTTGAATAATGTGGACTAAAGTTATAATTATTGGTAACTGCCAGTTGTCTGTGGTCTGTTTGCCAGGATTAGGACCCCATCGCGGGGATCAGCTTATGTACGAAACATACCATTTTGACACTGATTTTAAGGGTCAAGTTTGGGGGTTTGCTTATAGATGGTAATATACGGTATATGGCGGCACCTATAAATAATCGAGTCTGGACCACACAATCCAGTGATTAACAGCATGAGCATCAATCTACGCAACTGCAATGTGTCAACCAAGTCAGCAAGCCTGACTATCCAATCCCATCAGCCTCCTCTTACTACAAGCATGGGTTACCGAAGACCAATTCTAACCCAGATCTTCACGAGTCATGAATGAAGGATAAATATAAGAATAAAACACTTTCAACAAACACTATGTCTATATACTTACAATGTCTAATGCTTTCTGCAAAAGCTGTGTCTGGAATGGCCTTCTTCAGGAAGTTCAACATGGACTTGAGTAGAGCAGCTCGCTGTGGGAAACACTGCACACCTGCAATAAAGCATACAGAAAGCTGAAGTTAAGATCCTCCATACAAAATCTGTGTTGATGTGTATTCTTATTCATTATTAAAAATCTGCTTTCCACAGAGAAGCAAGAACACATTGAATGAAAAAAAACATCTCATCTACAGCAATCAACTTTGTATCATGAAAAAAAGAGTCCAAGGTCCTTAGGGCCTTCTGCTACAGTATCTCAGGGCTATCTAAAAGAAAGATGAACAATTCTGTCTTGTATCATTTCAACCATTCCTGAGTGAAGAGAGCATGGTTTATGCCATTCTCTTCCCACAGAGGTTACTTGTCATATCTTCCTGCGAACCTCTGTGCTAATATGGCCCTTTCATGGTGCGTGTGTTCAGGATTCGTGATTGGTTGCAATCAGATTTAGTTGTGCAATCAGCAACAATGTTTCAAAAGTGATCATTCGCAAGGCCTTGGTAATTTTCAAATGTTTTGGAAAAACTAGAACCTCTTCCCCTGCGCGATGCGCAAACATTTCTTCTAGACAGAACTCAGTCAAGTAATGGCAGAGCAATGGCGTCCCCATCGCCCTCGTTGACAACGAACAAGCAAGCCATTAAATGTCTTGTGTGTCACATCAACCGAAGTCCCCGGCAGAAGAGGGATATTTGAGGCCCCACATTTGCTTGTATTAGCCAATTTGGATCTAAGTCTATGTAACACGGGTTCTGATTGGATAGAAAGAAGGGAGACAATTCGTGTTGCGATTTTTTGCCGCTAGGGGATTTTACGAGAACCGAGAAATATGGCCATATTAAAACAGAGGTTCGTTGGAAGATATGACAAGTAACCTCTGTGGGAAGAGAATGGGTTTATGCTGCCTCTAGCAATATTCCTGCAATATCATGGTGGGTAACACAAGAAAAATGTGCTAACCCATCAGCTTCTTTCTACTTCTACTCAACCTCAAGTAAGGCTACATGAACTACAAGGATAATGTTGAGGCTTAACAAAGAAATGTACACCACAGTACTCTTCTATGACTGTAAAGACCTCAGTTCTGTAGCATTGGCAAACGATCAATCTGACCCACAGACATGTCAGATCGCAGACACTCAATGCATGTCCATACATTAGGACTAAGTATGAGGATATGTTTATGTACTGAATACAATTCATGTACTGAACAGAGAAACATCTGACATGTTTAATATCTGAAATGTTGAAAGACCAGATAACCCCACTGAACACTGACTATGTACATACCTAATTCTATTAACTTATCTGCATGAACGACAATTACATGTTGTCACACACAACAGTAAAAGTGATACATTGTGTGAGTTCTGCTTAATGCTGCTTCAAACAGTTTTTCAGTTAGATTACAACATGTCAGTGAATATGGGAGGATGGGTTGGTTGGTTGATTGTTCAATGACGCACCCAGCAATATTCCAGCTATATGGCCGCAGTCTGTAAGTAATCGAGTCTGGACCAGACAATCCAGTGATCAACAGCATGAACATCGATCAACGCAATATACTGATAAGACAGTACACATCAGACACCAAGCCAACCAAAACTTACCTGACTTTGGCACTTCTGGCACTTCTGGCTCAGCTGGTTCTGCTGGCTGGGCTACAGGTGCTGGGAGTGACGTTGACGCTCCAGCGTTAATACTGTCACTGCTCTGGGTCATGTCGGTCTCCATCGGGGCAGGGGGGGATTCGGGTTGAGAGTCAATGCTGGCTTCACGACGGGTTGGTCGGATTACAAATGGCTGTTCCTTTCTGCAGATGCTTACTTCATTCTGTTAAGGAGAATAATTCAGTTACATACACATGTGGACAATGTAGAACTTCTAATTTGACATACAATTAACTCAATGTAGATAGTCTATCATTAATTTTTGGACTTGTTGTTTGACATATTACAAGGGTAGAAAACTACAAGTTTCTTTTAAAAGTTCACAAGTCTTAGAGACAGGCATACACTCAGAAATGTCCATCCCTGTGCTCAGCATACAATACAGCAACATTGTTTCAATATTCAACCCTGACCCTAACTGTCAAACAAAATGACATGATATGCTTCCATACCTCTAGTCTGTTGATAAATGCAAGAAGTCCTCCATGAGCCTGAAAAGCAGCCATGTCCAGGTTTGTGATGAGATCAATCACTCGTACAGCTCGTGTCACAAACTGCAAAGACAAATCATGATTGTAAAGCAAATGTACCGATTGAACATTCTTTTTTACACAATCACAGGACAGATGACTTTTTCGAAGAATGTCCACAAAGTGATATGACGGCTCAAAAGATGTACTCATATCTGTACAATGAAGATTTTTGTTAGAAATATTTGGAGACATTAGCATTATAAAGACAGCCTGTACATAACAAGTTTGGGCCAGGCAAACAACAGGTTGACAACATGAACATCGTTTCATTCAAGGTGAGTGAGTATGGTTCTACGCCTCTTTCAGCAATATTCCAGCAAAATCACAGTGGGGGACACCAGAAATTGGCTTCACACATTGAACCCATGTGGGGAATCGAACCCTGGTCTTTGGTGTGACGAGCGGACGCTTTAACCACTAGGCTACCCCACCTCCCTTTCATTCAAGGTGATGACACATATTCAGCCATGTCACAGAGTCTGACCACTCAATCAGTCTCCATTAAATTGTTTATGGCAAACATGGGGTCATGGGGAAAAAATTCTGATCCTGCTCCATGCATGACAATTTACACAAACATCACAAAAACAGGTCACATGATTTCAAAAGCACAAGGCAAACAAGTGGTTCAATCTGACAGGACAGGAGATCCACTTGAAATGCATGTATGTTTGTTGTTTATCTAGCAATATTTCAGCAGTATAATGGCAACCAGTATAATAATCGTGTTGGTCCAGACGATACAGTGATGGACATTGTGGGCAATGCTACACTACACTGGGTACGACAACGGTACCACGACAACATGCAATCAACAAAGTCACCAAGCCTGGCCACGTGACCTATTTGGTCACCTCTAATGACCACCATAGATTGCAAGGGACTTATTCAAACCTGCATTCCCAACATGACTGCAAAGTATGTCAATATATGTTTAGAATAATCCCAAATCGTATTAAGTGCAGCACCTCTCTCTTGGGATAATAATGGCAGAATCTTTTCCATGGAAATAGTGAATCTTTTACCTTCAGATATCAAAGTGCCTGAGTGAATATCATTTGTTGCTGCTTTTAGCAATATTCCAGCAATATGATGGCGGGGGACACGCAAAATGGGCTTCACACATTGTACCCATCCGGGTCATAGGGCTACCCCACCTTAACTTTAAATATGAAAACATGTGCTAGTGTTAAGGGTGAAAGACTGCTTGAATTACTGAATTATAGAATCATTATCATAATCATTAATTGATTCTGATAGAAGTAAGAGAAAGTGCAAGAAAAAGGAAGCCAGAAAACAATACCCACACTTACTGTTATGTGCTCTTGTCCCTCTCCATACCAGTTGATGACTTTCAGTAATGCTTCCATCATCCCACAAGACACCAATGCTTCAACACCTGTAACACAGAATCAATAACATAAAGATCTGCTTCCTTCTGTTTAAAACCAAGACATACATCTAGACACACACACAGACACTCACCTACATCCAGAAACCCCGAAACGCATACCAAGAATGAAATGAGGTTCTGCACCTCCCCAAGAAATAGACTAACATTTAGAATTATTCTTGTTAATTGAAATAAGGTAAATTATTTTTTTCATTTGAATTATCATTAACATGAGTAATCTGGTTAACCATATTATTCATGAATAACAATAGTTGAACTCTTCAGTGCCTCAAAATTTCAACAAACAGTCCATATGTATTTTCTGTCTGTGAATAATTGAAACATTGAGCTTTAAATAAGTTGCTTGAAATGAAAGAAAAAATTTCACATTTGAGAGTATGTTTCATACCACAAATGTGAATATCTTTTGTCATGGTTATTGTGAGCAAGAACTGTCACCAGGCCAATCCTTGTCAGTGACAATCACCATATATTATTCTAGCACTGTTAAAACGACCGATCCAGGCCACTGGGACATGAACTGGAGATACACAATGCAAAGGATTTATATTGTTTCAAGATCTTGGTTCAAATTTAGGAAAATAGTAGAGCCCAAATTTTATGTGCTTTCTATAATCTAATATCACACTGTTACTGTTTCCTGAATTTCAATATATTAAATCAACATTAAGCTCTGACTTGGGTTTTGACCATTTTCAAAACAAGCTTCTTCAACCTGTTGTCCCTGATAGAAGGAATATATTCTGAAATTACTGACAAATACTACAATCGTGCACAACGGAACTCATTACTTGATCCCCACCACAGCGATGTTTAAAAAGAACAAACTTAAATTTTCTGTCAAGTCCAGAGCAAAAATTGTCCCTGGATTGCGAAAAATGTGCTAACCCATCAGCTTCTTTCTACTTTTTTTCAACCTCTTGTACATAAGTAAGGATAATGTTGAGGCTTAACAAAGAAATGTACACCACAGTACTCTTCTATGACTGTAAAGACCTCAGTTCTGTAGCATTGGCAAACGATCAATCTGACCAACAGACATGTCAGATCGCAGACACTCAATGCATGTATAGGGAGACGATAGTAGACACTCAGGGCAAGTATTGGACATTTTTTTTACAGTGAAGATATTATGGACTGTATAAACTAGCTGGAAATTTGCATGAAATATTGTTCTACTGACCATTCTCGTAGCTGGCTAGATGGTAGAGGAAGGAAAACAGGGCCGTGGCATACTGCTGGGGAAAAGCATCCATTTCAGGGTCTGAAAACAAAGAAACACCTTGATAACATTCAGTCTCTATTTCTGCAATGACAAGGCCACAGGCATATCATACAATTAAACATATAGTTTATGCAGTCGGCATTTGAAAAAGTAAATTTTTTGTGTGTAAAAAGGCATACTGGATGTACATGGACAAGTGTTCTAAGGGTGTGCGGAAAAAAGTCCTTGGGGAAAAAAAGTACCGGAAATAAATCCTAAAGTTGCCTCGGAAAATAAATCCCCTGGAAAAAAGTCCTATTTTGACAAAAGAATAAAAAGTTGGATTGTTTAGGTTTTCATAGTTTTTCACAGTGTTTATTGACTTTCCCTTCTTGCGACTGGCTTGAATGGTTTAACAAAGATACAAACTCATAGATGTTATAAAGTACAAAGTAATAGCTTTTCGAACACTTGGTTCTGAAGGAGTGGTAAGCAGGATATATGTAGAGAAAACGATATCATTCTGTAATATGTATGTGTATGGTAAAAAAAGTTAAACGTCCTTGAAATACTGATTGCCTTATTTACATTTCACTCCTACTTCAAAGTCATGTCTAACAGTAACTTAAGGTATAGCTTGAATGCTTGTGGTCCACATAAAATAGAAATATCACAGAATCAAGAATAATACAATGAATTCTCAACAAACTATCTTCTGAGGATTATTTAGTTTTTGAATACAGTGATCTTTGTTAACTTGATGTATGGCTAAAAACATGGTTTCACAATATAAACACTAACTTTTAACAGTGAATTTGATATTCTTGAATGTATTTTTATTAAGTATATTTGTATTGTCTGAAAAGTATTAAATCAAAAACTTAAAAAATGTAGTAACGCTCATCATTTTGATGATTTTACCGACATCAGCGGCGACATGCGAGTCGTTGCTTTGTGCGTCAATTGCTCATGGAGATTGGGGATGATGGTGTCCCCATGCACAGATTTCCACAGGACCCGCGGTTAGAATTGCTAAATGGATTATGTTTGTGAGTCGCGAGGCGGCGTTGTGGAAGCCTGAAGCGATATCTTACTTGTGTTCAGATAAGCTTCCGCGGAAGTTAAAGAATCAAAACTACTTACTAGTTGTAGTAAAATATGCATATGATTGATGACCATAAAGATTTTCTATGACACAACTTGTAACAAAAAGATGGCAACACGATTACAAAACTTTGCTAATGTAATCGGTGGTGTGTTGTGGCGAGTCATTCAAGCGTTATGGCGTGCGCACAAGCAATCAAGCAAAATTCATTCTTGGATGACTCTTGAACAATGCTGTAGATCTCTACTCTAACAAGAACGTCGTCACATAGCTGAAAACTGCCGGTGGCATTAAAACAACAAACACTCTAACGGAGAATCTTGATAGGGTTCATTCATATACTCACCCAATATAGCAATGGCTTGAAGTCTGGCCTGAACACACTGCTTTTTCGGGCCTCATAGTTGGAGAACAGATGGAGCCAGAGTGTTGTGAGTGTACAGCAGAACCTAAAACAAACACAATCATGTATTTACAGAACTAATCAGACTAATCCCTAAAATGTGAATAGGGTGTAAAAGCATTATCTGGAAAAATCGGAGATATTGATTTTGCTTTAGTGCATATTAACCTGAGTAGTGTATTTGCATCAGAACATGTGGTTTGGATCTTTTAGATGTATTACAGATGTATGGTTATGATTAGCAGAGCACCCGTAAAGAATGGATGTTAGAGGGAAATTCTCAAGAATCATTAATTTGTGTGAAGATGGGATACTGGTGTATTTAAAGGGATGCAACTCAGCATAACCTAGTGCACAATCTCTCGTCGTTAGGAATGTTCTTGGAAGGAGTAAAACCAATACATAATATCTTATGTTGAAAAAGAGAGAGAATATCTTAATTATCTATAAGGTGTCACTTTAATGTGATAGTAAATCAACCTATCACTGAGCAATGGAGTGTTGCAGACAAACCAAGGATCGCTAATCAAACCACTATCTGAAAAGGATATTGTCCCTAGGGACACAGTGAATGTCAAACTGTGGCATCTGGGAAATTATTATTTCCGCAATTGAGACGGGTGGTCAAATATATTTCTCCACCATGACTGACCTGTTTATCTGCAGGTATACTGTAGTTCTCCAGTTGTTCCATGATGGTTGATGGGAGAGAAGCAGCCTTGTCAACATTGTCCATGTGAATACTCTGAATTGAATTTGAGGAACCCTGCAATCAAGAAAACTTGAAACTTACTTCAAGCCATTCAAACAGGAACCTGTTGACGCCCCTAATTTAATTTCATTTTCAATTTTAATCAGAGCATTATGTCATCTACATTTGATGACATGTCTACAAAAAGATTTGGTTAAAACAATCAGCATTAATTTTGTCATACTATTTATGATAATGTCCCTTATGTTCCAGCTTCATAGATAAGAAATGAAGCCACAAAAGTACGGGTTAATTACAGACATGTCTGTGGCACACTGGGAGCTGAAAGCTAACACCAGATTCACCTTTTCTGGGAGTGTGGACAAACAAAATGATTACAAGAAAACAAATGTCATGGCTAACACAAATCAGTACAGTCACTACTTCCAACTACGCACAGCTTACAACTTTAGCATCGGTGAATAATCGATCCAAACCATGAGGCTTGGACTGGAGATACACAATGCATTGTTACGTGAAAGCAGCATGCATGCAGGTTAATCGGATGTGCAGCAGATAAAACAGTTCAGAATATTATTAATCCATACCATTCCAGGCAGGACAATGAATCACAGCAAAATTACAGCAGACAGCTGTTCTCCTCAAATGGGCTGTAGAGTACGGTCTTACACCGCTTTTAGCAATATTCCAGCAATATCATGTTTGGGGGACACAAGAAATGGGCTTCTGATATTGTACCTATGTGGGGAATCAAACCTGGGTCTTGGGCGTGATGAGCCAATGCTTTAAACACTAGGCTATCCCACCGCTCCCTTTCCAGTCAGAACAGACCTTCACCTTGGCCATGGCCCAATTGTTTCAATGTCGTGTCTCCGGGGATGTTCCAGAGGTACAATGCAACCTTCACTTATTTATGTTCTTTCTAAATCTTTGTACATATTTTTCAGCACAAAAAACTATGATAAAACAACCTATGAAATATTATCTGAGGTTAATGGTAAGGTTCTTACTTTGGATTTCTCTCAAGGTGTATGATAGATGTCAATGTCCTCAAAGCAGCAGCTTTGATGTCCTGAAAAGAAGAGGGACTTAATAGTATTCAGCAATGCAGGAAAGAATGAGAAAGAAAGAAAGAAAGGACAGACTGCGTGAGTATGGTTTAATGTCGCTTTTAGCAATATTCCAGCAATGTCAAGGCAGGGGACCCAAGAAATGGACTTAACACATTGCGCCAATGTGGGGATTTGAACGAAGGAGTTGCTAACAAACGCTTTATCCACTAAGCTACCCCACTGCCCCAAGAAAGAAAGGAGGAGAAAGAGAGATTGAGGAGGCATTGGGACCAAATGCTTTACCTTAAGTTACCCCACCACCCTAGCGGTGCTGGGATGTTACAATACATGAAGAGAAATTTTACTATGTTCAACAGATTTTCAACTATATCCAAACCTTGAACACTGCGTAGCAGGTCATATACATTTCTCACTTTGATGACACCCTCTTATACACATACTTAGCCCATATCATGTGCTGTTACACACTAAAGAAACCATAAAGTACAACACTATTATCCCATTAATATTCAGCTCCTTGGGAAGTGAACAACCACGTGAACAGCCTCATGAAGCACAAGATAGTTAATGGTTACATAACCAGGTATTTCAGAATCTGATGTTCATTGGCACTTTCTAAGCAGATAATACGAAAAAGTAATGTCAATTAAACTTACCACCAGGTTGGTTTCTTTGAGTTCCACAATATCAACAAGCTCCTCTATGAGGCCTGGATATAGGATCACATTCATGTTTTCTTGAATAGCATTTGAGTACACTGTAAATGAAAAATCAGAACCATTAAGCCAACAGCAACCAGTTTAAATGAATCTTAGAAGAGATTCAAACGATCATTAAACAAAGGACCTTACAAACTGCTAAATGAAAATGTCCCGTATATCCAATTATTTTGGGATAAAATTGAAAACTTATCAGGAAAGAAAACTATTACCAAGAGCAAAGCAAGATGTAATTTACATGCTATGTATACATGTTAGTTTAAGGCTACACTTAACAATGTAACAAAAAGATGGCAACTTGCAAATTACAAAACTTTAACAAGTAATCCAGTGGTCAATATTGTGAGAATCATTCCAAGCCGTTATGGCATTAACACAAGCAATCAAGCAAAAATTCATTTCTTTGGATGACTCTTGAATAATGCTGTAGATCTACTCTAACCAAGAACCGTCGTCACATAGCTGAAAACTGCCGAGTGGCATTAAACAACAAACACTCTAACCCAGAATCTTGATAGGGTTCATTCATATACTCACCCAGTATAGCAATAGCTTGAAGTCTGGCCTGAACACACTGCACTCGGGCCTCATAGTTGGAGAACAGATGGGCCAGGCGTTATGTGAGTGTACAGCAGAACCTAAAACAAACACAATCATGTATTTACAGAACTAATCAGACTAATCCCTAAAATGTGAATAGGGTAAAGAAAACGTATCTGGAAAATCAGAGATATTGATTTTGCTTTAGTGCATATTAACCTGAGTAGTGTATTTGCATCAGAACATGTGGTTTGGATCTTTTAGATGTATTACAGATGTATGGTTATGATTAGCAGAGCACCAGTAAGAATGGATGTGGGAAATTCTCAAGAATCATAATTTGTGTGAAGATGGGATACTGGTGTGACTAAGGGATGCAACTCAGCATGTACAATTGCACAACCTCTCTCGTGTTGGAATGTTCTTGGAAGGGTAAAACCAATACATAATATCTTATGTTGAAAAAGAGAGAGAATATCTTAATTATCTATAAGGTGTCACTTTAATGTGATAGTAAATCAACCTATCACTGAGCAATGGAGTGTTGCAGACAAACCAAGGATCATAATCAAACCACTATCAAAGGATATTGTCCCCACCAGGGACACTACAGTGAATGTCAAACTGTGGCATCTAGGAGGGCGTGTGTGCTTCCTGTTAGACTGGGTGGTCAAATATATTTCTCCACCATGACTGACCTGTTTATCTGCAGGTATACTGTAGTTCTCCAGTTGTTCCATGATGGTTGATGGGAGAGAAGCAGCCTTGTCAACATTGTCCATGTGAATACTCTGAATTGAATTTGAGGAACCCTGCAATCAAGAAAACTTGAAACTTACTTCAAGCCATTCAAACAGGAACCTGTTGTTGACGCTCCCTAAATTTAATTTTACCTTTCACCTTAATCATAGAGCATTATGTCATCTACATTTGATGACATGTCTACAAAAAGATTTGGTTAAAACAATCAGCATTAATTTTGTCATACTATTTATGATAATGTCCCTTATGTTCCAGCTTCATAGATAAGAAATGAAGCCACAAAAGTACGGGTTAATTACAGACATGTCTGTGGCACACTGGGAGCTGAAAGCTAACACCAGATTCACCTTTTCTGGGAGTGTGGACAAACAAAATGATTACAAGAAAACAAATGTCATGGCTAACACAAATCAGAAGTACAGTCAATGCTACTTCCAACTACGCAATAGCCATAATCCTTTAGCATCGGTGAACGACCGATCCAAACCATGAGGCTTGGACTGGAGATACACAATGCATTGTTACGTGAAAGCAGCATGCATGCAGGTTAATCGGATGTGCAGCAGATAAAACAGTTCAGAATATTATTAATCCATACCATTCCAGGCAGGACAATGAATCACAGCAAAATTACAGCAGACAGCTGTTCTCCTCAAATGGGCTGTATTCAACATTTACTTCTCCTTTAACTATCCAGCTTTGATGAAACTTAGTTGAAAAGCAGCGAAATTTACCTTTTTTCCAGACTTTTCATCTTTATTTTCTGTGTAGAATTCAAAATGTAAAGTGGTTGCACTTGGAGGAAAGTTCTGAAAAAGTTCAAAGTACATATAAAGCAAATAAACCAATCATTGAGAAAAATGCACTAACCAGAAGAAGCGTCTAACCAGAATTATGACAAGTAACTGAATATGATTCAAATGGAAATGCTTGTGCTTACATAAAGTACTGCACACACATTAATTACGTTGTACATCAGATCACATATTTAAGGACAAGTACCAACACATTAATCCACCTGATGGGTGTATGGACAAAGAATTCTTTAAAGTAATATCTTGCACACTTGTCACAGGTCATACTTACACTCAAAGCCAAATTCTTGCAACATTCTGCAAGTCCAAATCCATTTTCCTTTCCTCCCCAACTCTGAAATAAAGACACATAAATTATGATTATCAACTATTCATTTGTCTTACTAGTTATGACAGAACGTTTTCACTCGCTCTAAATATTTCAGAGTTTCAAACTTGATTGGTAGCAACTTCGCCGTTTTGCAGCTTGACTACTTTACACATGAACAGCTTTAAGTTCTATTATCATCTGAGCACTTCACTGGATATATTTAGCTTTGTTGATCCTATAAAACTACTTTGAAAAATAATGAAGAAACACCATGTACTGTATTAACAGTGAATGTGTTTTGTTCAAGTGAGAGTAAAGGGAAAGAAGAAATCAAATACTCTCCATTGCATGTTAAAGTAGTTATTGTAATTCAACAAACAGCCTGTATCAACTATCAAAACATAGAAAAGGATCTGCAACCCATCCTACAAATGACATTAATCTATAATTACCTCGGCTAGATGTGTCAGTCTCACAACCAATGCTTGTTTCTTATCTGGATTCAAACGTGTAATGAAGTTGGACCTTTTGCTGTAAACATAAATAAAAACATATTATATAAATCACAGAAAATAATTTGACCAATGGTAGAAAATAATAATTTATTCTAACAAACTAACAGATATATTGAGATAGAAAAAGGCAAAGCATATGTTTCATCAGGAATTAATTGGTACCAGGAACTGTACCATGGATGTACGATCATGTTTGTCATGCAGGCTCGATTTAAGAGATGTTAACCTACTTGCACCAGGTGCAACCTAAGATAAAAACCTGGTTGCACCAGCCAAATTCCAGTTGCAATGTAGTGTGTTAAAACGTCATAGGTTTTGGTGCACATAACATATTTCCGTGATTTAGTACCCATGAAACCACAGCAACACAGAGACGCATCTGATCCCTGTTTACAAGAGCTGTCATAGCTGAAACGTGTCTATAAATAGCAATGTTTCAGTGCCACAGCTTTCAAAGTTTAGAAGAAAAATGAGCTGACATACTTATGCTTATGTTAGATTTATTGATTTATTTTCTCAAAAATTGACTTGCACCTGGTGCAAGTTTGACTAATAACTAGGTTGCATGTTGTAATATTGGGTTGCACCAGTGCAAGTAACAAAGTACTTAATCGAGCCCTGTGTCATGTTACAACAAAATTCAATTTTCTTCTCCTTCAAGCATTCAGATGGTTGACTGGGTCAATAATTGGCTGCAACAGGCTTTAGTACAGATTTCCTATATACACAAAACCTAGTTTGGATGTTAAGCATACAACATGCATTTGTAATAAGGACCCAATATAGGCTATACTCCTTACTAGACTGAATGGTCATTAAGTACTTGATATTTACCTGAATACATAGAGTAGATTTAGAACACCAAGCACAACTGTCATGTCACAGGAGGCCAACAATGTGGTGAGATGCTCCATGGAGTTGTACAAGTGACGGGAGAAGCTGTGCTCAATGAGTAGGGCTGTGAACCGCAACACCTCCAACAGGAGGGTTTTGAGCTGAAGAAGAAAAGCATTGACTCAGTTTAAACAAAGATCAAAGACTTAAAACATGTTAAGCCTAATAGTCCTTAGCCATCAATAAACATATGATTCACTCTTTACACGAGGTTAATGAGGTGTAAATTTTCCTCGTCAGGTGTAAAAAGAGTCAACTAGTGAGGGGCTTGAGGATCATGATTGCTTTACTTGGCAATATTGTGTTTAAACATCAGTCATGAGTGTGTATTTGTTTGTTGCTTTATGATGCACTCAGCAATATTCCAGCTGTATGGCGGCGGTCTGTAAATAATCGTGTCTGGACCAGACAATCCAGTGATCAACATCACAAACTACACAACTGGGATACAATGACATGTGTCAACCAGGTATTTACAGGACACGAATTCCGCCGTCCTATGCGCATAAAAATTGACAATGGACGGAACGAAATATATTAGTGCAGGTGTGCGAGAAAGGATGGAGACGGCACAGCACAGGCTAATGAATCAATAACTTGGTGGGCACTTGTGCACGTGCTTCTCTAACACCTGGCTGTCCCTTTCTCTGCACTCCTCCCTCGTAACAAATAGTGAACTGTGTCAAAATTTTAATGATAGTTTCTTCAAGAACTTTTTTGGTGGAGTCCGGAAAATTTGCAAATATAAGAAAGCTGTTGGGTATTAGTAAATGATAAACATGTGTACTATTTATATTTATGTGGCAATTTTGTACAATGATAAAATTTGCAATTCATCCGTCCGTTTCTGACTCAAACGGACTGTAACAATAAGTTATCACTGAGTTTGCTACTAGCTGGGTTATGGTATCATTTGCAATTTAATTACTTTAACAATTAATGTGAGGATCATGATACACAATACAATAACAGTATTCATAATAATATTTAAGTGTCTGGGACCCCGATTTTGTAGTCCAGGACGCCTGAAAATTAAGAGTATGAATCCCAGGGACGCTCAGATATAGGACTCAAGATAAATCCCTGGTCAACCAAGTCAGCGGGCCTGACTGCCCGATGCCATTAGTCGCCTCTTATGAGTGAGCATCATTTGACCATGAAGAGATACAGATGGACTGTTCTGAATGCCTCATCTTCGAATAATATGACACTATCAACACCTAACACACTGCATCTGTCAGTGACACCACAAACAAACCATAATCCTTTTAATCTCATGTAACACTGTTAAGAAAGATTGAAAGTAAACATCTACAAACCTTTTCATTTCCAGAGACATCACAAGCAAGAGTCCATTTCTTCTCAGTCTCCTTCTTACAGGCCTTTTCCAATACATCATCAAACAGGTCAAGTATATCAGACCAGTGATACAATTCACACTGAAAAAAAGATGAAGCCTCATACAGAACATTATTTTAGTTATCTATTCATAATATAAGAAAACAGCGTAATCACTCTCCCTGGAAAACTTGACCTCATTTCACAATTATGCATTACAAAGATAAAATGCATGGAGACCACAATTTTCAAACTAATATTCAATTCTGCACAAAAACATCAGTGGGGGAGATTTGTTTTCTCTAACTTAAGTTTTTGTGAAAAATGTCGAGACACAGTATGCAAGAAGTTGAAAAGCATAGGGCAAAGGGACATAACTCGGTAAAGAAAGGTGAGGTGAGGTGAAATTCGGTTTAACGTCGTACTTGAGAATATTTCGCTCATATGACGACGTGCATGCATGTGTATGTGTATGTGTATGTGTATGTGTATGTGTATGTGTATGTGTATGTGTATGTGTGGCTGCTTGTACTAGCCCAGAACTAAGCTGGCTTTATAGTGCTAGCCCACTGAGATACCATGCCGCAGTGAAGCATGAATACTCCACTCAGACACATTTTACTGACTCCGAGCCAACCAGTCCTTGTTGTACCCATTAATGCCGAGCGCCAGGCTGGGACCAACAAGTACCATAATTTAACGTCTTTTGGTATGACTCGGTCGGGATCGAACCTCGCGACCATCCGCTCTCTGGGCGGATGCTCTAACCACTACACCACGGAGGTGGTCCGGTAAAGAAAGAAATTTATGACCCAATTTTTTTAACGCATTCTGGAACATGACCAATTACATCAGTGTGTAAAATTTAAGTTTTCCAACTTGTAAAGTATTTGAGAAAGATTTTCCCCATTGTGAAGAGGATGGATGAAAGGATAGACGAACTGACTCCGTTTCAAAATCATTCATGGCAGGGGATAACTCAAATCTTTCTATTACAAACACAAAAATTCAAATCACACAACAAACACTTCTGCCCATACACTCTGAACATTATCAAATATGATAAAAAACTTTGAGGTCACCAAATACATAATGTATTATTCATGGAATGTGAACACACATAACTATCACTACTCCATGTCTTATGTCAGTACCGAATAATGTCAGAATAGTTAAACTCAGCACATTAGCTGACAGACACAATATGACGTAACAAGTGACACATACCTTTCCAAAGGTCCATGTTTTCACGGTACGGAGTTCAGCAAGAAGATCATCCTCTGAGGATTTCAACTTTTCTATCAAAGTTCTGCAATCGGCAGGCTGTGGAAAAAAATGTATTCAAAGATAACTTATCGTTTTGTTCAGGTAGAATCAAGGGTTAATTGAGCAGACCTTCTTTTGACTATCTACTAATGGTGTTTTCAGCAAGTTGAGTACACAGTTAATACACTACCTGTTAGTAGTAACTTTTGCCAAATTTATGTATTATGGGCCTTTGGCCTAACTACCGAATAAGCCTGTCTGTCTGTCTGTCTGTCTTACTACCTGTTACTAGATCCATAAAGTGAAGGAATTCATCAGAATTGCTTATGGACAAGATACTTTGAGGTTTGCACTATTTGGTCATAATATAAATCTACCAAATAAACTATAAGAAATAGAAACATACAGAAGACCTTTAAAAAAAACTAATGTCATTGTTAGTTTCCCTCGGAGTAAGTATTTTTGAAGACATTCCTAACACAATCACATACAACAGTGTATGAAATAAGCCAAAAACAGAACCAGACATCAGGGCTGGTAACTTCAAAATGTTACCAGCCCGAAATGGATTTAACCAGACCAGACACCAAGATATAATATATTTACTCAGATGTATGGAACATCTAAAAAAATTACCAGACTATTGGACTGGCTAGCTGTAAATTTAGACCGTCCGTCAGAAATCTGGTCTTATTTCACACACTGCATACAAAGCTATGTCACATAATAATTCAAAGGGACAGATTCCATAAATGATGTATGTTGAAATGTCAAGTAGTTATGCACTAATATCTTTAGTAATATCACAACTTTCCCATCATCAAACATGTTGAACATATGGTCATGAGGTAGTGGTGTATTAGGACAGCCCTTCCCCACAACAGCATACACAACATTCCCACTGGATAATCTTACATTGACTGAAAACTATAAATGTTGCTATTTCTTGCTATTTACACTTATTTAGCATATAGCTAGTGCAATGGTGATGTTCTGATAGCTAGAAACATTTTGATATAATTGTCCACCAGATTATATGCGATTTAGGAGAATATCAATGTGAAACAGGACAGAACAAAAAGTGATTCCTGTTGAAAATTATCATGTTAGTAAAACAATTTAATATAAAAGATTCTGTGTTGTCTTTGATCAGTATTTTCTTATGTCATTGATATTGTGCTTAATGTGCCTATAGCTCTACCAAGACAAAGTTGGATATAGTGCTTAGAGCAACCAACCTTCATTTATTCAAAGTAATTAATAAGGCCACTTGACATGGTTGACAGTAGAAGATAGAATATATTACAAAATACTAATTGTATACATTTACAGAGAAGGATCGACATATATAAGTAGTAATTATTCTAGAATCAGGGATTGGGATAGAGAACTTTGACAATGGGCCATTTTCTGGATTATTAGCCATTTTCTGAATTTAGAATGGGCCACTGCCCTTGTATCAATAGTAAACTTCAAAATTTTAATGGGCCATTTTTTTATTCTAAAGTGCAAAATGGCCTATGGCCCCTGCCTTTCCCAATCCCTGTAGAATATTCAATAGTATGCAGGTGGTTTCATACAAGAATGATTCACCACCAACTATGAGGTAATGGATCCTGACTTTAGGTCCTGAATTTCTACATATGTTGCCAATTCAATATTTTTTTTTCAAAGGATCAAATTCACTTTTAAAGGATTCACTTTTAATTTAACTCAGTACAACCTTTTTAAAGAGATTCACATCAAATTCAACAATGTTTAGTTTTATATTCACGTTTCATCTTTGTTATCCTGCCAAAGTTGTCACAAAATTACCTTTAACAAATTTGATCATTTTATGACTGTTGAGAAATGCTATAACAGCCACTAGTTAGTAATCCTAAATTGATAAGTTAATTTAGGTATGGTCTGGTAAAAAACATTACTGCTTTGTAATATCACAATGTTAACAGTTTTGAAATTTGGCAACATTAACAAAACAATATTCGTAATATAGAAGTTCTTAGCAATCAGTTATTCTAGACATAAACCCTTAAGTCATAAGTACACATGCTTTTTAATACCTAGTTCACAATGAATGACTTCTATCAGACAACTCCAGAGTGGTATCATTACGTACAGCCCTGCTGAATTTCCTGGTGATATTAGGAGTGTCCAGAAACCTACGCTAGTCGTAAGAAGTGACTTAGTACATTAGTGGTCAAGCTCAGTGATCTGGTTGATCGTGTGACATCTTAACAGGATTGTCATGATTGTTGCTGACAACCTGTGACATAAGATTGCAGATAAAGACTTGATTATTTAAAAACGATAAGCCATACTTTTTGCTCCGCACTGCAAGGGAGTGTTGTGGTCACGTGGCTTCCTATTTATATATTGCCTGTCACCAGCAGACGACTGATCTAACTGAATTTTCGCTTTCTATTTTTTGTTATAAAGGCAACTGATTTTGCATCTGAGGTGATATTAATGATCTCGGGTAAATAATATTGATGTTTGTTTGCTTTTTAGATAACTTTACTTCCCGATTTCCATTGTCAATAAAACTTCTCACAACAGCGACTGGGCACCCGCCCTACCAGTGAAACTGTTTGTGCACTCCGATCGTACACGTACTCCCCTGATATAGCGTATGCAATGCAATCGTCGAAATCACCAGAACGTCGAATTCAGCTCGTGTTGGGATATATAACGGAAATATTCTTATTCCAACAATACGCACTCACGCACGCACAGAGGAGGAGGCATTTCAAATACAAACTTTTGTCCTTTGCAAACAAAATGTATTTTCTGACAGCAAAAAGACACCATGCACAAATTTGAATACATTTGCAAAAAGTTTAGGTAACTGACATAATTAAGACTGACAGTAAGGCAAAAATATATGTTAAACATCAGACTAATATGTATTAAGGATTAAGCTGTCAGATCAACAGCAGGTCTCGATACAACATTATGAACTCAACATGTACCATGTGAGTGAGCGAGTTCAGTTTTACGCCACACTCAGCTATATTTTCAAGGAAAATATCATGTGAAACATCATTGCTGCTACATGTCATACACCATTTCAAATGTCTAATCCTACTGTTGATAAATAAGATTTTTATTATCACATTATTCAAATAATACAATTGAAACCTAAGTTAGTTTGTTTAAATAAAAATGTAAGCCTACAAAATCATTACATCTAGATTAAGCATACAAGAAATGAAAATTGCTGAGATTTTTGCCAGTTGTAAGATAACATAATATCCTCTTACATATTTCTTTTACATTTTCATATTCAACGAAAAATTAATAGAACCATGGGTTTTTTAAAATAATAAGTATGGTCACCTATTGTCTGATAACAGTGGCTTTCCACTCATTAACATGAGACAACATACGGAAATACCTGTTTTTGAATGAATGAATGAATAACTTGTTTGGCATCGTTCAATAGCTCCAAACATCTATAATATTACATTTACAAGAGACTTTACAGATAGAAAAATGGATAGAAATTGGTCTCTAATGACGCTGTTTGTTATTAATTTCTTGTAATCAGCTATAATGATCGTAATCAAGCACATGACCTAAGGCTACTAATCACATTTCAGCAATGGATACTGTTCTCGTGTATCTAAGTTTCAGATTTAGACAGTGATTATTGGTTAATCGTGTTTGCCAAAAGCAGGAAATCGATACATGTACACAAAATATGGACCATCGTGGACTAGGCCTATGTATTGGCAAATAAGTTGTATTGCAATATATTGGGATTCATCAACCCGTATTGCGCTGTATTGGGAACATGTTGGTCTTAATTTCTACATTATAAGTCCCTAAAAATATATGTTATGGTTCTGATTACAGCAATCTCAAAATTAGGTTGCATAGTCAGGGATTCTATTTTCTTTGTTTATACAACTTTCAGTAGATCTATGACAGTATGCCAATTTGTCATTGAATAACAAAGGAAAACATCTGTTGTGAATGAAAGTCTGTGTAGATTTTAATTTAAACCATTAGTATAATCACAAAAACTTCATATATGTTCTTTGCCCAACAAACAGCTTCTCAGAAAAGATATTACAATACGTATCGTTTGAAAGGCGTGTTCACGAATGACGTTTCAAAGTAACAGGATGAGATTCACACTTTTAGAGTTCCAATGAAACACACGTAGAAGCTCAATCAATTCTGATGAGCAGCTTTTGTGGAGAAGTAGATAGACTTCATCCCCTATAACACTATATTCAGAGAAAAATTCAACAAAATTTATCTAAGTTCAAACGGCATTAAAATTGGAAAAATAAATAATACAAAATCAAAATATGAGATGCATGCCTTTAGAGTCCCTATAAAGCACATGTGTAATCTAAATGAATTCCACAAAGTAGTTTTTGAGGAGAAGTGGATAACGTTACACCCAGTTGGATGGAACGAACAGGCTGAATACAACAAAATTCAACTAAGTTCAAACATGTGTAAAAGTGACAAAATTAAGAAATTGCATAAAAAATTATGAAATGCACACCTTTAGAGTCCCTACGACAGACATGTAGAAGTTCATTTAATTCTGTTTAGCAGTTTTTGTGGAGAAGTGGATAGACTTCATCCCCTATTACACTATCATCATAGAGAAATTCAGCAAAATGTACCTAAGTTCAAATGTCTCTAAACTTAAAAAAATCCCAATAAAATACAAAAACAAAATATGAGATGCACACCATTAGAGTCCCAAGAAACCCCATGTATAAGTTCATTGAATTCCACAGAGCGTTTTTTGTGGAGAAGTGGATAGAGCACATTCCCTGTTTCGTATGGACGGACGGACGGACACGGAGGGTAAGCCTATATGCCCCCAGCCATATATGGCGAGGGCATAAAATCGAACACACATTTCAGGCTTGACATTTCTTATGATTTGCCGGATTTGTCCGAGGGTCCGACGCTTTTCGTGAACACTGGCGATATACCAGTATACCAGCAATACCGTCCAGTCCTGCCATGGACATATTGTATTTGGCTGCAACTTGAGACAAAAAGTTCTCATCCATATATTTTCATAT